CCATTTTCAAAGGGTCTTTTGGTGCCTTTTTGGTTTTTATGCAAATATCCATATTCACAAGCAAAATTGTGATGTCATTTCAGGCAGAACCTCAATGTAACAGCTATTTCTGCACCAAAAGTTGCCAGGATTTTGGATATTTTGCTGTTGTAGATTTTCTTTTGTTTGGTGATTTTTTTTTTTGTCAGTACATTTTTGTTCACAGCAGTAAACCAATGAGCAAACTTTTCTCAAATGTTTTCAATGAGCAAATTTTTAGATTCACAAATTTAACAGAAAACACAAATTGAACAATGTCTTCCTGAAGTGACATCACAGCAACAGCGCCCTCAGTTGTCCGGAAAAGCATGGAAAATTTTAAATGTCTAAAGAACTGCACTTTTCAATAAAATTAACCAAAAAGGAATGTGAAATAGTTTTACACATTAAGAGGAGTAGAAACTTGCCCCAAAAATGTTTTTTTCAGAAAAAACTCATTACATGAACCCTTTAAGCTGGTTGTTAGTTTCAGGGTGCATTCGAGTAGCTCACACGTGTAAGCAAAACGTACACGAGAGCATTCGATTAGCCATCACATGATGCTCATGTCTGCCCCGGTGTCAACCAATTCAGTGCCCCAGCTAGCGAGCGGCTCTATGGTGGCTTCCTGGGTGTAATGACGTAACCGGAATATTTCTTGGCTAGTTCTAGATTGAAGATGCGGCAACTTCAATACAAAGGGAGTACAATGGACATATTAATGACACAAATATTCCAATCATTGTGTTCCATTGGAAAAACATCTTTTTTACAATTCCCGTCTTCCTGATTCCAGCACTAGTTACTCATCTGGTTTCAATGATAAAACTAATATTACCAGTGGAGTTATACAATACAACACGGTTAATCCTTGGGAATATTTGTGTCATAAATCTCTCCACTACAGTGAATAATCATGTTTCCACTCACTCACTCCGTCGACCCAAGTGGATGCTTGAGACAAGCGAAAGTTTCCAACTCAGAAATATAGGTTTTCCCGGACAATTTCGGAAAATTTGCATTTGAATTTGTAAAACATAAATTCAATTTGGCGCCGAGTTTGAGAACGACGTACATCCTGGTTTCATTTTCGCGGTAACTAGCATTCGATTTCATTTTGCATCAATCAAATGAACGAATGTGCATAACGTTTCATTTAAGGGATTACAAATACGTGATTAGGTTTTCGGTTTGACTTGTGCGTTGCCGATTATTACGAATGTGCAATCCAATTCGCAGAAAATCGATTGTCTATTTTGACACGGGCTGAATTGAACATTCTTTTTCATTTGTTACAATTTAAATTCGCATTTTCTGCATTCAATTTAAATAAATTATACAGGCCTATACAAATCATGACACAACTTTGATTCATTAATTAATCAAGGTATGCCTTATTGATCATTAATGTATTTGTTCTTATATACACAAAGGCCCATGTGAAATGTAGGCAAATGAAATGGGAAAATGATATAAATATGACCAATATGAAATCAATCAAAATAATCTTGTAGCCATATTATTGAGACGGTAAAGGGACACATCACGTGTCATGTTACATGGGATCTGCATGAGGACATTTTGTTGGTTCTTTACCTTAATTGTATTTTAATTTCTTTATGTATTTCTTAAGGTTCTCTCTCGTTTCATCAGTTTGATTGTCTTTCCTTCAATGACCTGTCTACCAAGACATCGAGGGAGATATGTCTGAGAATGGTTGTACCAGGCGGTGCATTTCGCAGGTGTCACCTCTCCAATGTTGAGTGCAGCCACCTCCTGGAGACGGAGGGATCTCCAAACTTCATTTGCAGGTTCACACCAGCTTGGACTCTTGCGTCTTGGTCTCCAAATCTGTACTGCCATTCAGGAAGCACCAGCGTGCGCTTCACTCCCGCCTTGAAAGCTGAGTGCGCCATTTCCGTTGGATTTAAGAATGGCGAGTTTGGTGGCAGCAGCTTGATGGTGAAATTGCCGGCATCAGGGGGTAGTTGGGCTCGGATATGAGGACGAGCGTTGTCATATATCAGATATATGCGTTCGCCTGCCGGGAATAACATACCACATTCTTATACAGTCGTCGCTAAGAACTCCTCAAAACTCGCTCTAGTCACAGTCTCTGACGATATTCTGTGAGCCACAAGTCCAACCTCACCAGAAATGGCAAACGTGATGTTGACTTGCTTGCCTCTCTGGCCATGGACGACACGCCTTGCTGGCTCTCCATGAGGAGCGCGACCATAAGACCGACGGGTCCATACGTTGTACCCGGTCTCATCAATGTACACAGTGTGGCCAAGGACACCAACCTGAAGAAACCAATTTCCAAATATGAGTCGTGCATCTAATATGCGTGGCTCATTCCTTTGTTCTGGAACATCTTCCGCTAGTTTAAGAGTTATAAGCATACCTTCTAGAGTTCTAGCGATGGTACTAGTGGTCACGAAGGGCTTATCGGGAAGATCAGCTCGCATGCAGTTGAGTATTGAGTTGACGCAAAGTTAGAAGGGGGTTGTCATCTAGATATTCTTGAAGGGCATCTCTCATGTCATCGTCAACCTTCTGGTTTATGGGTCCTCCTTTCGGCAGCTTGTTACGACGACCATCCTGGAGATATACGCCAACGATTGATCTGGCAGTTGAGTGCTTGATGCCCAGCCTATCTGCTACCTGCAGATAGTCAGCGTCGTCAGCCTCAAAGGCATCGATGAGGCGATTTCAGTCAACATCCGAGATTCGTCTGTATCTCCCTCTTGCAGCCATTATTGGATGTTTTAGGACTATGTGAACTGAGACACTTGGCTATATGATGCGATTGTGGCAAATGATGAGCAGAAAAAGAGTGATTTTCTTCAGTTTTGATTTTTATATAAGATTTATTGCAATAGTTGGTATGTTTCAAAAGACTACACCACTTGGTTTTAGCTCAATCATCATGAATATTCAAAAATTCAATCATTCAATCAACCATTCCTCAAATGTTACTTAAACACATAAATGAATTCCAATGCTTGACCAGGCATACGTTAAATAACACTGCGAGGGAAATCGGCTGCACATTTAGCGAAAAAGATTGACGATATGTTAAAAGGAAAACAGGATGGGGGATGTGCCTTCGATTTCGCGCTAAAATGAATTGTCAATACACTAAATGCAGTGCACATTCGGGAAATCGTACGCTGATTTTTTACGACTTAATGCACCTTCACGGAAAAAGAATTATCATTTGTTAAATAGAAACAGAGATTTGGAACGTTCGTTCTATTTCGCACGAAAAGGAATGCTGCTTTTACAAATTCGTGTACACATTTTCCGAAATTGTCCAGGAAAACCTATATTATGAAACAGTATCATAAATATTGTGACCCTACACACCAGTACATGTGTTGTCAAAGTGGATTACTTTATTACTGCATTGCAATGCATTGTATACAACCCCAAAGGGCAACTACCACCACCATCTTGCCATTAAACTGTAATGAAAATAAGCAACCTCTTCAATGACAGTGCACAGCATATGTTCTCACTGCAACAGGTTTCACTGTAATGTAATTGTAATGTGTAGCATTTAATAGAAAGCAACACAACAAAGAACAATCACTTTGCTTTTCTACCTGCAGATCAGACAACGGAATTCTCATTCCTTACACAGTGTACTATACCTCGGAACAGACTGTATTGTCCATCACACTCATTTGGAAAGCATTATATGACAAAAAACTAGAAACATAAATACCTGTACCTATTAACGCTGTTAATGCAATGGAAGTGACACTTCTCTTCAAGTATAAAACAAAAAAATAAAGAGAACGTTTTAAAGACCCTGAAAAGTCTGAAAAAAACACACATTCATTACTACCTACAATGTACAAAAAGTACAACAAAACAAATGTGTATTTATTACACACCACTGTATATAGTATAGTGGGGTGCTGTGGTCCAATGGTTACGGTGTTCAATTCGTGTGCCGTGGTACATGGGTTTGAATCCTGACCGTGGGAACATGGTGCTTGTGCTCTTGAGCAAGGCACTTTACCATTATTGCTTCGTCTTTCGGATGGGATTTAAAGCCGTAGGTCCCGTGTGTTGTGTAATGCACGTTAGAGAACCCAGTGACACTTAGCGCTAAGAGAAGGGGTTTGCCCCGGTGTTTCTGGCAGTGGCTGCAATATGCGCCGCAGCACATTGTCAACCCTTATAAGGTGCTACATAATGGGTCTCATATTTCTCATATACTTTATTTACCTTTCTTTAAATAATAGACATAATTTCCAGCGCCTTGAGCATCTAATTGTTGGTAGATACGTGCCTATATAAGACTCTGTTATTATTATTATTAAACTATTGGTGCTAAAGATACTATGTATTCCACTGCTCATTGGGCCAATTCCTTCAACTATTTCAGCTCAATGAGGGGTATACAGCACAATGCTGCAGTATACTGGTAGGTGCAAACACCATCTCTGCCCTCACAGGTACCCATTTACTCCTGGGCGAGGAGAAGCAATGAGTGACAAAGTACCTTTCCCAAGGACACACACAAAATATTACCTCAGGCTGGACTGGAAACCACAATGCGCAAATTTATCCCCAAAAATATTTTTAATACCATGCGCCAGACCATTTGGCGATAGCATTTCACACTAGATACACCCTTTAAAGGGAACAAAACATTATACGGTACTATTCTTCAAATATGGCAAAAATATTTCAGGGGAGAGGGCCAAAGGGGGCCATGCCCCCCCCCCCCAAAAAAAGAAACCAATTTTTTTTTGTTTATGCGACGTCGCAATAAAGGCAGGCAATGCATACACCACCATCTTTTCCTCAAAAAAATTGCATCTAGAATCCAAAACGCTGTGATTTTGTTGACCCACTTTTTTGGGGGACCAACATTTTTTTGCCCCCCCCCCCCAAATTGTGTTCTGGATCCGCCCTTGTCGGGGGCTTGAGTAGCCGTAGCCCCCCCCCCCCCCCCACCCAGAGGTTGTAATTTTTTTAAGTCCCGGGATTTGACCTTGGTGATGTGAATGTGACCGTTTTCGAGTAGTATAATGGGGGTGTAATTGGCGCCACCAACGGCAAAATAGTCTCCCCTCCCCCCTTCCCCCAAAAATTTGAGTACGGGTTTTCTTTGAACTCTCGCCACAATGGGCTTCTAAATTCAATGTTTTGAAAGCATTTAACTAAGGCTTTGTCACCAGCAAAATACATAGAAACCCACCTTCTGCTGAGCCTAGCAATCAGCAAAACAAGAGTACCATAATTTCAAATATACTTGTGCATTATGATGCCATGATGGGTCATTAGATGACCCAATTGTAAATAAGAATATCCTAAGCTGCATTATCAAAAGCAAATGCCATTTTATCAACTATATACTGTTAGGAAGAAAATGAAAAACGTTATGAATACAAGCAATGCAAATCACTTTAATTAAGAGTCATGAGCGGTCTGATTCATACACAAAGAGCGTAATGTCAACTATTTCAGGTCATAACAAACTAAGGGTTTGATTTGGGACAAATGAATTCCAGGCAAGTGAAAAGCAGATAGAAGTCAAAACATATGTGACCCGCTCTGCAAAAATGAGTCTGTTGTGGCAAAACTGACATTTTGAGTTCACTACATTAATAAAATGGGAATGGAATAAGCTTTCATTTGATATATCAGGGACCTCTCCAGGACATTTGGTTGCATTGTTGTGCTTGTTTAATTCTGTCAAGGTTTGGCAAAGCTAGAAAGGTCTCAATGGAGAAAAAAAGGTTTGAAAAATGACAAATACACTGTAACTAACCAGGAAAAGCACCAACAATCACAATTTTGTTAGTCTTTTTCTTACAATATTTAAATTTCTGCGTAAGATATTTGAACTAAAACTATCAAACAACCAAAATAAAACAAAAACAAAAAGTCCAAATTTTAAGCAAATGTTTACTGTTTCCATTTAAAAGTGGCAAAAGCTTGAATTCAAATTATGCGACATCAGACTCATTTTTGCAGAGCGGGTCACATATTTTATTTCATTTTCCACTCAACGTTGCCATCATTGCCTAGTTTAGCAGAGCCATCAGCTACAAGCTCTAAGGCTTTTGGGTAGGCTTTATGTTCGGCTGTCTTGACTCGTTCTTGAAGGGTGTCAACAGTGTCTCCTGGCAGAACAGGAACAGCCTCCTGAACAAGAATCGCTCCAGCATCTACCTGCTCCTGTCGACATAAATATACTATCACACTCAACTCACACATCAAAACAAGTCCACCTGCCATCTCTTATCAATTTACTATTTATGCTCTTCTAAACAAAAGATTTCTTTTTAATACTGAATTATTAAAGGCCACTTGAACATTAAAATCTCAAGTAGACTCCAAAACTCCCATCGTTATCCACAATCAGTGTTTTCGTTTATATGTTCTATCTTTTGCAGTCCAAGAATCTGTCACTGTGATTAAGTTCAGTTGTAGTGGTTAATTCCTGCAACAGAATAAGACTTGCTTGGCCACTGGTACACTGTCCCTTAATTTCTATCAGGGAAAGTGGGGGAGGGGCAAAGACCTATTTTCTGTGGAAATAAATGTTTTTTTCCCCAGTAATTTTCTGACCAACAGTGGGGAATTTGGAAGTGAAGGGGCTGCTGGAGGACTGAACACTATTCTGTGCTCGGAGACACTTTTCATGACACACACACATGGGCGGGCCGTCCCCGTGTTATGGGAATTTTTTTTTATTATGTTAAGTCGATTTAGGACCGAGTTGTGGGGACTTTCTGCTGTCCCCACAGCGTCTTCAATCCCCATATTACCATGGGACAACTTGTGTGTAGTCCCCACAACTACGGAACAAGTATGTGTATACTGTTGCATCATTAGCACAAGAAATAAAATACTTCTGCCCCTCCCCCCACCCCAAAAAACACTTTTGTTTATATCAACCCTTTAGGTAAACAGGGTTAGGGCCAATGGGGAAACGGAGTGAGGAAAAATACTTGGGGTGACCACTGTTTAGTTATCTTGACTGCTTGTGATTATATGCTACTTACCACAACATAATGAACAGTGCAACCACTGAGTCGTACTCCAGACTCTAGCACCATCTCATGTGCATGCATGCCTTTGAATGATGGAAGTAATGATGGGTGAATGTTGATCAAACGACCGTTCCATCGCTGCACAAATTCTCCACTCAATATTCGCATGAACCCTGCCAGGCAAATAAACTCTACACTTGATGCTACCAGGGTTTCGTGTACAGCCATGTCAAAGTCAACCCTTGACTTAAAGTCTTTGTGATTAAGTACCTGTAAAATATTAATGCAAAACAATCATACAAATGATCAATGCAAACAATCATGTTATAATTCATTACATTTTATGAGGTTGAGTGAAGTACCTTTAGCCATTCTACCTCACATTAATTAAACCTCTCATTACAAATCAGTCCTGCAATGTAGAAGTAATCTGTTTTCACAAGTTGAAATGGACAGAAATTAATCCACCCATGAATAATCTCTCAAATAGTAGCAACAAGCTGAAGCTGAGCATCTCATCAAGTTGTTTGTTGTGATATATCAACACTTCTCAAGAGATGCTATTATGACCAACTGGGTCAGCTTAAAGGGCCCATGTAATGTCATTTTTATTAGTTTAAATGAAAGATAATATTTAATTGAGTGATTTCCAGCATATCACAGTTTTTGTTTTGAGTAATAAATATGAGGAAAAAAAATATAAAGTGTTTTGGGGAAACGGCCCCAACCCTAGAATGGTAGCTTATTAACATGTAAAATTTGCCTAATCGTGACGTACATTCGGGGACTCTTCGACCGGCCGACCGGCCTTGCAGCATGATGCCACGCGTACAATCGATGCAGAATCAGTCAGTCGACTCAAGTTGTTGTCAATCGATTTGTTCTGAATTTTCTCATCCAAAATAAGAATGCCAGCCAGATGTGTTACTGCAGGTTTCAGCAACACCAATAAAGATAAGCATGCATACATTTCTAACCGACCCAAAATATAGACGAATTTGGACTGCCAAAGTCCGGCTGACTCGGGCGAAGTGGACAGGCCCGACACCGAACTCCACGATATGCAGCGACCACCTCAAGCCGAATTGTTTTGAACCAATCACTTGAAATATCTTCTTCCGAAGTAGGACCCTATGATAATTTCGTCCGATTCTGTGGAGTATGAGCTCCCCGAACTGTCGTCTTCACTCGTCATATCTGGAAAAAATCTGCTGTACGTACGCAGATCGCATGCTGCACGCACGCCGTGAACTGCGGGACTGTGCGGGGCTTATCTGGTGTCTAGACGTACATGTATGGTCAGGTACCAGACTATAATGCCGTTTCTTTTTTGGGTTACCGAATGTACGTCACGAACAGCGCCACCTTTTGTCAGTGTTTGAACATGTTAATGAGGGGGCCAAGTACATTTATGCTGATTAACCCCCATTAATGTCATTTTATACCATTTTATCACCCTTTGTCTTGTTACTTAGACGTGGAAAAGGGCACTCATCTCATCCTACTGAAATGTACATAGATTTTTTTCACCGGCCACCCAACTCCCATAAAACCAAAGGTGGAGGGGGGGGGGTGGGGATGGGCACCATCTTCCTATGGGGCGCTGTTCAAAGCGGACAATCATGGGCACTATCGGACAATAGGTGGCGCTTTTCATGGCAGCAATATTGTCGACATTCGCGTGACGTTCCAAAAATGGGCACTCCTTAACTAGAACAGCGAAGCCGCCATGGCTCGCTGTCGAAGGCAGGAAGGGAGGCTGAAGGTAGGGTTGGGGATGGGCATGATGGAAGGGGATCAAGATTCAGGATGATGTGCCTAGGTGTAGGGGTCAGTTTTTAAATGCCAACAAAAAAATCAACAAATGTCCTTACAAATACATGTGTACATGGGATAGCCGTCACCGCGTTAAATATGGGGAAATTTTCCATTGTTACGTTAATTAGGACCTAGTTGTGGGGACTTTTTGCAGCCCCCGCAGCGTCTTTGGTCCCCATATTACAATGGGAGAACTCGTGTGTAGTCCCCACAAATGAGGAACAAGAATGGTATATTCATGTAGCCACACCACCATTACCACAATTGGTATTACACAGGGTCGCATCTGCTTCGCAGCTTGCCAAAAAGGATGCTTGTGGAAAAAAGTGGACCCCCCCCCCCCAGCTACGCCGCTGGTTTAAGTACCTCTCTTTCAGTCATGCTATTCATTAGGTCCAAATGCTAGACAAAAATACCAACATGTTATCTTTGAATCCTGTACCATGATGCGATTCAGACACAATATCTTTTCAGGAATACTCCATTCAGATACCTTACATTTTGAGAAGACATCCAAACTTTGAAGATGGATATCTCAGGTACATGTACGTGTTTGACATGGTTCAATAAATGTGAACAAAGCTTATAGCCACAAAGTATCCTTCTCCAACTGCTTTTAAAGCAAAAGTTGTTTCTTGCTGAGGCATCAACAAGTTTCTGTACCTTGGTTGATATCCCAGCCTCCCTTGCTCTAGCCAATCCTAGCACACCATCTTTGTTGGATACAACCAGAACGATTTCAGCTTTGCTGTTAATTGCTGGGTCTTTCGTGTGATCTATCAGAGCCTGTAGGTTGGTACCTGTCAAATGAGTCATTCACACAATAGTCAATGGGAGTGATTCACAATATAGTGAATCATACACCCTTCATTTTTAACGTACAAGATCACACAGACACGAATGCATTAGGAATTCTTTTAATAAAAACCAACAATTATGACAGAAATACAAAATATGTTGGAGGTATTAAAACAACTTCACAAATGTGTAAGTCTTGTTGTACTAGACAAAATCTGTGGGCTAAAACATACCAAACATATCTGTTATTCATTAGGCCAATCGACATTGATTTTTAGGTTTTCATCACACAAGATTGAAAAAAAATGGTCGGGAGGGGAATTTATATTTTATATTTCATAAATTCCACTTCTTCACATTCAAAGTGAATTGAGGAGACAATGTCAGATAAACCTAAAAGAAGACACAACAAACATGAAAACTACTTGATATTAAGACCACTCAGCTGTTTAATGGCCTAGGGTTTGTGTTGAGAATTTAGAAAGGGTAATGAACCTCAGTTTATAGCAGACTAGGTTTACAGTTGACTGAGTGTTCAAACAAACAACGCAACAATTGGCCTACCCTTGCCTAGATGTCAAACTTTGAACTTTAAAAACTTTACGACCACGACTCAAGAGTACTGTACAACCACTGATTATAGAGATCAGTGTGTACAACACGCACTCACTGTATGGCGCGTTATCGTATCAATACCACATTGACTCGTCATGGTTACCGACTATACGATGACGTATTGCTTTAGCATAATAAATTCTGTATGGTGCCTAGAGCGTTGTCGTATCAATACCATATTGACTCGTCATGGTTCCCGACCGTACGATAACATATGCATTAGCACTATGAATTAGCGCAATGTGCTCAGTGTGCATGGTATGTCGTGCACAATGTTTGCATGCAAATCAGAGCGACCGTGCCTGTGGGTTTGGTGAGAAACTTGTCTGGAAAATACACTTTTTAAGAAAAAATCGCGGCGAGAGTGAAAATCGAGGCGGAAGGTGATGAAATTTGTGACCCTAAAACTTTTGTAGTACACGACAAGGACAGACACAAATTTGGCAGCAAATATTCTCTCTTTTTTTTACACAAAGGTTTGCAAAAAAAGACTTTGAGGGGTTAAATTCCTGTCCGCATGGAAAGAACAATTTATCAAAGTTATTCGAGCGTGATGTTGACCGATACTTCAGTGGGTCAAACTGCGATTGTAGGCATCCATGTTTGCTAATTATCGGCATTTTATACGTGAGTGCGCATGCGCGCAAGCTAAATGAGCGGCTGAAACATACGTGAATAAGCTGAAAGTAAGTTGTGTACGAGGTTACACCTCACCAGCTTTCACGGGTCACCCACTTCGAGGGCAAATGTACGATCTTTAATCCAAGTAAGCCTTTTGATAATAATTTGGTGGGGTACTTTTGGGATAAATGCAAATGATCCTATATAATGGCAAAAGTAACTATCGCCTAAATGAAATACATCAAAAAAATTCAAAGCAAACAACGTTTCAGTGTTCGAAATAACGTTAGGCCACCATCAAAATTTAGTTCATTTCTACCCCTACACATTCAACAGCAAATTACCACTTTGAATGATGCAGGTGTCCAAACACTTTCTTTCAAATCCATTTAACTTACCCTGTGTTCCAATGATGTAGTAAAATAATTGACAACATACTCTAATGTTGCCTAAGATGATGGTGTCCACGGAAGAAACTCTATACTTTTTAACTATCAACAGTTTTTCACAATACACCCTGTAGAAAAGGTACGCACTTATTTTTATACATTCCTTTACTAGAAAGGGAAAGGCACTTTGAGGTCCACTCTGCATTTGCTTTACCATTACACCATTATTTTACGTAGGGCCCCTTTTTTGTTTTAAAATGTTCCAACAAGATAAAATGTTGAAGCTGTTATGCATACCTGTTCCTGATATCAACACTGCCACTTTCAGCTTGTTTGTACCATTTGTTTGTTGCTGGCTCTTGTCAGTTACACGGTAGCAAGATGCAAGGGATGATGCTAACCCAGACACAGTAACTGCTGCACATCCTTCATTGAGAAAAAAAAATTGTAGAAACAAGGCCTTACCTTCCCAGCTTTGCGGGGGGGGGGGGGGGGCTTGACTTTGTCGCTTGTTGCTCGCTTTGTGGGCCTGTCGCCTTTTCGCAGGCCTATTGCCTGCTTTATGGGCATATCACCCGCCTCATGGCTGAGTCGAGCTAGTGCCCAGGAGATCAACCTTAGCAGCCTAATTTGCTTGAGCAAGTGGTTAACACACTGACACACTGAGCCTCAGCACTTTATAATGTAGCAGCGATATGGTATATTAATGAAACGAGGAATATGTTCATATGATTAAAGACAATTTACTGTTGATCATTTCTTAGAAATGTTGATTCAGTTTTGGGTAATGGAACTGAAAGTGAACCGGGTACCTGATGCCATTGTCAGTGCTTTAGGTATCAAGTTCCTGGCCCCACACAGGCCTGTCTGCTACTATTTCAATACTGTTCTTTGACCTTATTAAAGGAATAACTTAGTTTAAGGAAACCAAAATACATCAGGGAAAAGATGGGTATTGCACCAATGTCAATCTTAAAAATGTTTTGTCTGCCATGTAATGCCCACTTGCCGCATTCCCAGGGCTAGTAAATAAGCAATGGACCTTTTTCCCACGGCGCCGGCGGGTGTGAAACACGCCGTGGACTTGAGCTGCTTATGTTGGTTGGTGGGAGGGTGAGTTTGTTTCTGCATTCAATAGAGAACGATGAACAATAGAGAACAATAGGGTCCCCAATTCCCGAAGGGTCCCCAATTTGGCGATGTGTACAAAACATATAGGAGGTCTTCCTAAAATGTTATTAGACTACAAACAAAAGAGGGACAATAGGGGGTCCCCGATTGCAGGCATATACACACTTGCGTGGATGGGTGGGTTTGTTGGTGGACAGTTTGCATATTTGCGCATATAAGATCACACCCCATTCGTTTTCATTTTTCTGTACTCTCGAGGTACCGGTACAGCCGGGGTGCGCACACGGACAGTACCGTAAGCTGTCTTCACACGTTACCCGGCCGCCGTGGGTTGTACCACTTGGTACTTGTTACTTATAAATTGATAATTAGTCATGCATGTGCATAAATGGGCCCGGCGGCAAAAAGCGAAAGCAGTCCATTGCAAATGTACAGGGGTCCAAATAGTCGGGTCATTTTCTCTCAATTTGTCCAGGATTTGTTACTATTTTCCTTTAGAAAAACCCCTTAAATCGCAAGAAAGGCCAGAAAGCAATGCCTATGGTGATTTAAGGGGGTTTTCTCAAGAAAAAAAGCGACAAATCCTGGACAAATTGAGAGAAAATGACCTGACTATTTAGATCCTTGTACATTTTCAATGGACCGCTTTCACTTTTGGCCACCAGGCCCATTTATGCGCATGCGTGCATACTCATGAATTTATTAGTAAAAAGATCCATAATGTCAATAAGTACACAAGTTCTGTACACTAGTACTCTTTCAGTAGGGGCAACAGTGTTGACCAGTGTTATCATGTGGTGCATTAGCATGCATTATATGCATTCAAATTATATTAATGGAATCATTTAAGTGTTTTGTACAATGCACACTGTCGCTATCTCACCTGGGGCTGCATCTACAACTCTGCCAATATCCCATGCTGTCTCCCCTGCATCTGTCACCATCTGTGTGACTTCATCTATGTGACCTTCTGCTACCACCATAACTCCCCCAACTCCACAATTGAAGGTTCGTGCCATCTCCACTTCACCAATCCCTCCACAGGAAGACAGCCACCCAAACACTGGTGGTATAGTCCATTTACTCGCATCCAATTGGACAACAAGGTTTGGAGGCAAAATACGAGGAATGTTTTCCAGTAGACCACCTCCAGTGATATGGGCAAATGCTTTGACTTTACCAGACTGGATAGTTGGAAGTAGAGACTTAGAATAGATTTTGGTTGGTGTAAGAAGGGCTTCCCCTGTTTATAAAGAAGAAAACCAAATACTAAATTTAAATGATGCAGAGAATTGAAAAACAAGAAAGTGTTCTAGTTTTGGCTCACTAAATCATGTTCCTGTATTATAAGTTGATAGTTCTTCCATAAATTTGGCATTTTATATTGTATAAGGCTGTGTACATATCTAACAACCATGCCAGCATGTGAATTTGCATGGGCTTACTCTAGTGACTCAATACTGATGATCATAACAGGACAACCTGTTTTTATGCCAATCATCTGTGAAATCTGCATTTAAAATGTACTCATGGTTGTCAGCCATGCAATGTTCCCATTTATCTGCGTTGCAGTTTGGGTTCATCTGTGACGTTCTTTGCATCTCTTATGGTGTCAAGATTGGGGTGGGGGATAATCATCCTTACTTGCAGCAAAAGCTGAATTGCGAAGGATGCAGCCACATTGTGGTTGAGCCAAAGGCATGTAAAGGCGCCTTAGGCAACCGCCGTATGACCCATGTCTGATCAAGGAGCACAGTGAGTTTGAAAGTGTTGAAATTAACACTTCGAACTGGGTGTTGCGGCTGCCTAATCCACCTTTACGTGCAAGGGAGAAAAACCCTCATGGCACTGGAGAGAATCATCAAACAACTCTACTCACACATGGTCCGAGCTGGGATTCCAACCCAGGCCACAGTGGTGAGAGGCACCCATAAATTGAATGAAAACTAGGTTTTAGAGGCAACTAATAAAACAAACATAGGATCAAAGACATTGGTGAAGGCATTACCGTGTCTCACCAAGGTAGCCAACCGGGAGGACTGGGTAAATGGCAGTGTTGTGGGACTCGAGTCCAGGACTTGAACTCAAGTCTGTGTTGAGTCACAATTTTGGTGACTTGAACTTGACTCTTAAGTCACATCACTAAAAGACTCAGACTCGGACTTGACCATCATGACTCAGGCTTCAATTGTTATCATTTTGTGATAAACACGTTTTGGTGCCTGCATTCTGAACAAAAGTGTCCCTTTAAAATAAAACACCTAAAAAGATATAGAATTGCCTATGACTCGTGACAAAAAACTTTTTTTTTACGAATCTGATTTTGATGTTAATTTTCCAAAATTAAAGCAACACTAAAGAAAATGAAGTACATGAACCATACTGCACCGCCTGAAGGTGATGTTGCAAATAATGTTGGTTGTTAAATGCACCACTTCCAATTTCCAGCAACAGTACATAATCGCTTACATGTATGTGGGTCCATGCATGTCAAACTTGTACAAATGTGACTAGGACTTGGACTCATGACTAGGACTTAAGACTTGAAACCTCATGACTTGAAACATCATGACTTGAGACTCGGACTCGAGCCAAGTGACTCAAGACTAGGACTCGAGTGAAGTGACTGGGCTACAACACTGGTAAACGGATTAGCATGTAAGAGGTGTTTATGTTTAAAGGTTAGGTAAATCATAGGTTGAAGAGGCAGAACATGAATCACAGAGTGAAGCAGCATGGGGAATCATTCCGCACTTTGAACAACAACAGATACTGTGTTCAAGGAAATGAAGTACATATAACTACTGCTCCGCACACTCAATAATGCTCCTCACTTACATGTAACAGGGCTTGAATTGAACGACGGCCACGACGGCCAGTGCCGTCGTTGCCTTCTTACTGGCCGAGGTGCCCCACAAAAAATCCCTGTCTTCACGGCCAGTTTTGCCTTGCCCCATAATTACCTTGGCCGTCGTGCCCTTTTTGCAAAAACATCCATCAGCCTATTAAAACCACTACATTCCTTGATTCCAGTTGTTTTTCCACACATTGACAATATATTTCGATGCCATGCCAGCCCGATCAGTTGTCTTAATATCTTGCTGAATCAATCACACACGCGCAGTACGGCCGTGGCCAGCCGGCCAAATGCCGGTGATTCCCCACTGTACGATGTACACACACGTACGTACGTACACCGACAACTGAATCTCCAGTTCCTGTATGTGCCGATACTTCAAGAAGCGACACCCCCGCCGCAAAAATATATGTCTGTATTCGTACACACACATACCAGCAGGAGTACGTACGGCAGATCTTACGTGCAGTCAACCGACTTTCTTTTTCTCAGTGCTTGCGAATTGCATGCGCGGTACAGAACGCATTGATGTTCGTGTACGAGGCAAACTAGCTTGGGGCCGGGCGCAGTCAAAACAAGCGTGCACATGGCGTTTCGAATTCCGATTGTCAAAAGCGGACATTGTAAATGGCGATCGTGTATTAATTATGATTCCCTAAGAGAACAAAATCAACTATTAATCCACATTAAGAACATGCAGGTAGGTTATAGATAGAGGGAAGGGTTTCGAATTTTGAGGGGAATTTGGAGGGAAAACGACAACGAAAAAACGCAACACGAAAATAGAGATGGCGATCGCACGTCACCAACCATAAACTGCTTACAAAAAACGTAATTTCTATCCCCCAAAACTGTTCAAAATTACAGGTGCAATATAAGCTGAGAGAAGTCTGCTTTAGGTTGAAAAGGTAATTTTTTGAATGATAAAACTAAGTACCTTTGGCTCAAATTTGATCGAAACTAAAGGGGGCCCTAAACTACATGATCGCCGATATAAATTCGCATTTTTTTTAGCCGGCCTCTGTGCCCCTTCTGCAGATATTAGTTTGGCCTTGGTGCCCTCCCAACTGGCCTTGGTGCCCTCTATAATTTTGCTCCATTCAAGGCCAAAGTGGCCTTGCCCTAAAAATTCCCAAATTCAAGGCCTGATGTAAGTAAATAACTTCATTAATCACAACTACGATTTATTCCCATTTTAAACACAATGACGTATTTTGATTGGGGCTGAGCACTAATACATTAAAGAAAATAATGAACTTTTCAGAGTCACAATTTGCAATCACGACAACTGCAATTGTGAAGCAGTATGCAATGTGAAGTCTCAACACTAAGTTCTTACCAAGTGTAATATTGTCTTGAAATGGGCAGGCTGATGCATAACCTTGGCCCACTCTCTCCACAATACTCCTGACCATGCTATAGCCATTGCTATGGATACCTGATGATGCAATTCCAATGATAGCATCGCCAACTGTAATATCTGTTGTACGAGGAAGTGTTTGATGTCTCTCTACGGCACCAACACAGAATCCAGCCAAGTCATACTCCCCAGCTGCATACATGCCTGGCATCTCAGCTGTTTCTCCTCCTGATAACAAACCACACACAGACACGTACATGTCAGTGCACTCTGGTGGAGTAATACACACAAAAACTTCATGCACACATTCATGTCCATATGCAGCAATGCCAACACTGTCATTGTTAAATCAGTGAGGACTTGCTGCTAAATTAGTTAAACGGAGCACTTAAATGTAGACTAATCACCCATCTTAGGGCCTGTGAAGGGTCCACATGCAAAGTCTCACCACTACATGTGTATACATGGGTAATATTCACAGACCAAGAAACATTTCCTTGCTCTTGAAACAACAAGATTTATAATCCTATTAATTGGTATTATTTGTACCATTCCACCTTGAACAGCTTCAAATCACATTCAATGACATGATGTTTGTTGTGTCATCCACTAAAATAGTGTCTTCATCCCCCCCACAACAAAAAATGTTCAATGTTATTTCACTTTCTCAACTGTAAAGTTCACAGAAATATAAACAAGCAATCAAACCTTCTAAAAGTTAATGTGAATTATAAAATGTCTGCCAGTCCAACAAATGTAGCCATATTCACGACACAAGTTCAGGCATAAACATGAACAAAACCACCAAATACAAAAAGAAGTTTTGCATTTGTCTTTGTAACAAACGCAGGGTGATGGGGCGTGGAACTATTTTAATTGACATTGTGTAACTCAGTTGAAAATATGTTTATGCAAAAAAAGAAATTCTGGAGATATAAAAATAACACGAACGTATATGTATACATATTGACACGTGACTTCCGGTTTGACAAGATAACAGCATTACGGTGCTCATTGTCAATAATGAAACTGACATTATTTTTGCAGCAATGATCCCTAATAAGTACCGAATGATAGATTTACATGTATATTTAAAAATGCAAAACATAGTTCATTTCTAAAGTCTCCCTACAATAACTTCTGGTCTGATGACATCATCATTATGACACTTCGCAAGGTAAATTATTATTGTCCAAAGAATGGTAATATGGGCAATTTTTTAATATTTTGACAAATGTATTTTTAATAAAACAATATCAACTTTCTTCGAGGTGCCGCTAGAGGGCATCCTGTTAGACAATGATGTCTTGAGACATTTTTTTCGTTTATCATCCCTCATTAAACATTTTCTGAATAAATATTACTGCAGTAAAATGCTTCTGTTTTGAAATTATATTCATTTATCATGGCACTTCTGGTACCCTCGGGAGTAAAGATCAAGCAGTTTTGTACCCAGGAATAAAAAATGTTGCCCAAGGCCATCTCTACCACCTCACACACAAATGAACCTGGTAATCTATTCAGTTCAAGAGATCGCTTGTGATTTGATATGTGATGATGTCATGATGATGTAACAATTTCTTTCACATCTTTGGACAAGGGTAAATGTTTGTGCAAGGTTTCAACTTCATACCTTTGAACAGTTTGGAAGAAACTCTGTTTGTTTTAAAATCGACGCTTCTTTTGGTATGTTATTCACCCAAGTTTGACCTTCCTTTAGCCCCAGAAGCAAAGGTCATCAAGGCATGGTCTATCGGATCACAAAGTGTGAATATGATTCTTCATTTTGTTCATGAATTATGGTTGAAACAAAACGGACACTCTTTGAACTAAAATCAGTTGTAATTTGTCGACATGAACGTACAATACACACATTTGTGTATCGCTCTAGCATGTCGATCATCTTGAAGCAGAGCACATGCATTTGATCCAAGAATCACACATGAGTACACTTGGCTTATAAACTATCGTTCGCCACAAAATGTGAATACGTTGAGTCTATGCAGAAAAGTTGCACTTGATCGAGCGCACTCGGTCTGAGTCTAGCATGCTGACAACACGTAGTGCGTAACAAATTTTCTTATTGACTCATGAGCAACTATCAGCAATGCAAAACAACTTTTCCTATTGGCTGGAGGACAACCTTTTTTTTCTCCATGCAAACACAACAAAAAGCTTTATTTTCAGGCCTGCCAAAGGATCAAATGCCTGAGATTTTTTTTCGCAAATCATGAAAAGCCGGAATTCCAGCTATAGGTAGACAACTGGCATCCCTGTTGTTAGTTTATCATGCCCGCCCGCATCAGTTTCGCTGGCCGCATGGGAACAAAAAAATTGTATAAAGTCAATCCAGTCCATCCAGTCTGCCAAGCCCATCCAGTCTGCCAAGCCCATCCAGTCCTCCAAATATATAACTTTGAGGACCTGTGAATGTTTATTTCAGTCTTGTTAGTGTCACTGGTTTGCACACTGCTTACATCGTGCTGTCATGCATGAGCGACAAGCATTAACACCTCAAAATAACATGGGAAAAAAAATACACATACACAAGGAGAAATAAAGTTGCATTTGGGAACCAGTCTTTTGGGAATGGACAAGAGAGGGCATACTATGGGTCCGATTTAAATTACTTTCCGGATTATGTTGAAGTGGGAAAGTCATTATTGACAGTAAATTTAAACAAGGAGATTGATGTTGTTGGACAGATGATTTCGCTTGCAGTTTGAGGACATCAAATGTTTGCGAGGTGATAATGACGATACAAATTTAAGGCAGGAAAAGAGGCAAAGTATTTGCAAAGTTGTTTTCAAATTGTACTCGTTGTAAAGATGTTGATAACCATGCTTTTTTACGCAACCGGGCCGATGAAAACACTCGTCGTATTCGTGTTCTCGTGCCAACACAGCTTGTATTAAGCCAATTTTCTCCCAAAAAATACACATATTTTATAGAAGTGTGTAAATTGTGGTTGGGACTCACGAAATCTGCTCGTGTTAACCGTGTTCTCGTCCCGACCATGCTAGTAATAATCGTGCTCGACTGTATATCATTGCAAAACTTCTTAAAACATGTGTGCACCGGTTGGTCATCGGCATCACGGCCTAGTGCAGTTGGTTCCTATCCTTTCTGCTGGAGTTCTACCTAAGGATATTTCTAGTGATGGGAACATGCTGTGCATGCTCAAACATGCAATATGTATGTACGTATATATATGATCGCGCAATGATGAGCTTGAAGCCATGCTTGTAGCCGTGCGTGATGTACGAGTACATATATGTTCTTTTTTCTAACATTTAGTACAAAGACAGGATTGAATCTTTAAAGGTGAATAATAAGCTTGTTTTTAATGCTCACAAGGTGAGATATTTCTCTCTGGTCAATGAAAGTGCCTTTTCGGTGACGATGTTTTAATTTTTATTACAAATCCAATACTTTTTTGGTAATCCGAGTTGGTTAAAGAAGGGCTGCCTTACTGGACGTGATGGCATGCACTCAGGACCAGTTCCAGACTTTGTCAGAACTTATCAAAACATGATGTACATCATTGCAGGTAACCCATAAATTTGATATAGAATAATAATGTGGTGCTTATATAGCACCTATAGCACTTTACAATTATTATCCCTGTTCATCAGGAATGAGATCATTTTTCTGCAGCAGCTCGATTTGGTCTCTACCTTCACAGGTACCCATTTACACTGGGTGGAGAGAGGCAATCGTAGTAAAGTGCCTTGCCCAAGAACACAAGCACCATCAGGGTTCGAGCCCACGTACCACGGCACATGAGTTGAACACAGTGTCACCATTGGGCTACAGCACCCCACAAACTAATAATAAAATAATTGACACCGGGAACTAATAGTGGGGCTGTTAAGGTCAAATATATAATACAATTGTGCACTTTGTGACTAAAGCATGAAACTTCGCATGTTGGTGCTTCATGCCATGATGAACACCTAACTTTTAGCGTTGGGTCTTGAAAAAGTTGGGGTTTAAAGTGTTAGTCTTATAAATAACTATAAATACTGTATATAGGTCACTGACCTCTGAATGGTCACCAGAGGTCAAGCATGATATTTTTTTTCACATCTGATCATTATTTCCATGGCCTGAAGACGTATGACATAAACTTGGGTCACAGGAAAGTGGTGTTTTCAAGAACAATTGTTATAAATAGTGTATGTAAAGGTCATTGACCTCTCAAAGGTCACCAGAGGTCAAATATGAAATGTCTCCACATCTGAACATTTTCTTCATGGCATGAAGAACCAACATGCAAAGTTTCATGCTTTAGTCACAAAGTGCACAATCGTATCACTCAACAGCCCCACTATAAAGGACATTGTTGGCATTGATATTTCATAACATTTATTTTATGACGCCTTAACTAAAGTTTGAATTTCTGTGTAATTATCGCGCAAATGAATTTTTGGGTACAAAATTTGGTCTTTAAAAATCCACCTATTTGGGCCGGAGCACTAATCGTTATTCCAGTGACATGCTTCTTTTGAACGAGTTGCATGTGCACATGTGTGCTAGGATTGACAAATGTGTAAGTCTAAACCTAGTCATACATCTTGACCAGTCATATATTGACAGTTCGGCTCAAATTTCATGGCTGGGAAATTCCACAAAAATATCGTAAATCATTTATAGCATTTTGAAGCTTATTTAGCTTATTATTATTGAAATATAGTTTAACAGTTCAGCTGTTACTTTTAGCTGAAAAATTAAATAATAAGTGCACAACTAAATCAATTTGTCTGACACCATGGTGTTTGCAGCAGATTGCCACTTTGGCCAAAACATGGATAAATAATTTCCTTTTTTTAAATCAGTACCTTTTATTATGATTAAAATCCCCTGTATGATTATACGTTTTGTTTTGTTATACCACGGTAATAGGTTGTGAATTTTTATTGGTCGAGAGTGGAGAGTGGATCACATGACATGCCACAAAAATGCATGAGCGATGTACCCCACGGGGTACATTACCTTGATCTTCCGCTAGTATGCTATGACCGCCATTGTTGTTTACATCGTTCGTCACTGTTTGTCTGCTTTTTTAAACTGTGCCAATCTTGCTGTAATTTCACTGTAATAATGTCAGCAGATGAAGCAGGTCGCCTCCAAAGAAGAGGTTTCTCTCTAGTTCCACAGATGAGATCAGAAATTTGATTTTTGAACAGGACAGCATCAGCACGAAAAAAACATACGGAAAATTCTGTGTGAATGGTTCGCCAATTCTGCACCACAACAGGAAGAGACCCACAGTTTCAGATGTCACCAGTGACAGAATTTACAGCTGTTATCTATTACTGTGGTATAACAAAACAATTGTTGCCTGCTGTGATGGGGTCCATGGGTTTTGTACACCCAAGGGGGCAAATCTCAACACCATCTACCCTGTCACAGCAGGCACCAATGGTATAATGTCACACTGCTCAATTGTTCAAATGTACCTTGGACATCATGGAATTGCCTGGCTCTATTCACTGCTGGAAAGACATACCGTATAAGCCAGGCAAAAAATATCATGGCTGCATTAGATGTAAAAAAACCCCAGGTTTTCCCAACATTTTTCTGTAAATGTCAGACATTGTGGATTTCCTTTTTAACATGGACCTTTTAAATATGGCTGCTTCACGTACGAAACACTAAATTGAGGTGATCTCCAGACAAAAGGGGAAAAAAAGGTCATTTCTGATTTATTGAACTTTTACCGAAATACGTAACCACATCCCCTTCCAGATTCCAGTGATGCAATGTGCAATACGTTCTTGATAACATTTTTATAGCTTAATTTCCCAATACTGTAAACATTGAAAGGTCTCAATGGTGTATAATCACTAAGTCACTGTCTAGCATTTATGACTTCAATTCTAGGTATGCACATGAAGCTTACCAAGTAAAGCACATGCAGCCCTCTTGCATCCCTCGGCTACTCCACTGACTACATCCCTAGCAACATCAACATCCAGCTGACCACACGCAAAGTAGTCCAAGAAAAAGAGTGCCTCTGCTCCATGGGCAAGAACATCATTGACACACATGGCAACCAAGTCAATACCGATGGTCTTATGAAGGCTGCACGACTGGGCAATCTGACATGGAAAGATATACACTTTAATGAGATCAATATTTTGAGAGTTGGTCTTAAATCCACAGTAAAACGATGGTATTTTTATCATATCATTTTACAAAACACAGAGGTTTGATGCTGGCAATCTGTTGTCACCTTTTCAAGGTGCACGTAAGCACAAAACTTGTGTACGCTAATAACAGTCAGGTTGGCGTAGCGGTACTTTCCTCGCCTTCCACCACTGTGACCCGGGTTCGAATCACACCTGGCCCAATATGTGGATTGGGTTTTCAGTCCCTGCCTGATTCCGTGGGTTTTCCTCAGAAATTCCTCTAGGCTTTTCCTCCCACCTCTAAAACTGTTATTTCTTCTCATTGTCTACTCCCTACAGGTTTCTTCAGGCTTTCGGGCTACAGTGCCTAAGGTACTTTTGAGGGATCCTTGGTTTCATTACCGGAAAGAAATAAAATAAAAATAACAACAAAACTCAGAAAAGCTTTCAATCTTGAGACCCACAATTACTGGTGAGATGGTGTGTAATGTCCCTCACTCACTGCAATGAACTCTATGCAAGAATGGTAGAAGGCACTTCATGATCATTGTGAGAGCTCTGTGTACAGGACCCATTTGTGGGATACTGGTTTGAGTGCACGTGGTGAGTACAAATCCCTATGATGCGTTGAAGTGGTTGTGCACAGAGTTTGTAGGCTCCATTAATATCTGCATTTTGACTATCCCTAGATTGGCCATCTGGGCAATTCCACTGTGACTGACATTACATTTTTACAACCTGTAGGTAATCAATTCTAGTCCAGAAACAAAAATCAGTGCAACCAACTTCTGTTAGTTTTGTTTGAGCAATAGTGGGGCCTAAACACATCTTATGAAACACATCAATCTATCCAGTCATCCTCCTCGGCTAAAACAATACTTTGCTTATCTTGACTGATAATGAATAATTTCTCCCGTTATGATTTGTACCTTTCAAGTTACAATTTAAAGATGTATTGATTGTATTTTAAGTACAATACCTGTTGTAAATCTGAATGTTTTCAGCCTGTGGGCTGCTTTTAATTCAAATAAATAAACCATAATAATAATAATAATATTACACAAAAGTGACAAAGGAAAATAATACAAATGTACTAATACAAAACTGAAATTTCCCTTCCAGTTAATGGCTCAATGGATAAAATAGGGTGATCACCCAATCACCCTTTTGAAACAGTAAGAGTTCCTTTTCTTTGTTTGTTTGTTTTTTCCGGACAATAATTCTCAGCGGATTTTCTCCTAAACAGTTTATGGTCTGAACTTATAACTTTGAGCATATATCGACCCTGATCCCAAGTGGTGCATATTACTCTGACATCATGATGACATATTCGGCATATTCCCCATCACAGCAGTCAACGATTGTTAAATGTAGGCAAATTGTAAAAAGGTACTTCACAGCATATTTAGTATTCCAGACTTGTATTTGGAGTATCTTGTCAGTTCGAAAAAAATACACATGAACAAAATTCAATGCCAACCCCAGGTTACCGAAATAATGCATCTTTTTTTTTTGGAAGGGGCATCTATTATGCTATAGAGTGACAAACCTTCAACTTGGTGCCAACGCCATCGGTACCAGATACTAAGATAGGATCCTTGAAGCCAGCAGCTCTGATATCAAACAGACCTCCAAATCCACCCAGCGAAGCATGACAGCCTGAACGCGATGTAGACACAGCTAATGGTTTAATAGCATCAACTAAGCTATTACCTGCTGTAATATCTACACCACATGCAGCATAGGTTAAACCAGTCTGGCTAAATGTCCTGGTGGTAAAGAAATACATCACAAAAAAAGTTCACAGAAAATGCAGGACAGTTCAAGTTCCCCAACAATAAAGTTTAAACGTATATTGCTCTTAAAATAAATGAAAATGTACTTCTTACCGGTACATCTATTAGGGTCAGGGTACCCGCAGAAAAGGAAGGGCAAAAATGACCTTTTGTCTTATTCTAATTTATAACATATCATTTCCAAGAGTTTTCTAGGTCTTTCAAAGCTAAAAGAAAAATTCAAACTTTCACATTTCCTTCGACAATTAAAGAACCCTCAAATAATTCGTGAATAAAGCAACATGTCAAGTTATATCATGGCAAAATAGTTGTTCATTATTCAACTAAACCTAAAATGTTCTGTCTTGCATGCTGCATCTACAGTGAACATCTACTAGTAAACATCCATATAGAAAATATTCAATCCTGACCTGTTTTTCTGTAAGAATCGACAGCCCTTGAATGCAATATCCCTGCGATGGAATCCTCCTTCAAACTGAACTATCTCTGCTCCTTTCTGTGCCTGCGCTGCAGCTATTGGTAGACTGTCTGCCATGGCAACATTAGTAAGGACACGTCCACCAGATGTCACAACCTTGCTGTCACAGATAGTAGTACCAGCATGGAAGACTATCTGGTCCAATTCTTGAACTTTATCCAAACCTAAAACAGAATGGATTAATCAAGACAGTTGCACTAAAAAATGAAAATGAGATTTTGTCATTACTAACGGTTTTTCCCTATTTTTTCTCATATAGGCTGAAATGGATCTTTATCTATAATCTGCACAGTAAAGATAATAATGCAACTGGGCTAACATTTTATTAAACGTCAAAAATAAAACGGTATTGCTGATCAATGAAAGAAGGGTACCTGTGATCTCAAATCCCTTCTTGTAAGAACCAGGATAGCCTCCACTGGCCTTCACCACTGCAACTACACTCATGTTGTCATGGAAACGTGGTGGAGCACTGGATAGGTTTCCAGTGATGCAAGCCATACACGTAGCATACAGATCACTGGTAAGCAAGGGTAGAAGAACCTGTACCTCTGGGTCACCAAAGCGACAGTTGAACTCCAAGACGCGAGGTCCGTTATTAGTAAGCATCAGGCCAGCATAAAGAACACCTAACGATGAAGCAATAACCACGTTACATGAACTGTACTTCTGATGTCATGAAGTGAACATCCAACTCAAGCAGTTATGATCTTCTCTAATGTGTTTTAAATGGTTTGCCTCAATTTTCACCCACTGCTTGTGGCTTGGGTCATTATCGGTCACCATGCCTCTGACTGGTTTTAAACCACATGTTTATGTCCGATCTATCACATTATTATCCCACCTGTTGTAGACTAGTAAACACACACATACCTATATATGGTCTTCCCTCAGACTTTAGTCCTGACACTGCTTTTTGTAGGATACCATCACAGATCTGTTGAAGTACATCTGGAGAAACCTACAATGTGCATAAAACAGAAAATGATAATAATAATAACACATTTCAAAATTATTTATTTATTAACCCTCCTGCTGCAAAATGAAGAGGAACACTCAAGGAAATCATGATAAACAAATAGGGATGAAACAGTGTTCACAGTGCAAATAAAATTATTTTGTGTCTCCATTTTTTCTTAACTACACGATTACAAAGGAATGTCCACAGTAGGTATGTAAGGTAAGGTCTTGTTTGCATGTTTATGGTGTAAATCGAGGACACACATGCAACATCATTGACGAATTGAGGACAGTAACCAATTTGAGGACACCATTAACAAATGTGTCTGCGCTGACGTGTGTATGTATATTCACTGTGTGAGTTGAGATTTCTTCCTGTGCACAAACAACTGGTTTTCTCGTAATAAAATGTTTATGGGTCGGGTAATGCTGGGGTCTGAATCACTTCTCATGGGATTATAGGGAGGAATAAACTATACAAACTATTATCTTTGGAAAGCTGAATAACTGGAAAATTTGAAATACCAAAAACTCAATTATGTTTCTCGCTTGTTTGGGTTTCGTGGGAATAGGTCACATATGTTTTGTGTTCTTAAAAAAAAAGTGAAGTGTTGTGCATTTTTAAAACGACCTGAAATTACCCCTAGATGACCTTTGACCTCCAATTTCGGAAGTGTTGTGATAAACCTCCACCCAAGGATCACTTCATCCAAGTTACATTAAAATCCTTCAAATTCTGTTGACAAAGAAACATTTGAAGCATATTTTAACAATGACCTCTAATGACCCTACTTGACCTTTAACCTCAGTAATCCGATGAAGAATTGTGTCTTCTCACTCAATGGTCACTGCATGTAATTTCCATCAAAATCCATGAAAGCATGTACAATGTTCCATGAAAGCATTTACATATGTACATGTACAATGTTGTAAACTTTCCCCAATAAGGGTGCACACCTGTAAATAGGCCTAAACCAATCTGCCAAGGAAGAAAATAAAGAAAATAAAAAAGAAACTAGAGATTCAAACGCAGAGTGGTTGGGTAGACAACTATTTTATGAAACGCTGTCCAGTTACGTTATGAATATTTTTTGATATAAGAACAAAGGATCACGAAATTAAATCCTTTCCAGGACAATCAATTATTTGTTTAAAAATGCATCTTTAACGGTGTGATAAATTTCAGTAAACATTCTATGTACACATACAAGTTATTTCTGGCTTGAGAACGTCGTACATGTAAGTCAAAACGGGAAGTGAATACTGATTTAGTTCAGAGTGGATGTTCATTGTGAAGTTAAATAACGTATGAAAATTTGGAAAATATAAGTGTATGTATTCATAACACCGAACTTCCGGTTTAATGACGTCACAGTATTTGGAAGCAAAAGGTGAACATTGTAATGGTATCATTATTTGGGCTAAGATATACGACATGGATTGAATGATAGAGTTCTAATGATAGCAAATTCTCATAGAAGTAATTTCCGGTCTGATGACGTCATGATTTTGAAACCTTGCCAAGTTATCTGTGGTTAATCGAAGAATATCAAGGGGCAATTTGGTAAACTTTGAACCTATGGTTTTAAAATTAAAGAAAAGCAAACACTATTTTATGTGCCTCAAGGGGGCGCCCTTTCAGATGATGACGTCATCACACTGGGTTTTTTTTGTGTCTGGCAATCCTCACTAAACATTTTCATAATATATATGTCTGTAGTAAATGCTTCCGCTTTTGAGTTATATTCAGTTTTTAGTGCACTTTCGGTAACACTGCAAGTAAAGGTCAAGCGGTTTTGTGTCTGGGAACACGAAATATTTCTCACGGCATAGGCTACAACCTCACGAAAAAACGAACACGATACATGTACTCTATTTAGTTCAAAAGATATAACGCAAACTATTTTGTGAAAATTTGCCCTTAAATCGCTTGAAATTTAATATCTGATGACGTCATGATGACGTAACAAAATTTATAACATCTTCGTAACATGGTACAAGTTCACACAAGCTTTTGTGATCATACCGTAAACCGTTCAAAAGAAATTTTGCTTGTTTTGATTTCAGGCTACGGCTTCATTTTGAATTCACCTAACTTTGACCTTCCGGTAGACCCGGACGTAAAGGTCAAGCGAGTTTACGTACACGCCAAAAATATTTAGCAATTAATGGTCTATCTGATTACAGAATACAAACATCATTGATTATTGAGTTCAAGGGTTATAGGTGAAAGTAATTGGTCACTTTTTCATATAAAATCACTTGTAATTTGACACCTGATGACGTAATCATGACGTCAGAGTAATATGCACCACTTCGGATGAGGGTCGATAGATACTGAAAGTTACAAGTTCATACAATATACCGTTTAGGATAAAACCCGCGGAGAAGTATTGTCCGAAAAAAAAAAAAAAGAAAGATTAATCGTAACAACTCCAAAGAGTGGTCGGGTTGTGCCCGACCACTCAAATAAAGAAGTTGGAAGAAAATAAAGAAAAATTGAGAACAAAAAGGAAGGCTTTTCCGCTATTTTGCAGAAGGCCAATTAGGCAAGCTCTTGGACAGCACTGAGCATGCAATATTTATATAAACAATTACATTAATGAACTAGAGGTTCACATTTGTTGTTACAAACGCAGAGTGGTCGGGTAGACAACTATTTCATTAGACATTGTCTAGATAAGTTATGAATACATTTTTGTCACGAAAAAGGACTTTACCATTTCCAGTACCAATTATTTTGTATAAAAAGAATGCGTCTTTTAGGGTATGTACATTTCAGTAAACATTTAGGTACACGTACAAGTTATTTCCGGTTTTATGATGTCATCAGTCAAAAAAGGGAAGGGAGGACACTTGTTTATCTTTAAGTAAAAACAACGGATGGGAATATGGAAATTAAGTGTATGTAATAATAACACCCAACTTCTGGTTTGATGACGTCACAGTATTTGGAAGCAAAAGGTCAATATTAAGTGTAACAGATGTCATTTGTTCGGCAAGAAACAAAGTCATGAGACAGGGATGATGGATTTAAATTACAAATAAACTGATCATTGTTGAACTCTCCCTACAGTAACTTCCAGTCGATGACGTCATGATTATGAAACCTTGCAAATTCATTTGTGGTTGCTCACAAGATATATTGGGGCAATTTCATAAATAGTGGATTGAGGGTTTTAACATTTTGAAAAATTAAACATTTGATGTTTTGATGTGCCGTTAGAGGGCGCCCTTTCGTAAGATGACTTCAAAATTATGTTTTTGCGATTGGCATTCCTCACTTAAGGTTGCAGACCAGTAAATAAACTCCCATAGACCCCAATGGTAAATGCTCCCACTTCTGAAATTCGGAAAAAATACTCACAACTCTCCAAGGTGTTCGAGACACACATCAAATTAAAGCTTATTCCATCATCTTTCATTTTCTTTTCAATTTTTGGGGGGTCAACTGATGACTTTTAGGAGAAATTTCCATCAGAAGATGATCACCTCTGAAAATAGTCCTGAAGCCCATCGCCATTTTGAAAAACGATGCCTACACTCCATTGCAAAATAGAGCGCTTTAAGGGCCCCAATTTCATCCAAATTGAACGGAACTACAAGCTCACAGTACTGTGCACGGCTTCCACCCATATTTTTTACAAACCCTCAAGTTCATGGCCCACAGCATGCTCAAATACTGAAGATTCTGAGGGCATGCAAATCGTGATTTGGCCGGTGTAGGCAATTTCGGACCGATTTACTGGTCTGCACTTCCATAATGTATTTGTCCGTAGTAAAATGCTTCCGTTTTAAGATTCAATTTCTATTGCACTTCCGGTAACACCGGAAGTAAAGGTCAAGCAGTTTTGTGCCCGGGAATAAGAAATGTCACTCAAGGCACCGTCTACAACCTCATGAAAAAATGAACAAAATACATTATTTAGTTCAAGAGATATAGGTCAAACTATTTTGTCAAATCGTGCCATCAAATCGCTTGTAATTTGATATCTGAAGACGTCATGATGATGTAACAACATTTATAACATCTTTGTAACATGGTACAAGTTCACACTAGGTTTTCTGATCATACCGTAAACTGTTCTGAAGAAATTGTACTTTGTTTTGATTTCAGGCTAATGTCTTCATTTTGAATTCAACTTTAAGCTTTCGGTAGACCTGGAAGTAAAGGTCAAGCGAATTCATGTACATGACAAAAAATGTTTATCAATTAATGGTCTATCTAATTACAAGGTTGGAACATAATTGATCATTTTGTTCAAGAGTTATAGGTGTAAGAAGATTGTAATTTTTTTCTGAAAATTGCTTGTAATTTGACACCCAATGATGTCACAATGACGTCAGAGTAATATGCACCACTTAGGATGAGGGTCAATATATATTGAAAGTTACGAGTTCCTATCATTTAGGAGAAACCCACGGAAACGTGCTGTACAGAAAAAAGACAGAAAGAAAGAAAGAACGATTAATCGTAACAAATCCAAAGAGTGGTCGGGTTGTGCCCGACCACTCAATGACAAAACTCAACATTAAAATATCCAGGAAGTACTTAAATTATTGTAAAGAAGTCTTCACTTCCTTTCTGTATTGGAAATTTGTGTGATGTGATCATAGAGCTATATTAAATTACCAGAGCGCTGACTTGATGTACAAAGTGATGCCTGCTGGGCCCATCCATGTTTGTGCACAAACCTATGGAAAACTCAAAATTTTGTACGGCTTTTGTACGGCTATTTACATATCTGCGTAAAGGTGTGTTACCAAAGCCGATACGCCCAAAACCAAAACGCACAATCAGTAAATGATTTGCTTAAGTTGTTTGCGTATGCACGTTGCATAAGGCCCAAAAAAAAAAGTCTCTGGTTTCTGGTATGCGCGCGCGTCGCCGTAGCCATGCGCGTCGGCAAAATGAAAAAGTTTTTTTTTTAATGAAAGATGATGTCTCAAAACCGCCAAACTCACTGGTTTGAGTGGAATTCTGCTGCTGCGCAATTTCAACGTGTTTTTAGATGGGGTTATGATCGAGAATATGCTTTATGTGGCCTCTCTGGACTCCCATATATTTGCACTAAGTTTAGTCGGGCACCATTTGCAGTCATCAGCCGACATTTGAAGCAAAAAAGTCGGGTAAAAAAAAAAAAAAAGCCGCGTCGCCGCACCACTTTTTGGACAAGCTCCATACCAGAAACCGGAGACTTTTTTTTTTTGGCCTAAAGAGTACTTTTTCAAATTTCACTCTATCTAATTGCATTATGGTCTGCACATGAATTCAAAACGTCTGCGCCCATGACGGGTTCAATGTATCTTCGCGCGTAAGAATGAGTTACCGCTCTAGTAATTTAGCTCTATGTGATACATTTACTACCTGTGGGCATGGGCAGTAAGCCCCCATTCCTCCTGTGTTAGGTCCTGTATCCCCCTCCCCTACCCTCTTATGATCCTGAGCTGGTGGCATTGCAGCAAAATGGGTCCCATCACAAAATGCTAGTACCTGCAAAGAAAACAATTAACAACTAAACATATTATCCAACCAAATAATACCTATGTTGTTATTATTTAACATTCATAAATACCTAAGACAGTTTACGCATTCCTAATGGTCGAGAGCCCATCACGTGGCCAGTCTTAAACAGACGATAAAGACATGGCTAGCTGGTCTTAAACACTTTTCCAGTGTCACATGAAATTTGGACTCCAATGAAATCCGGTGCCTTTTAACGTTTCATTGGTTGAACGTTCACATTCCTCACGTATGCATGCGCAATACTACCAGTGAATCAGTATTTAATGGTCCGAAATTCAGCCCAGCTGCGTTTTGCGCGGCATCGCGCAGTAAGCGCGACGCGTACACCAATGTCCTTATAAGGTAATGAGTTGTGGAGGGGCATTCCGTATTATAGTCGGAGGGATGTTTCATAAAACACGAAGTAAAATCGTTGCACAAAATGGTTGGCAACACCTACTTTTTGACTTGTTTTGATTTTTGGACCGAAAAGATTTGTTTTTTGACCGAAAAGGTATTTATGAATGGGAATAAATATGTGTTCGGTCGGTATTAAACACTCTGTTTAAGACCGGTTGCAGTCTGGATGGGTGATAATTACCCTCGGCTTTGCCTCGGGTAATTATCTCCCATCCAGACACCCACCGGTCTTACACCGCGTTTACACTGGATCCTCCAAAGGTGGATCGCATCCTGCGGTCGCATAAAACTACGGGGAAGCTAACCGCAAGTAAACAGTGCCGTGTTTACACCCGATCCTGATCCCCTTCCAATCCCCCATTTACAACGGAAGGAAGGTCATTGAGTGTGCGCAGAAGATGGCCAATTTCGCGCGCTAATCACTGCAAAAATTACGATATATCATTCATCGCTATCTCACTGCTTGACTACTGATGACTACTTAATATTTTACTCACGCATGTTCCCAGATTTTTGTCGTAATCTAGCTAGCTTCATCCTCCACGCATTGTCCACAATAGTCCACGAATAACATCGCAGTAACGTTACATATATAAGCCATGACTTCCAAACCACTTTGCAGGGCAATTGTTTATACCATGAAAGTAGGAATTTAGCGGTATTCAACTCCGAAAATTTTTAAAATTTTTAGGAATATGAAAAGATTTAGAGAATCAAATCACGAAACTAAAACAACATAAAATCGGCATAAACATGAATACACAAAATGATCGGATTTGGGAACACGTCGTGGGTAGTGATTTCAAGGAGATTGTGTAGTTATAAGGGCCCAGTTCAAATAAAGAGAACGTAACCCTGTGATCCAGGAGTCACCCAACTACTAATTAATATTTAAAAACAACCAGGGTTTGAAGTTTTTAAGAAATCTTTGGAGGTAAAATAGCAAGGAAGACGACGAAACGCAACACACACAAAAATTGTTGATGGCGAGCAGTAGATCGAGCGGCCGTGCTGAACCACGTTGGTATCAGCTGAAAATGCGTGCGAAAATCACATTTTCTAACCGAGGATAATGTTCAAACCTACCCAAAAAAATGGACTTTAAAGAATAAAAAAAGACTGCTTAATGCAGAAATGAATTTTGAACAAAAAAACATTTAAAAGACTAAAACGAAACTCCTACAAAAGACAGCCCATGACTATACACAGTCTCCACTTTCATGCACGTGGACGAAACACCGATGGATTCTGGCCGAGTACCAACCGTGCATATGTACTGTGCACAGAACCGCGTTGCAAGCCATCGCAGCATTTATGCGGGCCTCATGCAGGCGACTCGATCGTCAATAACAACATATTTTTCGCGGACTTTTCTACACTGACAGGGTGTGGCTGGGTCAAATTGCGGGGTCCGATCCACCAATTGCATTTACACTCAACAATTGGGGGATCGGATCCCGCAATTGCCGGGTCCGATCCTTCCCGAAAGGGGGATTCAGCTAGGGGGATCCGATCCAGCTCAAGGCTCGATCCACCTCGCGTTTACACTTGGGGTTAAGCAAACTTCGATCCTCCTTGCCGGATCGGATCCCCCTCGAATCCCCCTTGCGGGATCCAGTGTAAACGCGGTCTCAAACAGAGTGTTATAATACCTCCCGAACACACATTTATTCCCTTAATGAAATTCCATGTGCAAAAAAATAATCATCAGTCTGCAACCACAATGTACCAAAAAGACATCAGTTCTCTATTTTGCTGTTAATTTGATATTTACTGCTTTATTGTTTAACCCTTTTCTCTAAAGTTTGTATATATATATATTTTTTTTCTCTTCATGAAGCATGGAAATAAATGTGAAGTTGAAGTGAATTGAATTGAAAACTTATCTTTTAGAAATATAACTTGAAAACATGCAGCCATTAATAAGAACACTATTTCTCTAGTTGCATCACAGTCTATAATATGCTTTATAGTACTCATAAGTAATATACAAATAGTTTACCGACAAAATAGATCCCATTGTCTGATCATGATGATGTTCTTTTATTTTTATGCAACCTCTTATACATACAACATTGAACAATTTAAGTATTTCTGATACTTGTATATCCAGCATGTATTATGAATTACCTTACATTTTGCAAATCTCAAATCAGTGATAACATTAAACATGGGAATCATTTAACTCATGCAAATATTAGTGCAAACGTTAGCTAGGCCCCTGCAAATGTGCCAACTGTAAGTGGAGCAATGTTTTGTAAAAACTATTCTAAAAATCTAAAATTCTCCAAAAACTTATTGAGACTGGTATGATAAATTTGCCTGTGATAAATGACTATATTTGGAATGAAGAAATGGCAAACTTTAGCCCCTATTCAAGCATGCTACTCACTCATGTAACGAATTCCATTCAACTCAGTTTGCGCACGCACGTATTGTTTCAAAGATGGGGGCCTACGCACACGTAAGCGCGATCATTATCGACTCATGAATATTCATTTGTTTATGCGTGCGGATGACTCACCAATTATACTACACTATATCAGTGAGGACATCGCTTCTGACGGTTTCTAAGCACCCCGATTGGTAAGGTGACTTAATCGAAATGATAAATATTTTTTTAAATATTGAAAATGTCAGCTTGCAAAATCGTTTTATCAAAGTTTGAATTTTAGTATGATTTTGCATGAAAATTGAACTTTTTTCCTGATACCTTATCACAAAAGGGCATATTTCAAAAAACGCATTTTATTCCCTAAAAGTAGTGAACAAGGGTGTATTCTTCATTGTTGTATGTGCGGGCAAACAGCTAATAAGTTTTTAATTGTCAAAATTTGTCCTTGAATATTGCATTTTTTGCGACATTTTTACTTGAAAATGTATGCGCCTCACGCTGAACATCAAGAAATGCACACTGGGAAGTCGCTGAATAGGTACAAAGTGCTGAATCTTTCAGAAAAAAAAGAGAATTTTGTAATTGTATGCCTTGTTGAAGTCAAGAAACCTTGGATCTGCCATTCAAACCACGTATGACATGTCAGGCCTTGCAAACCGATACTCGTGGGAAGAAATCTGACAGTGCAACCCCCCCCCCCCCCCCCCCCCCCCCCCGACACACTGCAACCACAGATCATCCACTTTGTTCCAAACAGTCATCAACATTTATGGTATAGTCAGTCCCATTTGCACAAACATTGCCAAAGTTGGTAAATGTTATTGTTTTCCATGTGAGTAAAAAACACCCCAGAAGTCATGTGTAAATTTTAGGTATAAAAATGCACTTGTTTGACCTTTGTTAACATTAATTTAATTGACAGGCTATTATATTAAGTATGCAATTTCATCTGATGCTTACCGAGAATTCCTGTCCCTCTAACAGCTCCTCAACCACTACCCTGTCTCCTGCAGATCCAAAAAGTTTATCCTGCATTAATAAAGACAAAATATAATCTCTTTACATTTTGTCTTTTTGATAGAGAATGATAAACCAACAGATGTACTCAGTAGCAAAGGTACACAGTTGCAAGTGCACAGTATTCTGCAGATACGTGTAAACATTTGCACTCATACTTGTACTAATACATGTATATCCTTGCAGCTGTTAGTTCCTAGTACATCAGTAGTTTAGTGATGCTGCAAGCAGGCCTTCTCCATGCACAATAAACCTCGGCTCGTAACATTGACTGTATTGCTGTTGAAGGTGTTTAATGACTGCATGTACATGTACATAATGTCCTTCCATGAATAGTCCTCAGTTAGTCAATCACAAATTAGGTCACAGGTAGCACGGTAATGCTACAGCCACCACCGAACCAAAGTACATACCAAATATGGTATTTCCAAACTGTACTGAGTTGTTCAGTTCAGCATGTTCAGTGTAATGCGAGTGCAGTGCATGCAATTATGAAAAATGGTAGTTCACCCTGATTTCAGTTCGGTGCTGTTCTGCTCCAATTGTCCTAGAGGTTAGGTGACCATCTCATATTTTGGATAAAACTGTGTTAAAAGGATACTTCTGTGGCTCTAATGAACACATGTGAAATTTCAGTTGCTAACTCCAAGTTGTCACCAGATATGATCCCCGGACAAAATATGGTCCCGCCCAATGTTTTGTGTCTTTGGGGATTTTTTGGCTTAAGAGGCTTTGTTTTTCTTCTGATTATTTTTTCTTTACTTCTTACTGTTACTGTTCTTTCAACCCAAATACCACAGACTTTGCATGTGTCATTTTCGGTGCCACTTTGACTTCGATCTTGATCAAATTTAACACAATCAAAGACCATAAAGCAAAGATGGTGTGCGAAGATGGACGTCATTATGATGTCATCACATATCATGTCACGTCATCTTAAAGGTGCAACTTTCAACAGCCTATATCTAGAGAGGGACAAGGCCGATTGGGTTGAAACTTTACATGTACTTAGTCAGGGACTGCGGAAAAGCCCTATGTTCTGTTCTTAGTAGACCTGTAGTTTCTGTTGTGTCAGTTATTTATTTATTTATTTATTTATTTTTTAGGCCTATATCTCAAAACTGTGATAGACATGTGATGACCATATCAATACTTTGTTAAAATTTGATTTCGCTTATTACATAATAAAAAATACTGTAGGAAATGTAACATTTATCTGGGAAAGCAACTTTTGGAAGGCAATCATATGGGAAAAATAATTGTTGAAAACTTTAAATTGGGCAATCTTTCCACCATGACAATTCTTTCTGAATTTCGAGTACTACAGTATATGTCAACGTAATGACAAAATCCAGTACATTAACAAATATATATTTTTTATTTCTTCTTTATACTGGGTGGCCCATTCAACCCTTTTATCAGAGCTGATCTCCCGTGGGTCCCAGAAATATACCAACATCACATACTGGAAGGGAACATGTTAATGGGTTTAGGGGCTTCAAATGGAAATGTCCACACCCTGTACACATCCTGGGCGTATTCCAAACCCAGTTCTCATGTTGAATGAACACGAGAACAGGGTTCCAAATGACGGGAACCAACACGCGAACAGTATAGTGTTGAAAGCATTCATTCAGTGCAGGAGCAGCAACGATAAAAAAATATAATTGTACGTGGTTATAGAGCTTGCCAGCCTTGCCTTTGCCAATTTTTATAGCTTTTTCAAGATTTTAATTATTTTTGTATTAATTCAATTAATTGTCCCTTCTTCTCATTCAGCGTTTTGATACGCCCAGCTGCACTCCACACGCACTTGTGCATTCGTAATCGGCAACCCGAGAACACTGTTCACGGGTCACTGGACAACAGGGTTTGGAATACGCCCCAAGTTTAAATTCAGTGCAGCTTATGGGCCTGCTCTTACCTGTAGGATGGCTGTAACAGCTTGGCATGCTTCAGCTTTGTTGCTTGCTACAATCACTCCTTTGCCTGCTGCTAAACCACTAGCTTTCACGACATATGCCTGGTATGGGGCACTTCAACAATAAATAATAGTTTCCTTATAAATTGTAATGCAAGCTTCAATATCACTCACCATGTACATAAGGAAAATAGAATTATCACTTGAAACTTGGGAAATCACTTGAAAAGTGATATTTATTACAGATTTATTATCAACATTATCATGTGGTAAGATTGGGGGTAAAAACAAAGAAACAAGATGCAAGGTGATTGGCCACTATTTCATTTCACAATGTCCAGTTCAGTTATGAATAATTCTGTAAAAATAGAAAACAAGGCCCAAAAAAATGTGCTTCTGATGACCTCACCAACCCCAATGTTTTTTTTTGGGGGGGGGGGTCATACATACATGTAGGGTTGGCAATTGATAGTTCGGTTTTTTTTAGTTGATAAGTTTCTATTCCATTCTTATAAAAGTATATTTTTTGGAAGTGATAATATACCATATCTGGAATACTTGATGCAATAAAGTACCTTCGTACTCCAATATTGTCCTCCAATACGTGTATGTTCATGTACATATATGTACTGTGTACATAGGTAGCCTAGGTATACTCTACAAAAAATACAACTATTTCCAATTATAATACCTCACCCACAGATTTTGTATCTTGATAAGCCGAGAGTAAGACACATGGTATTTGCTATTTTTGCTATCTATAAAAAATATGCATATATATGCATGGCCGGTATTGTGTGCAAATGCATACAGGTGTAGGCGTTGTGCGTATTGTTCCTAAATTGTTGACTTATTTCTAATTAAATAAAAATACAGTTAAATCGTCTTTAGATTAAAAAATCAAGCAGAATCTGTGGGCGAGGTGCTATAAACCAAATATTGACTGCTTTAACTTGTGGTATAGTAAAACTAGCCTCCTCGGTGATCCGTGGAGCATTCTATTTTCCTAAGGCGAATGCTCCATTGATCATCTCAGGAGGATAGTTTTACTATGCCACTCGAAGCAGTCAATACTTGTATACTTTTTCACTGGACGCTGCACAGTTCAGTTGTGATTAAGGGAATAACAGTGTGAGGAGCCGGTCTTCACTGCGTGATAATGACCGGGTGTGGGGGTGACCGCTGTTAATGGACCGAGACGAACACCCGGTCATTACACTGTTATTCCCATTAATAAATGCCTTTATAACGAAATAAACAGTTAAAATGCTCCAATTTTGTGACTTTTTCCGGCGATATTTCCAGCATTTTTGTGTTCATGTTCATGGGCCATATTTTAGCTTAACAGCTATAACGACGTAAACTCAACAGAAACTGCTGCCGTAGCGAAACAAATTACAACAATGTTTTCATATCTTTACATGATGGAGGAAGCTGAAATCTCGTTTACACATTCCTTGTGTCCGGAATTACAAAGATGCTTGGTTTAGGAAAGGTAAATATGTCGGTGGGTGAAGTGTTTCAAAGAAAATAAATCGTAGATCTACGCTTTCATCGTAAACATCCTCAGTATATACTGCACTGCTGTACGATGTCGTTTCAAAACTTCCTTACGTGCGCGCATGCACGCATCCCTAGCAACTGTGTTGCATACGCGCGCGTCAGTCTCACGCGATGGGGGTTAAGCGCATGTGCAGTGCTCAATTGTTAAAAGCTACCGCAGGACTGTTACTATATTTTGACCAATCATTGGCTTGCATGGGGCTGAACGGGGCTTGATCTATGCTGGTTCAGGGGCCATTTATTCGCTTGATCTTTGAAGCCGGTCCATTATCACCGTTAATGACCGGCCACGTGATCGAGTCTCGACCAATCAGAAACCATCAACTCTCCAAGGTATTTATTAATACCATATAAAAACAGAAAAAGAATTGTCCAATCTAATATGCCTATCAAAATTATCAAACACGTGCATCCTTTTTTCACGCTTACTTCCAGTTTATGACTTCATCAGCCCAAAAAATGTGCAAAAACACCAAAATGAAAATTGATTTAGTTTAGACAGGATACATAAAAAATGTTAAAAGACCTTCTCAAAATTACAGGAATGTACTAAGTGTATGTATTGATTACATGTAACTTCTGGTTTCATGACGTCATAGCAATTGGAAGCCAAACATGAGCTGATATCCGTTTTTGTGCTACAAACATCATTTGAAGCACAAACATCAGATTAGCACAAAAACAATGGATCAAATTATGGCTTTTATTTAAAAAAGAAAAAAATGAAAGCTTTTCAACACGCTTTGACCTTAGCACTAGCCCTGCGTACAACGTCTAGTAAAAGCTGCTGCAGGCTAGTAAAAAGCTCTTTAACTTGTCCGGTAGGCCAGCATGGTAATGAGTCACTAATTTTGTGACTCATGTTGAGTCAAGTAAATTTAAGGAAGTGACTCAAGTCTAGTCGAGTCATTAGTCACATTGTGTTGTCGAGTCAGTCGAGTCAAATTTATGCTTGAGTCAATTCAAGTCACCGATATTGAGGACAAGCCACTAGACAGTTCCATTTTTTCTGTCGGCGCAGTGTATCGTGTTTATTATCATGCTGGGTTCAACATGTCTAGTGACTAGGCTAATATGATCTCGGATGAATATTCATAGCTGGTGTGCTTGGATACTGTAATTTCATTGGTAGAGAACGGCCACATGTCCAGTCTTTATACAATGGTTAACCTCATACAAAATGTGCACCATGCGGGCGCATGTAGAACCTGCACACACACTCGTGACTGAGAGCTACATGCAATGCGCAACAGCTCAGTCTCATGTCCGGCAGGAAAGCCTGCAGTAATCAAGAGGTACACTGCACTGATTTAATTGATTTCTTTCATAGTAAGCAAGTTACAACCATTTATCATTTTGACTTATTGGTAAGATACAACAAAAGTACAAGTACCATGCATGCTTGATATACATACATGTAGAATGCAATTTATCATGATGACTGCTGAAAAGAAATATTTGGACGCTCTTACCTCAAGATGTGAGCACATGCAGCTTCTGTATCATCAAATGCCTTCCACTTGGCTGTTGGTATCCCATGCCTATCCATAAAATCTTTAGCGAACTCTTTACATGATTCAATTTCAGCAGCTGCCTTGGTTGGCCCAAAACAATCTATTCCAGATGATGTCAGTGCATCAGTAATACCAGCAGCCAGTGGTGCTTCTGGGCCAACCACAACGAGGCTGATATTATTGTCTTTACACCATGTGATGAGTTGAGGATAGTTACTATGTGATACATCATCTGAGAAGGGGAAAATGTGTAAATGAATAAGATACAACACACTGACACTTGGAGATACATCTGGCTCCATTCAGGAAACCCTTGTTCTAGCATGTCCACTGTAGCCATGATCAGTATGGACACTCCACTTGTGCCTTAATTGTGCCATTACAATTTTTAATGTTTTTCCAATATTTGTCATCTTCCTCAACCAGAACAAATTTCTAAAATGTTTGTTTGCAAGCCCTGCACCCGATTTCATCAAACTCTTCGAAACTTACGATGCATCGCAGCGCTGCGACGCGTCGTATCCCTACGATGCGTCGCAGCTGCGACGCGTCCTGTGATCCATTTCACGAAACACGTCGTAAGTGCGACGCGTCGTATGTGTATTTATAGCACAACTCGGTGACTGTTTTATGTATTTAGTCAGCGTACAGTGAAATATATATTCAACAAAGAGTCGTCGGATCTCAGCTCGAAATTTGTTAAAACGTAAAACAAAATGGCGGTCGTGCGATGCAATTTTGAAGGAAAACAAGCTCTCAGTGGACTGTGTAGCTACTGAATTGCAACTCTAATATTCCGGTCTAGTTCATAATTATTCAATGAATTTTCAATTTACAACTTTACACACATTGCCTCGGTATTATAATCTCGTTAATGTAATTTTTATGGCATAAAACTGGCTTAGAAATGACTCTTCTTATTCTGCGACGACCACTAGGCACGTCTTAAGTTGCGACGTGTTTTAAGCCGTTGTCAAGGAACTTACGACGCGTTCAACACATCGCAACTTTCGTGAAATGGAAGATACGACGCGTCGCGAGTTGCGACGTGTTACACGTCGTAACTCGAGTTGCGACGCGTCGCAGCGCTTCGTGAAATCGGGTGCTGGTCATAAAAACTCCATACAAAATTGTAAACAGCCTCAATCCTCCGATCAAATCCTCCGTTATTTCTTGAATTTGTTCAGTGGAGGGGTGACCCTGCCTCAAGAGGCCCTCAATCACTTCAAAATCCAACAATCACTGTTGATATGTTGAGGCAGTGTTGATGATATCCAGAAGCAGCGTTGGTGAAGTGGAACGCCGCTATAAAGAACATCGTGGGATCCACAGAAAGAGTTCGTAATAATCATCGTTTGGTATAGCGATTTTGAACCGCCTGTACCCTCTTTTGACCAATAGTGAAATGGCATTTCTCACATCCCGCGGCCGCACGAGTCGTCACGAAACTTAAGCAATGGTTTTCCCTTTTATTCCTTTGGGAAATAATAGCCATCTATTTCTCTTCAACATTCGAACATGATGTAACTATGGGTCGTTTGATGTTCGAGGAATTAAAATTGGCCCAAATAGTGTTTAATACACGTACAACCGGTAGATTTTTGGTTAATCTGTTGACTTTTTTCAACAACAATGTTCGGTACGTTTTGTACATTAAAACCGGGAGCCAAGGATGATATTCGGTATAGCCGAATGTTCGGTATAGCGGTGTTCGGTATAGCAGCGTTCCACTGTATCAGGTATAATTTGGGCCTACATTAATGAATGGCTAAGCATAAGCTTGACAAATGCATTTTTCAAAATCAACAGGCACTTAACAGGCATACAGCCTCAATTATCCACAAGTGGCTTGTTGATTTTGCAGATCGAGAAGGGTAAGGGGTTTTACCTAGGCAAGCACATTTTAATCTCCTTCTGTGCTTTCAAATAAATTGCAGGGAATACAAACGATGTGTGGTTTTAATCTCGTTTTGATTTGGGAAGTACGACAGTAACTTTTCTCTGGCTTCTTTTGAAAGCAAGAAAGTACATGATGAGATTTCTAAACAACTGAAAGTACAACCTTGATTGTTTGTGCCCTACCTTACAACTTTACACACATTGCCTCGGTATTATAATCTCGTTAATGTAATTTTTATGGCATAAAACTGGCTTAGAAATGACTCTTCTTATTCTGCGACGACCACTAGGCACGTCTTAAGTTGCGACGTGTTTTAAAGCCGTTGTCAAGGAACTTACGACGCGTTCAACACATCGCAACTTTCGTGAAATGGAAGATACGACGCGTCGCGAGTTGCGACGTGTTACACGTCGTAACTCGAGTTGCGACGCGTCGCAGCGCTTCGTGAAATCGGGTGCTGGTCATAAAAACTCCATACAAAATTGTAAACAGCCTCAATCCTCCGATCAAATCCTCCGTTATTTCTTGAATTTGTTCAGGGGAGGGGTGACCCTGCCTCAAGAGGCCCTCAATCACTTCAAAATCCAACAATCACTGTTGATATGTTGAGGCAGTGTTGATGATATCCAGAAGCAGCGTTGGTGAAGTGGAACGCCGCTATAAAGAACATCGTGGGATCCACAGAAAGAGTTCGTAATAATCATCGTTTGGTATAGCGATTTTGAACCGCCTGTACCCTCTTTTGACCAATAGTGAAATGGCATTTCTCACATCCCGCGGCCGCACGAGTCGTCACGAAACTTAAGCAATGGTTTTCCCTTTTATTCCTTTGGGAAATAATAACCATCTATTTCTCTTCAACATTCGAACATGATGTAACTATGGGTCGTTTGATGTTCGAGGAATTAAAATTGGCCCAAATAGTGTTTAATACACGTACAACCGGTAGATTTTTGGTTAATCTGTTGACTTTTTTCAACAACAATGTTCGGTACGTTTTGTACATTAAAACCGGGAGCCAAGGATGATATTCGGTATAGCCGAATGTTCGGTATAGCGGTGTTCGGTATAGCAGCGTTCCACTGTATCAGGTATAATTTGGGCCTACATTAATGAATGGCTAAGCATAAGCTTGACAAATGCATTTTTCAAAATCAACAGGCACTTAACAGGCATACAGCCTCAATTATCCACAAGTGGCTTGTTGATTTTGCAGATCGAGAAGGGTAAGGGGTTTTACCTAGGCAAGCACATTTTAATCTCCTTCTGTGCTTTCAAATAAATTGCAGGGAATACAAACGATGTGTGGTTTTAATCTCGTTTTGATTTGGGAAGTACGACAGTAACTTTTCTCTGGCTTCTTTTGAAAGCAAGAAAGTACATGATGAGATTTCTAAACAACTGAAAGTACAACCTTGATTGTTTGTGCCCTACCTTCCCCCCCCCCCCCCCATGCACTGGGTCATTTGAGAGGATCAGGCAGGCAAAGCAGTGGTGGGAAAGAGTTCCATACCTGGACATCACTTGACACCCTATGCACAAACCCTATGAGACTGGTCTGGAAAAATTCCAAGTGTTTTCTCAGTTAATGCTTCAATATTTTCCCTGCTAAATTAGACTTTTTAGGACATGTTATTGCATTCTGATGGCTGATAGGTCACTGCAGGGAAAACTTAGAGATGTCAATGTATGGAATTCTTCCCCAGTGGTGCACTGACATACAATAATTGGATGTTAAGCCAGATTTTGACATTGAGCAGTAGTTTCACCAAATAAAATGACAGAAATACGTCTTAAACAAAAAAATGATTGAAACTGCAGGATAACTGACGTTTATAATTAACATCATCAAAACAACATCGACAGCTTTAATAACTTACTTGTATTGGTCACCTTAGCAATAGTATGGGTGCCAGCATTACCTGGGGCTACAAAAATATGAGAGACTCTCTCTGATTGGGCAAGCTTCCAGGCCAAAGCATGCTCTCGTCCTCCACTCCCTAGCACAAGCACTTTGTCTCCCATTATTTCTATCTGCAAAGTCTGAAAAGTGTTTAGGAATTACATATTTTAATAAAATAATCTAAATTAAATCATTACCATAATTGAATGTATTCAAAATCATGAACATGCGCAGTGACAGATTGGGAATTTGAGTGCTGAATAGCATGAAGCCCCATAATGTGGCAAATTTACTGGACTACCTCCATAAATAAAAGCCACACTTGGAACATGTACCAGAAAATGTAGAACTCTGTCAAGATTTGATTTTCGTATTTAGACTTTGCTTGTAGTTTATTAATGCTTTTGAAGCACACTCACCCTCTTATAGTGTTAGAAAAAAAAGCTTGGCATTTTTCAGATGTCTATTTATTGTGTAATTTTGTGTTGGAATTTAGTATACGCAAAAGTGTGCAAACAAACCTGGAAATTACACAAAAATTAGACATCTGTAAAATGCTGAACTTTTTCTATCGCTACACAGAGGGCGAGTACTGTGCTTCTAAAGCATAAATAAACTACAAAGTGTAAATATGAAAATCAAATCTTGACAAAGTTCTACATATTCGGGTACATGTTCCAAGTGTGGCCTTTATTTACAGAGGTAGTCCAGTAAATTGGTCAACATTCTTGGCAAACTTGGCTGACCTGCTAAGTTTGTACGGATCATTAGGAAGTTTTACACTGATGTACATGCTCGTCTCATTGTTGATGGTGAGCTCACTCAAGCTTTTGAATATAACAGTGGCGTTAAACAAGGATGCAAGCTTGCACCAACCTTATTTGGCATTTATGCTGCTGTTCTTCTCTATCTTGCCTTTAAGAACATTAAGCACTCATGTAGCATCAAAGTGCGCTTTCGTTATGATGGCAACATCTTTGACTTAAAAAAGACTAAAGGCCAAGTCCAAAGTTCTCAACAGCTACACACGTGAAGCACAGTATGCCGATGACATTGCCATCTTCAGTGATACCAGCAGCTTCTTCTAAATGCATGACATTGTAGCAAAAAAATGGGTCTAAAAATTAACACAGCTAAAACTGAGTGTACCAGTATATGTATTGGAAAACCAGCAGATTTTTATGTTGATGGAGTAAAGTTGATAAATGTCGACGACTTTAGGCAGTCAAGACAGCAAAAATTGCTCAATGAAAAAAAAAATCAATGCTCGAATCCAAGCCACATCTTGTTGTTTTGGCAGACTCAGAAAGAGGGTGTTTGATTCTAGAGGTCTAACAGTAGAAACCAAGATAATGGTCTACAACCATGAGACTTGGACCCTGCACTACATGTACCATCAAGTTCGTCAACTACGTGCTACACAGCAGAGACATTTGAGGCTAATCTTAAAGATTAATTGCTAATGATGAAGTCCTAGAGTTAGCTGGTGTTGAGGATATTGAGTTGAAACTGGTTAGAAACAGGTTGCGCTGGTTTAGCCATGTTGCAAGAATGGACGATGGAAGACCTGTAAAAAGCATAATTTACTGTGAACTTGCCAATGGCTCCAGGCGCGGTTCTAGAGCCAGTATTTTTTTTGGGGGGGGGGGGGGCTAGCGGGGTGGATCCAGGAATTTTTTCAGGGACGCGTGGGGGGGGGGGACCTCGTGCCATATTTTTCAAGTAAAATCCTACAATCAGGCACACTACGTATATTAACTAAAAGTGTACAAAGGCACCCTTCTCACAACTATTTGTTTAGGGGAGACCGTTCGCATGTACGTCACATTCTTACATTTTGCTAGCGCAATTTTTGTTTTTAGGGGAGGGAGGGGGGGTTGGGGGGGGGGCTAGACTAAAGCCAGCCAGCCCCCCCCCCCCCCCCCCTCCATTCAGCACTCAAGTTCCCAGTCTGTCACTGCGCATGTTCATGATGTTCAGTGCCTATCCAGCAAAATATTGCTTAATTAAAGTAAAAAAGCCGGAGCCAGTTAAATGTACACTGCTATTACTAGCTTGAGTAACTCCAGCTCCAATTCTCTGTCGTGCATCGTATTGAAAGGTCGCATGATTTTCGCCATCGCTCCCCATTTTCCCTGCTCCACATGTGTAGCGTAGCGGGGAAAACGTGGAGCGGTGCACAGTGACATCATGACATACAATGCACAACAGCCGTGCACGTTACTGGACTTGTTTTGGAGAAACGCCACCGAAATTATCCAAAAATGTCATATTTCAGTTTTTCTTGTTCTGTTTGATGTCGAATAGCCTTGGTCAAGGCTCTCGTCGTTATAATCGTTGGAATCTGGGAAGGGATAATACTAGAGAGAAAATGGACAATTTGTGTGACACACTAGGGACCAAATTTGTGTGATACTGATACAATGGGCACGTCTCTATAGTCCGAAGTCCCATTGATCCGACGTCCCATTGGTCCAAAGTCCCATTGGTCCAAAGTCCCATTGGTCCGAAGTCCCATTGGTCCAAATTCCTATTAGTCCAACATCCCACTGGTCCCAAGTCCCATTGGTCCCAAGTCCCATTGGTCCGACGGCCCATTGCTCTTTACGTTCCATTGGTATAAACATCCTATTGGTCGGACGTCCCATTGGTCCGAATTCCCATTGGACCAAAGTCCCACTGGTCCGAAGTCCCACTGGTCCGAAGTCCCATTGGTCCGAAGTTCCAATGGTCCGACGCCCCCATAGGAATAGGATCAGGGTTAGGGTTAGGGGCAATCAACCTGAACAAGTGTACCTACACAGTATTATGTTTCGTCGGACCAATGGGACTTTGGACCAATGGGACTTTGGACCAATGGGACTTTGGACCAATGGGACTTTGGACCAATGGGACTTTGGACCAATGGGACTTTGGACCAATGGGACTTTGGACCAATGGGACTTTGGACCAATGGGACTTTGGACCAATGGGACTTTGGACCAATGGGACTTTGGACCAATGGGACTTTGGACCAATGGGACTTTGGACCAATGGGACTTTGGACCAATGGGACTTCGGACCAATGGGACTTCGGACCAATGGGACTTCGGACCAATGGGACTTCGGACCAATGGGACTTCGGACCAATGGGACTTCGGACCAATGGGACTTCGGACCAATGGGACTTCGGACCAATGGGACTTCGGACCAATGGGACTTCGGACCAATGGGACTTCGGACCAATGGGACTTCGGACCAATGGGACTTCGGACCAATGGGACTTCGGACCAATGGGACTTCGGACCAATGGGACTTCGGACCAATGGGACTTCGGACCAATGGGACTTCGGACCAATGGGACTTCGGACCAATGGGACTTCGGACCAATGGGACTTCGGACCAATGGGACTTCGGACCAATGGGACTTCGGACCAATGGGACTTCGGACCAATGGGACTTCGGACCAATGGGACTTCGGACCAATGGGACTTCGGACCAATGGGACTTCGGACCAATGGGACTTCGGACCAATGGGACTTCGGACCAATGGGACTTCGGACCAATGGGACTTCGGACCAATGGGACTTCATAGACTTTGTATCGTCAGACCCCTACTACATGCCCTAAAGCATTGACCTTCAATTTGTGTGTGACAACGCGCGCGTATGCAAGCCGGCTAGCGTTACCTGCGCAGATAATGGAGGTTCGAGGATACACAATTGCAGAAGTGGCGTCAGGTTGCAACATTTTTTTCCAATAAAGGTCAGATAGGGCCTATACTCAGATATTGTTGATGTACCCTAACGTGGCGCGCCCCCTAACGTGGCGCACTTTGATTTTTCGCCTGTAGCGCCTAGCTAGAGCAAAAGTTTTAACTGAAATTTCACAGAAAGTGAAATTTCATCAAGTTATAAACACTCCCGTTCATAAATCGCGAATTTATTTACCCGCTACAAAGTTAAAAGAAAAACTTATTTTGGCTTGATTTTCCGATTTTATTTTCAAGTGCAAAGTGAACCCTTTGAAAATGCCCCGAAAAATAAGAAAATAATTTTGTGACAAACATCTGGCTGGGTATGTAAGTAGAGATAATAATGATTTATCAGAATTTATCAAGTTTTCAGAAATTCTTAAATGTTAATTTGGAATTCCCCGAGATTTATTTAAGTGCGCCACGTTAGGGAACACTCCGCCAAATTGTGCCCAATTTCCGGACGCCACCGTTTTTTAATTTCGGCTTAAATTTTATGAAACCGAAATTGTTCACAGAGGTTAAACAGCAAGCATTAATAAGGTAAAAGTACCAGTATTTCACTGCATGAATTTGAGGTTTGTCAACAAAGAGGTTTGGCAACACTACACGAGGAAATTTGGGTATGCTTCGAAGTGCGCCACGTTAGGGTACACCACCATAGGCATGATACTGATACTGATAGTGATAGGCCTATTGCAAAAAAGAAGAAAACACATGAATCTTGGACTGAGAAACATTTCGATTCTACCTCCATCATATTAATACAAAACAAGTTTGAGTTTGAAAATGCGAACGACTGTCCGCATCGTGCAAGGACAATGTGCGCAGGTAACGCTTGCAACGCGCGCGCGTTGTCACACACAAATGGAATGCGAGTGCGTAGAAATAGGACCGCGAAGCTAGTTTAGGGGGTCTGACGATACACAACCAGAACGGGCGTCTGGTTACTAAATCGTTACCATGATTCTTTCCAAAATTGAGCACTCCTAGTAAAAGTACAAGATTCGTGGCCTAGTGGGCTTACCGACTATGTTATTTGTGTAATTTACAGCTTTCACGTAGGCCGTAGGAGTAGGAACGAGCGGTATACATGCGTACAATCCTGCGGGCGGCAGCGGCATGCATATCATCAAAGCGATGGGATAAATGGATAAATATGCAGGCCAACAACCTCGTCCTCATGGTGTCGAACAGTACGCGCCCATCACTACCTGCATACTATTGGAAACGCGGTTGGAAATAAAGTAAGCACTGGGGACGAGATTGGCTCGTACCCTACCCCCGGCCCCGTCCTGTTTGCAGGGCGGGCGGGGGTACGAGCACTGATCTCTATAATTATAAAGTCTTTATACGTATACATGTATACAACCTCGTGCCCCGTGGGTACGATCTTGCAGCGCCATGTTGCCTTGCGTGATCTTAACGAGCACGCGCCCCTGGAGTCGAGGCTGACATGACATAGAGATCGGTTATGGCGTGTCAAACGTTGCAAAATTCAATATTTTACATTATATAACGACATACAGATCCTTGTCATTTGATTGGTGGAACTCACATCACGTGGCATTTGTTATTGCTCCCATTCATGCCGCGGCTCAAAAAGTACTATCCGCCCATGGGGAATGGGAAATATTATAACACCTCACCCGCAGATTCTGTGTCTTGATTGGCCGAGAGCGAGTCACATGATACTTTCTATTTTTGCTATCTTTCTGTGCACGGCCAAAAGTACTATACCCGTAGCAACCAAAGTACTATACCATTAGCAACCAAAGTACTATTTCCACGGCGCGGCATTTGTGTGCAAATGCATGCTGGTGTGCGCGTTGCACGCAGCGCGTTTCGTTCCAAAGAGAGCGCGCCACAGAGTCGGATTCAAACATTTCGCGAAGGGGTAGTTTGGAAGAGAGAAATACATGTTCCACCAATTTTGTATTGAAATTGAAGTTTATTTCAACTGTGTTGAGATTTAAATAATTTAAAATATTATAACGAAGCAGAATCTGTGGGTGAAGTGTTATAAAACAAATATTGAATGCTATATCTCGTGGTGAAGTAAAACTAGCCTCCCTCGGTGATCCATGGAGCATTCTATTTTCCCTCAGCTTCGCCTCGGGAAAATAGAATGTCCATGGATTACCTCGGGAGACTAGTTTTACTACACCACTCGAAGCATTCAATATTTGTATACTATTCAACAGTTAGGATCATGACGCGGTATTTGTGTGCAAATGCCTGCTGGTGTGCGCGTTCAGCGTTGCGCGTAGCGCGTATTGTTCCAAAGAGCCAGCGCTACAGCGTTGGGTTCAAACATTTTCGTGAAAGGGTGGTTTGGAAGAAAGAAATACATTTTCCTCCAGTTTTGTATTGAAAAAAAGTTCAAATATATCAAATGACAAGGATCTATATGTCAGTTATTTAAAACAAATATTGAGTGGCTTCCAATTGTGAAATGGGAGGAATATTATCGCTCGGTAAAATCTGGACTTTTCCAGATTTTACCTTGCGATAATATTCCTCCCATTCCACGCTAAGCCACTCAATATTTGTATAATATGTATGTTCGATGTTCAATATTTGTGTGTTATCTTTTACATTTATGTGTGATGTTCAGTATATGTGTGCGATGTTCAATATATGTGTGCGATGTTTTACAAGATTGTGTGTGATGTTCAATATATACATTGTATGTGCAATGTTTTACATTTATGTGCGATTTTCAATATATATGTGCGATGTTTTACAATTTGGTGCGATATTTTCAATTACGTATGCGATGTTTTACCGTTAAATGTGCGATGTTTTTGATATAATTGTGTTTGATGTTTTACAATATATTGTGATATTTTCAAATATGTGAGCGATGTTTTACAAATTTATGTTTGACATTTCGAGCAATACATATTTGATGTTTAATTATTTCTGTATTTTGATATTTCATCTTATATGTTTTTGATCTTTTTTGGGGGGGCCTGGTACCATCTTCCAACATAGGGGGCGCTCTTCAAAACAAATGATTATATGCTAAACATACATTATGTGCCCATTTTTAGGGCGTCTTGTATGGGTATTGGGACTTGGTTGTCATATTCCTCGTTTAGATCAAAAATATCTCTACCATTATTGGGAATGGTTACTTCTAAGAAATAGTAAGATACTTTAAGGGCATTTTTTTATTTATCTCGAGGGGACACTTTAATGCTCGAGGGGGCACATTTATGGCCGCAAAAGGGGCACTTGGCCAAATCTGGGGGGGGGGGCAAACGCCCCCCCCCCTCCCTCCCAGCCCCCCCCCCCCTCCGGTTCCGCCGCCCCTGCCATGACGATTCCAAAACCAGCCTTTATTTACACATAAGTGCTGGCATGGCGCTATAAAAACCAGTACCGGGTGCAGTTTCATCGTAATTCTTGAATAAACAGCCCACCAGGCGTGTCAAACGTTGCAAAATTCAATGTTTCACAATATATATGTTTGATGTTCTATATTTGTGTGTTATCTTTTACATTTATGTGTGATGTTCAGTATGTGTGTGCGATGTTCAATATATGTGTGCGATGTTTTTCAATATTGTGTGTGATGTTCAATATATATGTGCGATGTTTTACATTTATGTGCGATTTTCAATATATATGTGCGATGTTTTACAATATATGTGCGATATTTTCAATTATGTATGCGATGTTATACATTAAATGTGCAACGATTTCGATATAATTATGTGTGATGTTTTACAATATATTTGCGATATTCTCAAATATGTGAGCGATGTTTTACAAATATATGTTTGATATTTCGAGCAATACATTTTGGTGTTTTTACTTCTGTATTTGATATTTCATCGTATATGTATTCGATCTTTTGCAATATGCATTTGATGTTTCACTTTACATTTGATGTTTCGTTAAGAGTCGCAGTCTGGTTACTAGACCGCAAAAGTCTGACTATTTTGCCTAAAGTCAGTATATGAGACGTCAGGTATTCCGGTTGTTACCGTTTAGGTCTGGCTCTAATCATTTACGCGATCCCCTGACGTCTCATACACTGGCTTTAGGCAAAATAGTCAGACTTTGCGGTCTGGTAACCAGACTGCGACTCTTAACGAAACATCAAATGAAAAGTGAAACATCAAATGCATATTGCAAAAGATCGAATACAAATATACCGATGAAACATCAAATATGTATTGCTCGAAATGTCGAACATGTATTTGTAAAACATTGCTCACATATTTGAGAATATCGCAAATATATTGTAAAACATCACACAAAATTGTATCGAAAAACATCACACATTTCGCATCGCACATCATATATATCGTCAAACATCGCACATATAAATTGAAAATCGCACATAAATGTAAAACATCACACATTATATTGAACATCGCACATATATTGTAAAACATCGCACACATATATTAAACACTGGACACATAATGAAAAACGTCGCACACTTATATTGAACATCGCACATAAATGTAAAAGATAACACACACACATATTGAACATCCAACATATATTTGGTAAAACATTGAATATTGCAACGTTTGACACGCCATAATCGGTGGGTAGTACCAGCGCTCTAGCGCCCTCTTGCGATTTTTTTCATACAGAAGAGATTTTTTTTTTACATACCACATTATGGGTGCGATTGTACGAAAGCCATTAGCGCCACTGCAAGTATATATGTTACAGATTATGTAATTCGTTATTACGGATTATTAATTCGTTATTACGGATTATTAATTCGTTATTACGGATTTTTAATTCGTTATTACGGATTACTTAATTCGTTATTACGGATTATTAATTCGTTATTACGGATTATTAATTCGTTATTACGGATTATTAATTCGTTATAACGGATTACTAATTCGTTATTACGGATTATTAATTCGTAATTACGGATTATTTAATTCGTTATTACGGATTATTAATTCGTTATTACGGATTATTTAATTCGTTATTACGGATTATTTAATTCGTTATTACGAATTAAGTCTGATGTTCTCACACGTGGAGAGCACGTGACCAGGGGCCTATGTATATAGCGCCGCTAGGCGGCGCTATCTTTGCATACAACGTTTGCTTTACACCGGCACCGAATGAAACGCTCGCACTCCGATCCTGTGCCATACTTGCCGAGTAATGACTCAGAACGTATGATTAAATAATCCGTTATAACGAATTAGTAATCCGTAATAACGAATTAAATAATCCGTAATAACGAATTAATAATCCGTAATAACGACTTAATAATCCGTAATAACGAATTAAATAATCCGTTATAACGACTTAGTAATCCGTAATAACGAATTAAATAATCCGTAATATATATACTTGCAGTGGCGCTAATGGGCTTTCGTAGATTGAGTAGCTCACCCGGCCGAATCGACTCGGTCGGCCACGACAGCGCGGGCAAGTAAGTTCAGAGTTGTAATCAGTGGCGTAACCACGGGGGGCGTGGGGGCGACAACCCCCCCCCCCCATGAAACCTTGTCGCCCCCCCCCCCCCCCCAGTCGCCCCCCCCCCCCCACTGAGATTTTGAATTTCTAAAAAAATCATCATTGATTTACATGACGCCCCCCCCCATGAAATGTTCCAGCCCCCCCCCCCCCCCCCAGCGCCCCCCACTGAAAAATTCCTGGCTACGCCACTGGTTGTAATGACTCGAGTCAATGACTCGACTCGAGTCCGACTCGAGTCACGATTTTTGGTGACTCGACTCGACTCGAGTCCCTAAGGGCAAATGGCTCGACTGACTCAAGTCACTGCGAGCAAATGACTCGACTTTATTTGCAGCACTAGCACACCGTCCCGTCGTCAATGGATCATGATTATTCAGCTTAGTTCGACGTTTATTCATAAGAAAATAACAATGAGGTTGCACCATTGCTATATCACTCAGTCATGCATGTACATGTACATGTACATATTAAAGCCCGAGTCCATCATTTGCAGCTATCCAAAAAAGTAACCGGCGTAATTATTGTTGAAAAACATACTGGTTGAAAGATAGTAAGGGGACTAAACTCCCTGTGAAATTATCCTTCCTGGCAAGCTCTCATTTTGTAGAAATCAACGAAAGAAGGCATTTCCAACGGTGCTTCTTAAGAAGCACCGTAGGAAAATTTAAATTAGTTGTTCGTTTTGTTATTCGGCGCAGCGCGCACAAGCATTGGAACGACGCACAGGCGCGCGCGGTTGCTATAATAAAATTGGATCAGTGCGCAACATCGCGTAAAGCTGCAATTCAAAACAATTCGAAACATGATTTAGCAACTTTTGATTTTAAATTGAGATCCTAGAATGCTGTTTTTCTCGGAATTTGAAGCTGAAGCTGAGCTGAAACTTCATCACTGTTGTTCAGTATCCTTCATTAGATTTTGAACACTTTTGTCGCTTCAAACGAACAAAATGCACTAATTACAAATGATGGACTATAGCTTTAAAGCATTTCAAAGAACGGCTTTCGTCGAGCTGCCACAGTTGCCTAGTGGACAGCGGAATGGACCAGTGTGAAGCGCAAGATCTTGGTTCGGGAGCCCCTGCCTATTTTCATCAAATTATTTTTGTTAGTTGGGATAGCTTTATTTGAAGGGAAAACACTACGAGAACCTAAGTGTCTTCCATGCATCCACGCCGAGTGATACATTTTCATGTTAGGGTGCGTGACGTGACGGATTGGTTAAAATACAATGTATGCTGCAGAAAAAAATACGCGCGCGGACGATGGATAAAAAGGTCGGACTTTGTACTCAATTTTAAGGACAGATAGTATATAGCGTTGGTATACAGTGAAGCATGCAGACGCCACGATAGGCCTAATGACATCAACATGAATTCGCCGATAACAGTGATCGCCCTATGTTTGCTTATCTCCTGCCAAGGGCAACATCAAAATACACCTCCTAACATCGTTATGTTTCTTGTGGATGATCTGGGATATGGAGACCTCGGTTGTTATGGCAATGAGACAGCCAAGACTCCCAACGTGGATCGTTTGGCAGCGGAGGGAGTTCGTCTAACAAGGATGTACTCCCATGCTACATGCACCCCTAGTAGAGCATCGCTTTTAACAGGTGGGCCCTTCGTATCCCTCGTATTTTAGTCCGCCTATTTGTAGGCAAGGAGTATGGGAAACCAACCGAGTAATGAGCAAAATTTGCTCGAAGACAGAAATGGTACCAAATACCCTAAGAAAATGATCTGCCTGAAAATGGCATTGTTTGAAGATAACAATTATACTGCTGGTGGATTTTTAATAGAGTATGCCTGTGTGCACAATTTTTTGTTGTTCTTCTTGGTTTGTTTTTTTAATTTGACGAAAGATCACCCATCACGGAGGACCTAGATGTCACGTATATATACCCGCCAGCTATAATTTATGAGGGTCATGCAAGCGTTTCAGAAATGTATTTAATGTCAGGAAACGGGGGGAATGATATAAAGGAGGGGGGCTTGAGTCTAAGACGTGCCAAAGGCACGCCCTGGTATATGGGTGTCCGGGGCGTGCCCTATGAAAAATTATGAAATATTAGGCCCAAAAAAGACGGACTCTGGTTCCGGAATAAATGCACAGAACGTGTTGTTTTGTTTTGTTTTTGTTTGTTTGTTTTTTTTTTTTTTTTTGGGGGGGGGCTTTTTTTCAAGCTTGTTTTTGTGTGTCCGGCCTCCTGATGCACCTTGGTGTCCTTCATCATTTGCATTTGTGCCCTTCCCCATTCCCTGGTGTTCCTCGTTAAACAAAAGTTAATTTGGAACATTATTTGGTCGCTTCAAACGAAAAAAAAAAAACGAAAAACACAAATGGGTCTACATACCTTTAAAATATTAATAAATATTCCGAAAAACAATGAGAATATTAAACAATGAAACCTATTCCTTTCTTTATTCGTTGTGAAATAAATTTTGTCATTATCATTTAACCGAACGTCGGACCAAATCGTGTTATGTTGGGTCCTACCTCTGTCCTTCTCTTGACTCACCTGGACGTTTTGTGTTGCCGTTGTTGACACATCCTAAACCCTCCCACTATGAAAATAGGAGTTTTGTCGCGAACCCGTCGCTAAACGCTATCTAGTCCCCCTTTCCCAAATAATATTGATATTGCTGGTAATAACTTGTATTAATGGTTTGCGTATACATGTACCGTGTACCAGCAAGATAGCAGTAAATGATACTGGGCCTATCACGTTATAAATAAAATCTGAAAACACAGCCCGACCCCCGGCCCCAGCAAGAAAATTAATTTCTTGTTTTGAGCACAGTTTAAATATACGGACTTTGAAGTGTGTAAACAAAGTAGAAGGTAAAGGGGGCGAACCTGTGTTAACAGGAACGGAGTGCCCATCTCTCTTCCTTTAGCAATTGGGCCAGACTCATATGCTGCTGTGGGGGATCGCCACACCTCCACAGCGAGTCTGTTACCTTCCCAGCATTGAATAATGCCGGTACTCATTGAACACCTGGGTTGAGAGGAGTAATTAAGGTAAAGCGCCTTACCCAAGGACACAACACGCATGTCCACGATGGGGCTGGAACCCACAACCTCACGATCATGAATCCTGTGCTCCACCGCTAGACCACACGTGCCCACAGTGTGCAGTTATGCGCCAAAGTAAGAAATAAATGGAAAATCGCGTTAAAATAACATTTTCTGGTAGCTTTGTTATATCGGTCGGATATCAACATAGATATAGGTTTTCCCGGCTATTTTAACACTTGTATCACACGAATTCCCTATATCGATACTTTAATTTCGTCCCCGATCATCACCAAGCTCAATTCTCAATTTGAATTTCCGAAAGCCACCACTAGATTTCATTTAAGGTTCAGTGTAATTCAAATTGTTAGCATTCCGATTCGTCTAAAATCTTTGAAATTCGTCTCGTGAAGCAATCGGCGTTGAATTGACAAAGCAAATTCGTTTTTTTGTCATTCGTTTTCATGTTGTTGTCATTACATTTCGTCCCTGGTGACTTAAATCGTATACGATTAGAAAATGCGCCCAACATTTAGACTTATTTGAAGAATAATGCGTATTAAAACAATGATAACTTAATTCAACATATATTTCCTTATATTTATAAATAAAAGTAGTTAGCTGTAAGGTATGAATTTTTATTTCTGTGTTTCACAATTAACATTAGAGTCAGAAATTGACATATCACAATATGCACTTATGATATGGACACTAAGCACACTAAGCATTAAGTTCAAAGACCTTCTTAATGTTGTTCTTTGATAGACATACCTTATTTTTGTTGTTTTATTCATATACATATATCAAAGAGCAACATTACGAAGGTGTTTGATCATAATGCTTAATTTTCATAAGCAAAGAGCATATGTATTGTGAAAGTTCAATTTCTGATTATAATGTTAATTGTTAAAAAAAAACTCAATGCTTACAGCTATACTTTCATTTATAAGGAAATATTTGTTAAAAATTAAAATTAATTAATGCGCAAACAAGTGCAAAGATTGGGCACATTTTTAATCGTAACGTTTTAAGTCACCAGAGACGAAATGTAACAAGAACATTAAAATAAATGACAAAAAACGAATTTGCTTTTTCAATTCAACGCCGATTGCTTCACGAGACGAATTTCAAAGATTTTGGACGAATCGGAATGCTAACAGTTTGAATTATACTGAACCTTAAATGAAATCTAGTGGTGGCTTTTTGAAATTCAAATTGAGAATTGAGCTTGGCGATGTTCGGGGACGAAGTTAAAGTATCGATATAGGGAATTCGTGTGATACAAGTGTTAAAATAGCCGGGAAAATCTATATTAGACTTGCCGCAATTTGGAATAATAATACTCAGGCAAGTCGGTTGAGAAAATCAAATCGCTCTTTTACGCAACGTAATAGGCCTAAATCTACTTCATGAAACATAAACCCAAGGCTACTACATGAAAACCTCCCGAGGACTGTGCTCAGGTCCTCGGGGTTACTGGCAGATGAAAAGTCCTCTGGCGTACTAACAAGCTCACTAATACACACGCCTTCATCACTCATGTTCAGTGTTACGTTCCATGTCCATGATTAACATTAACAAGTCCCTCAAATAATCTAAAGCCAGTGATGATGTTAGCAAAGGCATGTTAGCTTATTTAGAAAAAAAAATCGTTGAGAGTTTTAAACATAAATAAAATAAAGTAAAATATACAGAGTTTACCAGATGTGTGTCCTTGTCAAATTTAGACAAATAATTGTTTGGATAACTCATACAGAAACGATTATTAAAACAAAAACAATCGATTTAAATAGAAAAGAATTAAATTACATTTTTTTAAATGTGATATATTGTAGCAAATTAGTAGCAGTTCGTCCTCATTTCTGTAAATTCGTCTCATTGGTCAATTAAATGTAGACAGTGCGTTTTTTTGCATTTCCTTAGCCCATTGAAGGCATATACATTTCTGGGTATTTTTTTGCGTTTTCTTAACGCTCCACATACTGCCAAAGGTACACTAGCTCGGAATGTGTAGATGGTATGATAATCACACTAAAGCTTGCTCAGGATGTACCAAAAGCCTGCAACGCCGAGTGCAGACATTACACATTTCACAAACACCTGCATACGCTTAACTTTTCAAATTAAGTCCATAAGATCGGAATTAACATTTCCTAACCGTAACATTAACATTTCAGATTACCAGAAAGGAATGACAACATCAAATTGAAAGACTAATAACAACGAATTTGCTTTTTCAGTACAACGCTAATCGCCACATTAGACGAAATGAGGACGAATCAGTATGCTACACGTTTGAAGTACAATGTACATTTGAATGGAATCCATGGGATGCTGTTTGACATTGGAATTTAGCTCGACGATGTTCGAAGATGAAATTCAAGTGTCGTTTTGGAAATTTGTGTGATATTTGTTAAAATAGCTGAAAAAAACTATATCATTGCCAAATAGTCGATCACTAGTAGATGGCAACAAGTACGAAGCAGAATTAGAGTAAAAAAAAGATTAACATATAGTTTTATTTTGAACAGCGGATTGTATTTTCGAAACATCGAACGTGTATTTTTTACCACCCGAATGCTATTTCCAAAACCGATTGAAACTTTTACAAACCTAACATGTCTGTATACAATTCGAATGCATTTCCCAACACAGAATGAAATTTTACAATTTTGGTCGACATATAACATCCGACGGATTCGAATTTTGGCATTATGTGCACATGTATTCGACATCAGGAAAAAGCATCCGATCTTTTTGACCATAATTATCCCCTCAGTTTTGGCCGAGTACACGTAGTAGGCCTACACTTGAATGGTCTCCGTTCCAGAACGGCTCCATAGTACACTGTACAGAGATATCCAGTCGCTGCAGCATTTTAAAATACACGCGTTCGATGTTATACATTCTGTTTTAAATGCATTCGATTTAAATAGAGCCTACACGTGCGATTTTACAAAATCAGTTTTCAAAATATATGTTCCAATCTTTTGGACTCGGATTTTGCCTCGCTTTGGTCCTTGAAGTATGACGTCAAAATAAGTGTATACACCTATTTTAGTCTTTTTCTTCTTCTCTGTTTAGTTCTGTTGATGTTTGATTTCTTATAATATTTAACCACGCAGGCCGTCTACCAGTGCGACAAGGTCTCATGAAAGGCGACATTCTTCCCTTTGATGTATTGATGTCGGCAGCGTCGGACGCAGGGCTGCCACATGATGAGACTACAATTGCTGAAATACTGCAATCCAACGGTTACGTTACCGCTATGTTTGGTAAATGGCATCTTGGTTTAGGGCGTAATCGTCGATTTCTACCCACCAAGCATGGATTTAACAGCTTCTTCGGGACACTGTTCTCTCACGGACAACCCTGCACCACGGATTATTCTGGATTTAGAAATCTTGCTTTGTTTTTACATTTTCTTCAAACCTGTTTCAAAATTTGGAAAGCGATCATGTTGTGCGTGTTGTTTTTATGGTTGACAAGATTATCCAGCAACAAAACAACGGTCATATTCTTAACAAGTGCAGCACTATCATGCGTAATGATGTATACTTATTTTTACACGTTAACGGCACTAAATCCAAGCACTTGTATCCTTTTTAGAAATCAAAACATTGTAGAACAGCCTTATAAATATGAAAATCTAACTATAAGGTATACAAAGGAGGCGCTTACTTTCATGCATCAGAGCTTGAATGCCGGAAGTCCATTTTTCGTGTACATGGCCTACAATCAGATGCATCCCCCAGTATTTGTGTCGGCTAAGTTTAAGAATATTACAGGTCGTGGCATCTATCAAGACGCCTTGATGGAAATGGACTGGAGTGTTGGGAAGATCACAAAGTTCTTGACAGAAAGACAATTAAATAACAACACTTTGATCATATTTTTGTCGGATAACGGCCCAGAAATATACAGGCCAGGTATAGGAATCATTCTTCCTGCAGCGATGCGGGGGTCGGCAGGTGTCATTGTAGATGGACAAGGAGAAAGTATTTATCTACGAGGACATAAAACAAATAATTGGGAAGGTGGTATACGAGTACCGGGTATCATCAAATGGACTGGCAAGATACCAAACGCACACACTATAAACGTCACAACTTCTCTCATGGACATTTTGCCAACGGTTCTGGACTTGATAGAGATTCCTTATTCAGGGAATAATGTTTTGGACGGCAAAAGTCTGGTTCCTTTAATGTTTGACAAGTCCCTCCCCTCTCCTCATCAGTTTCTATTTCACTATTGTGACATGCATAAACCAGCAGCCGTTACGTACGGACGGTTCAAAGCACACTTCATGCACAGTCCTACTGCCATTAGCTGTAATGGAGAGGAGCTTAATCCACCTTTGCTGTTCGATATTGAGGCGGATCCTGGTGAGAGTAGACCATTGCAGCTCGAGAATTATTCAGAAATAATAAGTGATATTAACCAAGCTGTGGAGCGTCACCTTATCACTCGCTTATCAGACCAATTTGACAGTGGTTCTCAATACGACTATATGATGTGGCCGTGGCTCTTTCCGTGCGCTAACTTTCCATTTTGCCACCAAGAGATCACAGATGACAAAGACATACAATTGGAAGAAAACGAATACTAAGTACATAATAACATACGTAGGCCTGTACAGGTAGCCTGTGTTAATACTAATAGCTTCACCATTTCGTCCAATTCACATATGGAATTTGCATCGTAGATGCACATCCGTCATTAACTTTTGCCAGATTGCCGGGAATGGCGATATACAACTGTATTTCCAAATATCAAATTAATTTCTGGAACTTGCATTTTGCAACTTGCGACGTTGCGTCCGAAACCCGGTATATCCCATGCATGAGACAGGCTAAAAGAAGCACGCCCTTTCTGTTGAGGGATGGCTGTTCGTCGCAAGTTGCAAAAGTAAGTTCCAAAGAAAAAAATTCATTCGATATTTAATTTTAATTCATATGCTAAACAATTACGTATACTGATATTTTTCATAACTTCACCGTTCATGATTATTGTTTCAGGCATATTGTGCCTTTAATTATTTTGTACAGAACTATAATTTAAACTGTCCACTGTCGTAAACGAAGTAGAATATAATGGCGAAATAAATGTATTACATAGCTAAAGGCAAACAATCATATTGAAAAAAAAAAATCATATTGTGCACATCTAGGAGTATATAGACTATAGGTTTGGTTAGATATCATAAAGGGTCAGTTTACCCCGTAGGGGTTCCGCTTGACCCCCTATATGTGGGGTAAAACGGATCAGAGATGGGGCCCTTATACCAGGGGCCATTCAGAATTTTCAATGTTTTAAAATTTCGACTTTTTTTCAAAATTATTTTGACCCACCCACCCACCCCTAATTTCGATTAATAAAAAACTGAACATGTACATGTACATGCACTTGCATGTACATGTACTTGAACACCATGTATACATGTGTGTCTAGTTCAGTGACGGCGTGAAGTTGTCGGTCTTCCTCTTTTGCACTGGTGAACCTTCAGTTTTCTTGTGTTTTGCCAGCTGATATGCTGTTGGGAATGACAGGTTGCAGTTTTGGAAGCCACAAAGATGACCTGGTTTTGTCGTTTTCTGGATGAGGTGGATGAAATGTGACATACGAGGTTGTGCCTGTCACGTGAGGTAGCTGAGAAAAACATTCGCTCGTACCCTACTCCCCCCCGCCCTGTTTTCAGGGCAGGGGGTACGAGCGAAAGAAAACATCAGGTTTGGGCAGACATCACATCACAGGCTGCGGTCCTCGTAGTCTTGGAGTCCAGTGGTTGAATAGTCCAGTTTTTATAGCGATTGGATACACGTAGGCCTACATGACGTACATGTACAGTACACAGTGGCGTAGCCACGGGGGGGGGGGGGGGGGGGGGGGGGGGGGGGGTGGGGGGGGGGGGCGACAGCCCCCCCCCATGAAACCTTGTTGCCCCCCCCCACCCCCCCACTGAGATTTTGAGTTTCTAAAAAAATTATCATTGATCTACATGACGCCCCCCCCCCATGAAATGTTGCCTGCGCCCCACCACTTGAAACTTAGAACTGATAGACACATGGATTACAAGATAAGAGAACTGTTCAATTGCCGCTCATTGATGTTCTCCGAAGTCACCGTGTTAAAATTAGAAAAAGTTTTAACTATGGAAGGTTGTGAATCTTTTCTTTCAAAACTGAGGGAGGAATTATTGCAGTCATGTTTATGTTATCGTCAGTGTAAAATTGTAGTAGATATGAGAGGCAGCCCAAATAGGCGCGACCTAATCCGGCCAAATTACGATTTGTATACTAGTTTATCTGTAATAATAAAGAATTTTGGCCCCTGCACTTGAGGGTCTGTATTTGTAGAAGTGAAGGGTCCATGTTCCTGAATTTGGATTTCTGAACAAAACATTTGAATGGAATCTATATTGATATGGAGTGGAAGGAATCTGTTTGTTTGTTTGTTTTTTTTCAAAATGGCGATGGGGTGATCATCGTTGGAGGGAAAAATCACCTAAAAGTCATAGGTCAACCCCCCCCCCCCCCAAAAAAAATTCCAAAAAGGTGAAGAGGATTAATTCAGCTTTCATTTGATGAATATTTTGATCACCTGTGAAGGTTCAGAGTATGTTCCCCGATTTGTTTAAATTGGGGTATTTATCTTTGGTGCCTATGGGAATTCATGTATTGGTGTGCACTCTTAAACGGAGTGCTGAAAATTCAGGGATCGCATCAACAACTGCTTTTGAATCACACAGTCATGTTTGTGTACCATACTTTCCCACACATAAACTTTTCATCTGGAAGGCTCATGTCACGGAATGTCCCATTAAACTGTTTAGAAATTATGTTGAAAATAACATCTTCATGGATTCCCAGCACAACTCCTCACAATAAGCCCAGTGTTAACAATATTTCTCGTTTTGGGTCTGAAAATGAAAATTGTCGGTTTGTGTATTATGAATATGATCAAGTGAAATTATTTATGCAGTATTTTGCCCATTTCCCTCAAAATTGCATATTGTAATATTGTACATTTTTATCAATTTGCTAGAATATGTGAAACCTCACCAACAAGTATCTTTTAACGAAATTCAATCAAAATATTTATCTTTTTTTTTTTTTTTTTTTTTAGTTGTGTTACTTGTTGGTGTCCCTGCCACACTGTACGATGGTGTAGCCGTGCGTTATGCACGTGGATTGTTTACTTTCGTTTTGGCGGGGACTTTACTGAATAGAGTCTGGTGACTGTACATAGAAATTTATTTGAATAAAAGTCGAATCGTTCATTCATGTGCACTTGTTATGCAAAGCAGGGGGAGTGGTTCAAGGATATCTATGTCGACTTGCAGAAAGTGTGCAAGAACGCAACTTGAATGCTTTTATGTGTTCACAATACAACGACGCTGTTAAGTTATTTCGCTGTGTGACACAGTGAGAAATTTTGGAATCATAATGGCGTCAGCGATACTTACTGGGGAGCTCTTGAAGGTACCTAAAAGTAAACATAACAGCATAGAAGACCGACAGACGAACATAAAATGTTACAAAATAAACATATTTGTCTGGATCATTTTTTAGGGCGTTACCGGCAAGTTAACACAAAGTTGGTGTCAAATAGATCATGGGAGTTACTTTTCTTTGTCTTTTCATACAAGTTTATATAAACTTTAACTGTATGACCTGCAGTGGCGTAGCCACGGGGGGGGGGGGGGGGGGGGGGGGCGACAGCCCCCCCCCCCATGAAACCTTGTCGCCCCCCCCCCAGTCGCCTCCCCCACTGATCATTGATCTACATGACGCCCCCCCCCCCTGAAATGTTTCAGGCCCCCCCCCCCCCCCGAAAAATTCCTGGCAGTTGGAAAAGAAACACGCATCGCGATATCGGAACGCTTGCGCGTAGTTCAGGCAAGTCAAAAGATCTATCTTTCTTTGGTTTTTTATCTTTTTTCCATGGAAAGTGAATTTCGATTTTCAATTTTTTAGCTTGACCCACCCACCCACAATTTGGAAAAAAGATCGAAATTTTAAAACATTGAAAATTCTGAATGGCCCCTAATACATCAAAACTGTGCATTTAAAGCTTTTCTATGTATTTTTGTTTTCCTTTTTTGATAACAATTTACTACATTTGGACTATTGGAAATTTGAAAGAAAACCTTAAAATATGCATTTTGTTCTCACCACAAAAGTTGTTGGGGTGATCCAATAACCCATCTCCCGGGATTTACGCCCTTGCCTCAAATACATTTCGTCTTTTATCATTCCTTATGAAAATCCAATATTTCGAATTCGTCTTATATCAAATTTTTTTGTTAAGTTACAATGTAGTATGATGTGATGTTCGCATCGGACAAGGTGTATTGAACTCTAAGAACAGAACAGTTATCAAAAGAAAATAAACGGAAGGTGGAAAGTCATTTCCATATTGGCTATATCTACTAAATACGTCACAATTATTAAGTTTGGTGAAACTGACTTAACGGGCTTTGAACCTGCGACCTCCAGATGGGTGCTCCGGTGCTCTATCCAGCCCTATTTTGGCGGTTCCCCATTTCGTCAATAGTTTTATTCAAGTAGTGCCAGTCAGAACCATGTAGCCAGGGTTCACGTCCCAACCCGCACTTCTGGCAACATTTTAGTAATGCTGCAAACCTGGGAAATAGGAAACATGGATCACCCAGAGAGGACATGGCTTTTTCTAATAAACCACATAGTTTCCCTTTGTGGTTCATTTCAAAAGTATGATTCAACTGTGCGAAATAAAACAATTTTGTTTTCTGAATAATACGGCTCCGCTTGAAAGAGATGTAGCCAGGTTCATGCCCTCCATAAATATTGTGCTCTGCATGGTTTTACCTTGTTTTTAAAACTAACATTAAAATATCACGATTAACAGTTACTCAATTTTCCTGGACGAATAAGAACATTAGGAGTTGGTAAATTCGAATCGTAAACGTTTTAACTGGAAAACATACATTTCAGTTGAGAGAGAGATAGACATCTCCATTTACTTTTAGTACAAGTTAGGAAAATGCATGTATAAATATATGAATCGTGCATTACCTGCTTGCTTTAACCCCCGATTTACATTAACTTCAAACATCCATTCCTATAAACCCGCAGTATTACTAGGACAAATCTTTATTAATATAGTAGAACCTCATTGTCCAAAACATAGTGTTGTCCAACGTGGCACTCTATATTGGAATAGTCTGGATAACTTTTTAAAATTATTACCCACCCTCTATTTTCGCCAGAAAACCAAAAACTCGTTGTTAATGGCATACTAAAGCAATGTAATAGGGATAATTAATAACGGCCTTGTGCTCTGTACATGGATTTTCATTGTCACTCGTCTGTCTGTCCACAGGCTGGGGAACAAAAGCTGTTGCTTCGTCCCGGAACTATAGATGTTGCCATTTAGTTAATGTTCACTATAATTATATCAATTGTAAATATATTTCTGTACGTTTATTGTCAATTTGATTACGTAACATTATATATCATCCTTTATGGCAGCATTGAAATAAAATTGTATCAAATAAAATAAAAAAGGCCTGAAATAAATGTCTGGAGGTTCTTTTGGTTTTCTCTTCTTTCTTGTGTGACAGTTGTGTTTATTGCATCGTAAGGTGATGAAAGGCAACATTCTTCTTGACATTGTCAACCACAAATTTATTCAATGTTGAAAAAAAAAACTTACTAGTAAAATGGGTCAAAATAATAAAAGTTCCTACATTTATTTTCAAATTGCCTTACTAAGAATAGGGGAGAGGCATGCCCCGGACTCCCCATAGCAGAGGCACACGTTCATTCGAATATAAAAAAGTCTCCATGCAGACCTACTTCCTAAAAGCTCCGCCCTGAAATGAGTCCAAGAGTGACTCATCAGGTGACTAGGAACCCAATTCTTCTGTGTTTGGAAGACATCGGTGTCAAACCAACCTCGTCCCCAGTGCTTACTTTATTTCCAACCGCGCTTCCAATAGTAAACCCTGGATAGGAAACTTTCTTCCTGTATCCTGATTGGATACCGCAATTGGCTAGTAATGGATTTTTATCGTGTACTTGGTGCTATATATTCACAACGTGCAGTATGTGTTTTCGCGATCATTCGTCCACGTCTTCTCGAAAATACTAACTTCCTTTCCAATTTGCTCATATTAATATGAAATATGATACTGCATGTTGTCTCGATAAGATCGTAACAGTTTGATTTCAAAAATCGTGTTTTCGTAACTCACGCCGTGCTCGCGCTGCCACGAATTGACTCTGTTTTTACCCCAGACACCGCATACAAAAACAAACGCTAATGTGTAACGCACATCCAGGCACCAGACTGTTCCTCATTTGCATACGTGTGCAAAAATCTTGCACATGCAAATGATCCAATACCAGGGTGAGAGAGCAGGTAGTGGTGGGCGCGTACTGCTCGACACCCTGGGGACGAGGTTGGTGTCAAACCTGTTTACAAAATAGATGTGGTCATGTGATGCCGGCTTTTGGTTAACCGTTCTTTATCTGGACTTCATGTTTGTCTTTTGAAATATACGGGTGGTATTAAGCATTGACATTTACTACAGGATCAATGTGAATAAAATAATGAGAAGTGTTTGTTATGACTATTGTTTGCATTTTATTTTGAAAAAGTAATATTTAATATAAAAAAAACTTAACAAAAATACGGGCATTGATAACGAACAAATGACCAAAGAATCCAAATACATGTAACAGATTTGATAAGCAACTGGAAGCCTATCAGTGTTGGTTTTATTAGGTAAGACGATATCATTTCTTCTGAGATGCAATGATTCCCTCATGGGACCAACAATTCCTCTCATTGTTTTGTTTGGTGTGCTCCATTCATAATCAATAGCAGGAAGTTTCCTGTTCACCCCCCCCCCCCCCAAAAAACCCAGGGGGTTCTGCCATCTTGTATTGGCTTTGCCTTGATTGGATAAAAAAAAGACCAACCAGTCCACTTCAGAGGAGTAGCCAGCGGGGGAGGGATTTATTTATTTTGTACAGACTGCCCTTTTTCCATTCAATTGCCTTTTTTCACCAGCGTGTAAACCCCCCCCCCCCTCCCAAAAAAAAAAAGTGCCCTTTTTTAGACAAGTGCCCTTTTGTACCAGCTGCCTTTAACAATTGCCCTTTTCTTGATTTCGCGAGAGTCGGTAATTGTGCCGCAATGAAGAGCGCCATGTATTGTTCGCTCATTTGCACGATGTTCAGGTTTGAACAGCCCCCCCCCCCCGATCACAAAAAAAGGTGTGCGTTCTTTCAGCAAAACGAAAACAATTCACACACATCCCTATGTGATTTGTTTTTGTTTTGCTGAATAGTGTGCACACCTGAACATCACTCTAGTTATGTGGAGAGATTGTTGCACAAGCATAAAATCATTTTGCTTAGATAACTGATGCATAACTCGACAAAATGTTGGTGTATATGGACAATGTACGAGGTATAGCAAAACTGTAACAGTTTATTTGGGGGGATAGTATACAAATACAACATGGTTTGTGGAGAAATAATTAAACCTAATGACCCCAAGGTGTTGGACCCTCATCCAACACTGAGGGATCATTTGTTTTCACTATTTCCCCGTGAAAAACATTGTTTTACTATACCTCATAAATATTCATCAGGCAGCTGCGGTATTTCATTGGTCTATTCCACCATGTTTTTGATTATGCAGTATTTGGATAAACAAAAACATTATTTTCATTTAAGGAGACAAACAGAATAGAAAGTTATTGTTGTGTCATTATTTTAATCAATCAATCAATCAATCAATACTTTATTTCCACTCAATCAAATAACAATACATGGAAAATGGGTACAATTAGAATGAAGGGCGATTAAGTGGTGGGAGTCTCCAAAAAGCAGGGCTTGTCGAGTAGAGACCCCCATAATGTGCATAGCTTAAAGGATTAGATTAAACAGACATAGTTAAATTGAATGCTATACACTAAGTAATAATGACTAAGTTACACAAGCAACAAGGGCTAGGACAAAGACGAGGACGTACTGCACAGCAGTATAGGGTATTGTTCATGAAGATCAACCAACATGAGGGGATATAATAATAAGGTAAATAATATAAATGGACTGTATTCAATTAAGTCAAATCAACCGTTTTGATATTTTCCCAGTAAGATACACTTCAATTTTCGCTTAAATAAACGACGACTATTAACACATTTAGTGTTAATAGTTATTAACACATTTAGTGTTAATAGTCGTGTTAATAACTTAAACATTCACACAAAGCACTGGATTTATTATTATCGTCCAAAATTTCACAGTTCTTCCTCGTTAAAAATTGCAAAGCGAACACCACCGGTCGCCATTTTGATGTATACCAATAAAATTACACAGGAAATAGCAAAGAATAATCATCAAAGAATGATCATTAAAAACTCAGCCGCTTAAAAAAATGACTGAGAAGAGAGATGTTCCTTCACTGCCCTTTTAATTGAGGATGATTTTTGGAACATTTGATGTTGTTGGGAAGTAAATTCCATTCATGAATTCCGATATAAAAAAAATGTAGTGCACTCTTGCCCTTTTATTCTTGGAACAACAAAATTTACGTCACGTGACGTAAATTGTAATACAATGTATTACCGAAGGCTACCTGACCTAAGATTTATCAGGAATAGTCAGAATCTTTTGGTCTGGGAAACAGACTATCTAGCACCAGCTTTTTTCATCACAGAATTTGCAATGTTCTCACCAGTTAGACTCTTTTATGCCCAGATATTTAACTGAATTTGAAGAAGTAACAATCTTTCCATTATAGTTTAGTGGGAAGAAGATCGTGCACCCTCAGAAATCAACTTCTAATTGACGTCTTTAGATCAGAAAAAAAATGCGTAGAAAAACGATTTGCTACGTTAAAAAATTCAAAAAATGTCCCACATATTGTTTTTATATTCCTATGCCACATTCCTATGCCACAGACACATGTCCATGGGCGTCGCCATAATTTTTTCTAGAGGGGGGCAAAAAAAAAATTTGCCAAAAAATGCTTGTATTTCTCAACACATTCTCGATTTATCAGTTTTAGAGGGGGGCAGGGACATTTTGCCCCCCCCCCCAACTCATTAAATTAACACCACTTTGTCTTCGCGCCTCTTTTTCTTTCTTCCTTTTTTTTTTTTTTTTTTTTTTTTCTCCAGGGGGGGGGCAAGTGCCCCCCCTTGGCCCCCCCTTGCCCCCCCCCCTCGCGACGCCCATGCACATGTCACAGACACATGCTACAGACACATGTGGTCACTTCCAGAATAGTTTTATTGTGATCTCTGACCTTGAAAACATGGGTTTAGACACCTAATTCGTTCAGTTATCAGCAATATTGGCTAAGATATAGTGAAAAATAGATTTTTTTGGTAATGGCGGCACTAATTTGCATAAAAACAACACGTTGGACATTTTTTGAATTTGTTAACATAGCAAATTGTTTTCTACGCATTTTTTCTTATCTAGAGACGTTGATTAGAAGTTGATTTCTGAGGGTGCACGATACCCCCCTTCTTCCCACCGAACTATTACAGCACACATCAAATTTATCAACACTACTGAGTTTCTTTTTGGATCTGAAGAGGATAGACTCAGTTTTGCCGAGATGCAAAGACAGTTTCTAATCGATCAGCCACTGCCTGCATGATTCCAGTTCCCTACTCAAACTGTCAACTGTCCTTGCCGGTGATCTCCAGGGTACTCACGTAAAGCCCAGGCGTCATTGGTATAAAGATAACACAGTACTAGACTGTAACAAAATCCAAGGCTGCGACCCAGGTGTGTGATAGTACCTCCCTGGTTTTTGCGCGTCACGCACGCGTGTAGAGACGCGGGGAAATAGTAAAAACTTTCACACGGTTAAGTTGCTGGAATGGGCCAATGAAATGCCGCGGCTGCTTGATAAATATTCATGAGGTATAGTAGTAGATATTAACTGCATATTAGAAGTTTACAAACTACACATACATGTAGTTCCCTTGACTTTACCTCGGGAATTAGTTTGTCAACTTCTAATACCTCAGGGAGCTGCATCGACTATCCACACATGTTGGGTGTTTGGGTTTTATGTGCTACCTACACTTAACTTGCGTGTAAAAAGAACTGCAGGGAATTCATTAAATGATGGTACAAAATATGGTGGCGAGTTCTCTACAGCATAAAACTAACAACTTTTTACTCAAAATTAAATTTGAAAGCTTGACATTTAAAGAAATCTGAACTTTAATTATAAATGGCACATGAAGATTAGCATCTTGTTTAATTTTAGATGAATGCACACACAAATTTGAACAAGTTTAAGAAAATTGACCGATAACCTTGGTATATTGCTCTGTCACCTGTTCTTGATGCTTTATGTATTTGATGTGGCTTCTTCATTCTTGACTGCATGTATGGCATAGTTACAAGCCTTAGGAGTTCCCCAGAACCAGCGTTGGGTAACAGGGTTGAATATCATACCATGAACCAACCTTGTCTGACAATTACCTGTTCAAGAGAGAGGTTATATCAATAATGAATTCGATAGAACTTGACAATATTATGCCCTATAGTAAGCTGTGCATGTATGTACCATTTATTTACATGCATGATATGAGGACCTAGGTCACCAATTGTCAACAATGGGGATATCTTGGCCAGGAAAGTTGGATTTCATGTGTCAATAATACTGCATGTTACTTGCATGTTGCAGTGGGGTTAGTGGTGTTGGGTAGCGCTGGACTCTAGTTTTGAATGGATTACTATTTATGAGTATTATAATTATCCACGACTTGTTATCCTTGGGATGTTTTCTTGCCCAAACCCAGCTGCAAAAATAACCTTGGATTTAGCATACATGTACATCTCTTGCACTTACAGCATTTGGCAGACAGTGCCAATAACGAAAACAATTCGTCTCATGACAAGGAAAAGGACGTAAGCAGCCCAGGCACGCAAAAAGCACTTTTGGAGATAATCAAGTTGAAAGTTTTTGTGCTGCCTTATTAGATTAAAAATCACATAAGGTTGAAATTTTGACTGATGACATTTGTTAATAATTAAAATAATATGACGCATTTTTATGTCAAAATATTGCTTAAAGAGGTTGTGGAATGCTGAAAGTCGTTTGTTTTTTATATTTTTTTTATTGTAGAGTAGACCCATATATATTATAATGCCAAAGTCCCATTCTTTTGTAATGTGCGTTTATATGTTTATAAAACTGCAGAAATTCATCGAGTAATTAGTTGGTCGGCGAGCGCATAATTGAAATCAACAGTCGTCGGGTTCTTCGTAAAATGAGAAAAATCGTGACGTAATAAACAGGACTCGTTTATACTACACTGCATCGGGAGTCCTGTTTATTACGTCACGATTTACTATGTTTTGTTTGCTGCCCCCCAACGACGACTTTTACACAAATTGCATGTTCGGGTCGAAATAGGACCTGAAAAACGCTCTCAAAAGTACCTTTTGTACTCATTTCATCACACCTTAGGCTACATATACCCGAAAAATGACAGAAATGTCTTCGAGCATTCCACAACCTTTTTAATGTTGAAGTTATTCCAACTCTTATGCTAACGTCCTTTTACCGTGGACTTCCAAAGTCTTAAACGTACGCTTAAGCAGCATCTTAAATACTTACGTCTTTTTGCCGGGAACAAAATAGGCTTTGGGTACCAACTTGAAAGGGATGTTAGGGTGCTTCAAAAATGTTTTGTTACATTAGAATTGCATGCCTATGACTTTTTGCCGGGCACAAATAATGAAAACCCTCCTTCCATCCTTTGTTTACTGTTAATTACGTCACAATGACGTAGTGGCGTGAGACAATATGTATATCAAATGAGAGATATTTCCAAGCTCTATTGATTACCCTAAAAAAAAAAGCTGAATTTGACCTTTTGACCCATCTTTAGCTCTTACGACCTTCTTCCAGGCACACGATGAATTGAGAAGATGATGACAAAATGTTGACATTGATATTACAAATATGTCTACATGTGAAGATACATCACAAACTTTGAGTAAAACATTCTTTTTAAATCTTGGTTAAACAAAGACAATAATTGTTATATGCAGGCAACATTTGAATCTGCAACCACCACTGAAGCTACTAATGATCTTCCACTGCTCTTATAAAACTCATGTAGCAAATGATCACGTCTATTCAACATGACCAATGCTGCAAATAAATGTTACTCACAAGCATGAAGAAACCCTTGAAGGTCTTGCGGAGGTATAAACTTATTCCAGTCATGAGTACCAGATGGTACAACTCTTGCTATTTCTTCAGCACCAACAACTGCCAGGGCATAGGATAACCATGTCTTGTTGATAGTTGTAAAGAAGACGGATCCACCAGGCTGTTAAATAAACAATGTAAAATCTACATAACTATTTGGTTTTAGCAAAGCAAAACAATGTGCCTTGGTTCCCTTGATATTTATGCTACGCATCCAGGACCAGTAAGGGTACACTGTGCATATTTCCACCTATGGTATCGAGCGCATTATAGCAGACATTGAAGATATAGAGATCTCTGACTAACTTGTTCGAACCCCAAAGCGAAGTGGACTTGCTCGATAGACCCTAAAGGATGAGCAGGAACTTGTCTAATTGAGCAGAATCTCAACTTCTGTGGCTGACATTGGGAAGCAGAGTATCCACTGATCAGCCCACCAACTTGCAGGACAACAAGTTGCCCTTGCAACCTTGAAAGCACTGCAGCGATGACTGGGGCATAGTCCTACTAATGCTATATTCTACAGTGATCAGATCAAAGATATGATGGACCAACACATGGCAGAGGAAATGAATAAGTATAAGGGACCGGTCCACTACATTTCTCACCACAAAGTTCTCAAACCCGACAGCAAGAATATTCCAGTCCAGATTGTATTCAACAGAGAGCGCCAACTACAAAGGCCACGTTCTCAATGATTACTGGGCAAAGAGACAAGACCTGATGAAACATCTTTATGGTGTGCTGCTGAGACCCAAGAGAATCAGATTGATTTGGTTGGAGACATCCGCAAGATGTACCACAGTAACTTAAACATCACCAAGGATTGACACTGCCATAGATTTCTCTAGTGTGATGCAGACTGAGAAGGATCCGAAGACATAGGCCTACTGCATGAAAGTGGAAAACATGAGGGACAATCCATCATGCACAATTGCCACTGTGGCACTGAAGACAACTGACCCAGGCAGATGACCCAAGATGATTTCCCCAAAGCTGTTCACAGGATCCATTGAAATGTGTTACGTCAATGAAATACTGGAATCTCGGCTGTGGTGACCCCTGACACTGTGCACCGACTTGTGAGGGAGATCAAGTAACTAATCAAACCTGTGAATCAATGTGAAGAATTGGGTGTTTTCTGGCAGAGATAGTGACCTTAGTCAACACCAGCATTATAAATGCCATGCATCAGTATACAAATAATGATTTTTTTTTAGTGCAATGATGACAATATTTTCATGAGTTGAAAGATGGAAAGTCCCATTCAACGAGGCTAAGCCGAATTGAATGGAACATCCCATCTTTCACCGAATGCAAAAAGATTTATTATTTGTTTTATATAACATCCAAGTGCCGGTAGATCTTTGTCATTCAATTGGAGGATAAAACTATAACACTAAACAAAATTTACAAAATTGTAAACAACCATTTTTGTTTTCTTTTCTTAGGAAGGGCAAGACATTAGGTTAGTTTCCTTTCAACCACACCTTTGAAATAAGATAAGTAAACAATCCAAAACACAAAATGTTCGGGGATTTCAGGCCATATTGTCCCTTTGAAATTTCACAAGGAGGATATAAAAAAGTTCTGTGAACTCATTACTACTTTTGGTCTCATTCAGCATGTTCAGGGCCCAATCCATGAGAAGGGACATACGTTGGATTTGGTAACTTGTTTGACAGAAAACTGTGTTCATGATTTTGAAATTGATAATGTCTTGCCATGGGACCACAGCCTGATTCACTTCATATTAGATATGACTAAACAATAAGTTTCTCAAGTGCGGCAAGTTAGCCATAAAGAACAGCTCAATGCTAATCCAATTCCCATCACTAACACCGCGTTCCCACTTGAATTGGAAAAAGGTGGATCAAGATCCGGCATTTTGGTGTGATCGTTATCTTACCGCAACGAAACCGCAAGTCGCGTTCCCACTTATGCTTGATCCACCTTTTCGTACGGAAATGTTGGGTCCGAAAGGTCACTGAGTTCGGAATTACGCGCGCTCTGTGTGAGTGCCATTGTTGCATGGTTGCATGCTAGGCCAGGATGGGTCAGTTTTCAAACAGCACTATCAGAATTCACCGACAAAAATTACGCGAATTCACCTACATAAATCACGGATCCGTAGAGGATCCGTGCGTGCATAAATTAACAGGTGAAATCAAACAGATCAGTGCCGCTCATTGTGTGACATCACGGCAGAAACCAATGCATCGATAAGGGATTCCCTGGTTCTGAAGCTTCTCATTGGTTAGAAACGGTCACATGATGTACTACGACATCATTTTCCAATTTTCTATAATCAATACTTCAGATTTGTCACCTCCGTACGTACCGCGTTATCGGCACTATTCTCATCGCATACTCGTAAGCTTTTCCATGATTCTGTGCCAAAGTGAAGTCTTTTGGTGAGTGCGGACTCAGAGTCATTTATGGATGGAAAAGTAAGTAAAATTTCAGGAATAAAAAAGGTTTAGTAATGGACAAACACGCAACAAAAATAAGGCCTATAGTGTAGTTTTAGGATACCACGTGCACTTTTGCATGCGCGGTGCTAGCCCGTAGTTCAGCGGTTGTTTATTGTGCATGTTGTATACGCTGGAAATGTTCACATGAGCTACACGCCTGAAAACGTGTTTCTTCGTTCATGAGACCGCAACATTTTCGCGCCACTCGTGCACCGGGCGGATGTTAACAGGTCAAATTGCCGGATCAGATCCACCTTTTGCGTTCCCATCTAATCGTGATCCGGCAATTGCCGGATCTGATCCACCAATTGGGGGATCTGTATCCTGGTCCAGAGGTGGATCAGAAAAGGTGGATCTGATCCTGATCCACCTTATAACGGTTAGCGTTCCCACTACACACAATTGCCGGATCTGATCCACCAATTGGGGGATCTGATCCGGCAATTTGGCAAAAGGTGGATCAGATCCACCAATTGGTGGATCAGATCCACCAATTGGTGGATCAAGTGGGAACGGGGTCTTAGAGTGATTCTCTGGATCAACTGGTCCAGAACTGTAATTCAACAATGATTATGGATAATCAACAGCGGACATTGATTGCACTCAACGTGTATGTCCGTCAAGTCAGTCATTTTCTTTGTCATATCATAGAGACTTCATTTTGAGGAACTAATCAATGATTTACATGAATACCGAGGATTCAACTGGACTAAGCTCATTGCGCTTGAACAAGAAATTGGTAAAATTTCCCATTTTGACTTTTTGTTCTCCTCACTACGTTTGTCATTTTCTTTGTGGATACCGTGCGTCCATTGCACTCATGGCTGGTTCCAGACTATGTACCATCGCATTGTGGCTGTTACTTCTATTGTTGAATTTGAACATCTTCATTAAATACAATGCAAGTGACCTGAAGGGTTTGAATAAGGACAAAACCAGACTGCCACCTGCCACTTATCGCCGACTCAGAGAGCTTGGTATTTGTGCTGTCAAGCCCACACAATGGTGACACAGGTTTTGGACTAAACAACAAAAGAAAACCATTCCAGTGTTGGCTTACTGTAAAGTCAGAAAAAACTAACCGTGGCCAAAATTGTGCTAACCCAGTAAATCTGATAACCACATCCCCACAAAAATCCCAAACCTCTTCATGGAGTAACTTTGCACTTTGGAATCATGTTCGCTCACTAATATGCAAGACAGCTTCAATCACTGATTTCATTATTTCTCAAGGTATTGACATTCGTGCAGTTACTGAAACCTGGCTGTGTGGGGATCATCACGATAACCATATCTCACCAATACTTTAACCCTAACCGCCCTGAATCCTTCAAAATCCTCTTTGCCGAAGTGGAGGAATTTGGAGGATAGAGGTTACATGGCAAAAGTGCGTTACTGATTTCGTAGGATGCACTTTGTCAAGGTCTTGGGCTGGACCTTGTCTTGTTTCTGCTCAGCCATGCATAAATATAGGCCTGGATTATGCTTGAAATCCTCCATACTGCTCCAGGATGTCATTGGCCAAGCCTCAACATATTGACAGTCACTGCCGCAGGATTTTGCAGGATTCAGGAAGTGGTCACCCCTCAATGGACCATATTCAAGAAATAATGGTATACACAATGTAGACCACATCAGAGCAGGGGATAAAATACATAATGAACCAGTAGAAACTACAATGCAATTAACAACTGAACAATGCAGCTCTTGCACAATTCCTTACCTTAGTTAATTGTGCACATGTTGCCACAAGGCTCTCAACATTGCTGACATGTTCAAGTACCTCAGAAGCAACTACAGCATCAAATCCTCCTTCTTCATTGCTCAACAATTCCTCGGCTGTTGTACAGATGTACTTAAGCCTCTTCTGCAGAAGGGGATCATGGGAAGCATGTTCCCGAGCAACACTGATATTCTCAGAGGCAGCATCAATACCAGTGACTGTTGCACCAAGTCTTGCTAATGGCTGCAATGATAAATTAGAATCAACATCGCAGAAGAGATCAGCTAACACCTTATACAATTGTTACATGTGCTGTTATGATATGCATGGCATTTTATATGCGGGGCGGGGGGGGGGGGGGGGGGGGTGACAAACAGCTTGCCAGTGTCTCTCAAGCACAAGAACCAATTGTGGTACATAATATGCCAGCCTACTTGCCTACACCTTCAGTTATTGGCTGTTTCAGCAACTGGCAGAAACAGCCTCTTTCCCCCCATTTTTGTAATTTTGAATTCAGTCGTTTTGCCACATTTGCACACATTTTTTGTTACCAGCACTTTGGGCGCTAAAATCAATCCAATTGCCTCTATACTTGATAGGCACACACTTAGACCAGCATCTGAAGATGTGTCCCGAACATTGACGTCATCACGACATCATCAATTGACGTGTGACATCACATTAAACATGCATATTTTGAAAGCCTACATGTCTACAGAACTACAGGTCCGATTGGGTTGAAAGTTGGTATGTACCTAGATTGGGATGTGTTATGTAGATGAAAATTGAAGTAATTTCAAGATGACTTCATCACGTGACATGTGATGTCACATTAATCTTAACCCCAAAAGGGCTGTTTCAGGGTCAAGTACAAAATACTACAGAAATACTACATGTGTTGTGCACACTTTTAAGGAAAGAATGCATACTACAGAGTACTACTCAGTAGAATTTTATAGGTTTAGGGGCTTAAACGTACATATTTTGAAGGCCTATATCTCCTGAACTACTGGTCCGATTGGGTTCAAAGTTAGTATGTACCTAGACCAGGTTGTGTTATAGATGAAAACTTAATGTGAAGTCACATTATAAGTACATATTTTGCAGGCCTATATCTTCAGAACTGCAGGTTCGATTGGGTTCAAAGTTGGTATGTAACTAGACCAAGATGTGTTGTGGATTGAAAATTCAAGTGACGTCACAATGACATTATCAAGAGACGTGTGACAGCATATCAAAAGTGCATATTTTGAAGACCAATATCTACAGAAGTGTATTGGTCCTGATCACTCCACCACACATGTCCTATCAGTCTTACATGATATAAAAATACAATAACAAATTACCGAAACAGTTGTATGTTTGTACACAAACATAAGTAAATGTAGTTTCTCTTTTATGTGAAATTTGGTATGAGCTGAGGATGGTGCTGGTTACAAAAGTGGGTGGACCTGATAACATAACTGCCAGAATCCTGAAAGAATTTGCATATGAGTTGAGCACCCCAATCACCGATACCACAACCACTTCATTTTCACAGGGTCTGACCGGGGCCAACTCAGTGGAAGCAAGCAAATGTAGTTCCCATTCCCAAGGTTAACCCACCGACACTTCAGAAACTGTGTCCAAGCTCACTCACATCCTTTTTAGCAAATGGGTCATAAGTTCAATCAAGCCGAACATTGACCCTCGGCAATTTGGAAATTCACAGGGTATTTCTACAGTTGTGATACGTTGATGGCCTCACCCTCGGTGAAATAGATCACACGCCAGTGAAAGCAAAATCCAAACCAACTTGAATCGTATGAGTACTTGGGCCTATCACAATGGGCTGACATTAAACCCTTTGAAGTGTCAAGCTTTACAAGTGTACTTTGGTAACAGAAACCCGCCAGTAAAGTATATCCAACTCTCAACTAGAACTTGTTACGAGGTTTAAGCAATGTCATCTTCCAACAAAGTTTGAAATGGAAACCCCATGTATATGAAACGGTCTCTAAAGCTAGTAAGAAATTGTTTATGGCAAGATAACTCTAAAAACATCGCCTTACTACTGAGGAACTTAATGTTGTGTATAAAGGCTACATTAGACCAGTCATGGAATAGACGGCCCCTGTCTGGCACTCAAGTATCACATACCATCAAACTGATCAAAGTGAGGCAATTCAAAAGAGAATTTGCCGAATAATGCTTGTTAATGATTACCTAAGTTATATAAAGCTCTGGCTTCATTGGGAATTCAATTTTCAAATTTAAGCCTGGGCGACTAGTGAATTTCAATAGTCGCGACTTTGAGAGTTGAGGGCGCTCCAATGGATTGACACGCTTTTTAAAGCTGCTCCGTGAATAAACCAAAAAACACCATTTTCAACCTTTACTAGCACTGGATTTGCTGAGATACCTTGCCACTTCTGCCGCCTCTTTCGTTCACAAGTCAAGGTAATCTTTATTTCATCCTATTCACCCAAATGCCGCCAAAAAAGACAAGAAACGTCTAGTCACAACTGACGATGATGTACATGACCATGATGACATTATGCCGGCGTCTAATTCCGACAGTCTCCTGACAGCGTCTAATTCCGACAGTCTCCTATCTGTAATTAGACAAGAGCTACATGAAATGAAGTCGGGAATTCAAGACAAACTTGATCTAGTCATTAGCAACCAACAATCACTTCTACTGAGGATGGGAAACATTGAGAACAAACACCTGGAGCTTGAGAAGTCTGTCAGTTTCACCTCCCAAGCTGTTGAGGACATTCAAAAAGTTAACTCGACACTCTCAGCCAACCTTATTGAAACATCGTCCCAACTGGAGTCAGCAAAATGTAAACTTCTTCACTTAGAGGAATCCAACCTGAATCTGGAGCAATATTCAAAGAGTTATGGTACAACCTCCGATTTGGAGGTATTCCAGAACTCGAGAACGAACCTCCTGAATACCCATATGAAAAAAATAAAAGAAATCCTGGCTGAAAAGTGTAATCTTGAACCGGAGATCGAAAATGCCCATCGCTTTGGACGCATACCCAAAACACCAACAGAGAAGAAATAAACAGAAATCTTCTAAAACTATTACAAGTATTATTTCAGAGGGGAATTTAGTTTCCAATCCTAATGAAATTGCTGATTGTTTCCATGATTATTTTACCAACATCGGTCCCAATCTTGCTAGTAATATCCCACCAGCACAGTCCTCCCGTGGTTTTAAAGAGTACTTGTCTAATCCAAATGAGAAATCATTATTTTTAACTACAGTAAACAAATATGAGGTGATTGACATAGTCAACAACCTAGAAAATAAACAGAGTTCTGGACACGATTCAATAACTCTTTCAGTGCCAAAGTACAAGGTATATTTGTTAGTTCGACAGTGTCAACCTCGTACATGTATGAGGTAATGTTCATACTTAAAATCGCCAAACCTCGTACATGTACGAGGTAGAGTAAGCATGTTATCACAAGAGGGCGCTCTCGCTCTTTCTAATAATATCATTTTCATTCAGGTACAACCTGTATTTTTTTTGTTTCATTTGAGTTCTTGCGAGAGGGCCCAGCACTGACACTCGTAGTTTCTGCAAAAAGTTCGGAATTCCCCTGTGTGCAGGACAGTGTTTCAGAGTGTATCACTATGTACGTGACTACTATTGACTTTCCAATATACCAAGGATATACCAGGGAGCAACAACACCAAATTTAGTGAGTAAAACTTATTTACTTTTTTTTTTTACAGAATTTTGAACAATTAAAAAAAATGCTCGAAGTTGGGTACTTTAGGGTTAAACTTTTCAAATTTCGCGGGCACTAAAAGAGTTAACACGCTTATTATTAAACATTTTATTTTAGCCATATGTGAACCACTGACACATATAATCAATGCTTCTTTTTTGACTTGTATTGTACCTTCTCAATTGAAAATTGCTAAAGTTATCCCAGTTTTTAAAAAGGGTGATCCCAACTATGTGAGCAATTATAGACCTACGGTATATCACTACTGTCGTGTTTTTCTAAGATTTTGGAAAAATGTGTATATGCACGCACTATCAAATTCTTGGATAAATTTAATATTTTGTCAAAATCGCAATATGGTTTTGGTAGCAAACATTCAACTTCTCATGCCCTTTTAGATTTTATTGATAAGGTTTCAAAAGCAATTGATGACTCTAAGCATACAACTAGGAATATTTCTTGATCTCTCAAAGGCTTTTGATACAATAGACCATGACATCTTATTGTATAAGCTTTCTCACTATGGAATACGAAGAACTTCTCTTCAGTGGTTTAATGGTTATTTTTCAAATAGATCCCAATATGTATCTATGGACGGTACTAATTCAAATTCTAGATTTCTCACACATGGCATACCCCAAGGATCAATATTGGGACCCTTGCTTTTTTTAATAAGGGAATAAATGTGTGCTCCGGAGGTATTTATCACTCTGTTTAAGACCGCTTAGAGTCTGGGTGCTGATAATTACCCGAGCTGGAGGCGAGGGTAATTATCAGCACCCAGACTCTAAGCGGTCTTAAACAGAGTGATAAATACCGACCGAGCACACATTTATTCCCATTCATAAATATACCTTTTCGGTAAAAAAAAATCAAATAATTCGTTCAAAAAATCCCGGTTTTGTTCAACAAGTTCACTTCATGCTTTTTGAAACATCCCTCTAGCAAAATAATGGAGTGTTCAGCTGGCGAGTAAGATGTAAACAACCCTTTTATGGAGATTGACGCGCGCGTAGCATGTTCTGCGCGATGTCTATAAAATTCTGACTCGCTGGTAATGTTGCGCAGGCCTACGTGAGGATTGTGAACGTTCAACCAATGAAATGGTAAGAGGCACTAGATTTTTAGGAGTCCACATTTTATGTGACACTGGAAAAGTGTTTAAGACCAGCTAGCCATGTCTTTATCATCCGTTTAAGACCGGCCACTTGACGGGCTCTCGACCAATAGGAATAGATAAACTGTCTGAGGTATTTATGAATATTAATGATTTTACAAAATCCTCTGAGGAACTTTCTTTCATATTGTTTGCCGATGATTCTGATATATTCTGTTCTCATAGTAACCTTAATTATCTGATCAACAAGATCAATAATGAACTTATATCTATTGCTAATTCAATAAGCTGTCAATAAGCTATCTCTTAATTTTGGAAGACAAATTTCATGTTGTTCAGCAATTCTGCCATTGAAATTCCTTGTGAAGTAAAACATTTTTAACACCGTTATCAAAAAAAACGATTGCTGTAAATTTCTGGGTTTGCTTATTGACTCTGGATTAAAATGGAATAATCATATTGACCATCCATGTAGTTTCTACAAATACTGGTGTAATTAATAAGATCAAATATTTTGTTCCAAAAAGTGTTCTGGATTCTTTATATAACTCATTAATCTAGTTATATCTTAAATATGGAATACTTGCCTGGGGGGCCAGTTCGGTCACTAAATTGAACAGGCTGTTACTTCTTCAAAAGAAGGCATTATACGTATTATCAATTTTGCCGACTTTAACTCACATACAAATCCCCTCTTTTGTAAACATAAAACTCTTAAAGTTACTATTTAATTAAGAGCATGTGCCTTGAGCCTGGTCATTCATATTCTGATGTACGGGTCCGATAACGAGTACTTATTTTCCTGCACTCATTTACTCGCACACTTGTTTTCTACTTTTCTTGTACAATTGTTTTCTTCCAAAACTAAACAAAACAACTAATTAACAAAAACAAAATCTCAATATTCGGCTCAATGCACACGTACTTGCTCAGGTGCCCATTTCTTACAAGCTCTGCTTCTTTATGGGTCCCTCCACAGTATCTTTCATACTTATTGTTTGCTTACCTTTGACTTTATTCAAAATGTTTTTCTGCTGTTTTCTATAAGATTGTCATTGTCAATGATATTTTTTTGGTACTGTGGAAATAAACTGAACTACTACTTAGTTGGGATAAATAGTCACGACTAGTCGACTAGTCATGACTAGTAACATTATTTATTTATCAAGTAATACTTCTAATCATGTGGGGCAGAAAAAACAACAAGAGGTCAGTGTGTCGTGATCAGACGGTTCCATATTGTTTAGGACAGAATTGATTATTATAATTACCTATTGTGTAAAGTAAAGTCTGCGTTCTATGAAGCATTAAGCCTTTGATACGCTTGCAACGTAATGACGGAATCACATGTGTCATGTGAGTACTACATCATTCATTGTGGGGATAACCCCGATTTACTCAGTTGCGAGTGATCACATTAGAAAATATACACTGCCTCTGAAAATGGCATTTATGTTCTCTCATTGTTGCTATTAAATCCTTATTAGTTAAAAAAAAATATTTTGGGGCCATTTTTTAATTACTTGGATCACAAATTTTAAGGTGTGGGTGACTTGGGAATCCCAATAGCCATAGTCGCAACAACATGTAGTCATGGCATAACGACTAGTAAACTATTCAGAAATTGATAGTCGCGACTACCAATACTTTTTAGTATTGCACTTGTCACACATGCGATAGACTGACAAGTTGTGTCAAGAGTTTGCTCTGGAAAGGTACAGGTCAGGTAATTTCAGTCAGTGGTTTCCAGTGTCAAAAATGAGCCACACTCTATGCCTCAGATCTTGCCACTCCATAGATGAACAAACTAGCTCAACGAATAGATTTAGGAACAGGCCAGCGCCATATCCCACAAGAACTCTGAACCAACTGTTGGGCTAATTTGTGGATTGTGAATAAATATAAACTTAAACCTGTACTTAAACTTTCCATTGTGGTGTCAGTGATTACGTGGGGGTAAATTTTCAATATGGGTTTTAAATTAGCATTTTTAAAAATTATTTAATTAACTTTATAAAATGTCAGGGATTTTTCTTAAATATTGAAATAATCAATGTACTTTAAAATTAATGTGATTTTATGGTATAATTGTAATCCACCTTGCAATTTAACCTTTGGGCTACCATTACCAAACAAGATGGAAAATAAACCAGTAATAATAATACATGTAATAATAATAATCATTTGCACCGGAGGGTAAACAATACCCATGGACTATATAAAAACCTGACAAATATCTTCTTGTTATACCATGATATTCCCTTTGATAAATGTTTCAAGTCTTTAAGATGTATGCGATAAATATACCTGTAAGTCACTATTTGTAATTAGACAAATTTTGTGTTTTATTTTGTATTCGTATTTTGTATTTTTGGGGGGGACGCCTCTACACGTCAACACAATCTCTCTTGTTTTACTATACTCTCAAGGACAATGCTTTGTGTTTTCCTTTGTCCCGGTTATATAACACTCTCCTATAGACTAAGTACACAAACTTACTACAGAGGACCGTTTCCAACAAAAGACCCAACACCCGAGGACTGAAAGGATCTGTTGTTCTCCCTTTGTGTGCCGGTCCTCGGGGGTTATGTAGAACACGTACACAAGCACACATCTTTATTACCATACTTATTACCTAGCTTGTGGACAGGGTCTATTCCATAGGTACAATCAGTGGCGTATCTGATGTCAAGGAAGGCAACCGCATTCGCACATCCACGCCAAAATGTAGACACATTTTTTTTCTCATTTTTTTTGGGGGGGGGGGGTTGATGGTACCATCTTCCAAATGGGGGAGCTCTTCAAAACTGACAATAATTATGCATACTGATATATATGCCGATTTTCACAACGCATTGTTATGGTTTTGGAGCTTGGTTTTCTTTTCTTTTTCCAAGTCAGAACTCTAGTAACCATTCAGGAAATTAATTACTGCACAAAATATCTTTCACAAAAATTCGACGAGTACGAGAACAACACCACTGCCAATTGAGGATACGAGTAGCTTTCAGAAACCTTGCGAAAAATTAAAAAGTGGAGATCAATGGAAAGGGCAGTTTTTTTTAACAATTTATTATGCCCTCAAATCTCAAGAGGGATCTGTACCATTTCTTAATTTTAATCACACAGTAACTCACCTCTGATAGAATACCTCCACCACATCCAACATCTAAGATGACAGTATCAGTCAATGGTTGCGATGAAACTAGGGACTGAGAGCCAAATTGATTGACAAGTCCATCTCTTATCAGAGGGACACGAAGATCATTCAGACTATGAAGTGCTTGAAATTCACCATTCACATCCCACCAAGATTCAAACAGGCTCCTGAATTTAGCAACTTCCTTTTCATCAACTGTTGTGTACAAGAACCTTTGATTAATAGACAAGTAGACAGATGCATTTAGGATTGACTGGTGCATTCTAATAAAAACCAAATATTTTAGAATTCTGTTTATTTTTGTTGGAAACATTATGTTTATTATCGGCACTATTCATCTGACATGTATGCATGTGGGCCTATTCAAAAATACTGAAATTTTACAACGCCTGTAATCTTGGGGGAAAACATTAAAAATATCACATTTCGAGCATGTCAAAAAAGTTGTGATACATGTACATATATTTTAAAGTGGTTTATAACCATAGATTACTTCCTGAATAATGTGTTGGCTATATGGAGCGTTTTAATGGATTGATCAGAAGTGTACAGTGAAGGTATAGACTAAATTCATTGCATCATTGCAGCACACATGGGGATTTTTTTTGTGCTACACAAGCAGTCACAAAATGCAGTACAGCATACACATTCACTGCAAATTTACAGCTTATATCCATAAAGAGAATAATGTGTGGCTCCGTGGCTTAAGAACAACATGCATGCATAGCAGATGCCATGGCCGAACTGCATGGTCACACTGCATCACTTCATATCTACCGGTAGTTTGGTATTGACCTAAAAGTGGAGCTTTGTTCCCTTATAGGAACACGGCACATATGGGGTACACAATCACCAGTGTAAGTGGAAGAGCTACGGTACCGCACAGGAACCAGCACGCATTGATCTGCGCATCAGTCACAGCCAGCCTGAGCCAGGCATGCAACTGGGAATTTGGAAAAAACAAGGAAATTCCAAACCACACAAGACTTAGTACTGTGTTTTTCAATTTGTAATTGTTACTGAGAAGTAAAAAACGAGGAAATTAGCGGATCCGAGGAAACGTTGCATGCCTGCACAGCGCATGTACATGTAGGTATTACATCATCATAATTTTCATACATCTCTAGATCACTGCTAAAACAAATTGAAACATTTTCTAACTTTTTTAGTCAAAATACTCCATCTTGAAATGGTACTCAATTTCAAATTGATATTTCACCAACCTCGTGCCCCGTGGGTACGATTTTGCAGCGCCATGTTGTTTCCCATCATGCCTTGCGCGATCGTAACCCCTGGAATTGTGTAATTTAAATGTGCCAAAATACGGTACATTAGGCCAAAAAAAAAAAGTCTCCGGTTTCTGGTATGGAGCTTGCCCAAAAAGTGGTGCGGGGACGCGGCTTTTTTTTTTTTTTACCCGACTTTTTTGATTCAAATGTCGGCTGATGACTGTAAATGGTGCCCGACTAAACTTAGTGCAATATATGGGAGTCCAGAGAGGCCACATAAAGCTTATTCTCGATCATAACCCCATCGAAAAACACGTTGAAATTGCGCAGCAGCAGAATTCCAGTCAAACCAGTGAGTTTGGCGGTTTTGAGACATCATCTTTCATTGAAAAAAAACTTTTTCATTTTGCCGACGCACATGGCTACGGCGACGCGCGCGCATACCAGAAACCGGAGACTTTTTTTTTTTGGCCTTATAATTAGGGCTGCAGTTTATCCGTTTTTTGTGCCGACGCCATGTTAAAATGTTAAAAGTTGTGATTTTGAAGAATCAATCCTTTCAAACACAACGTTTGGACGTTGTGTTAATTAGCAAAGATTTGTATTAAATGTACGTACCCCTTTCGTGCCTTTACAACCACAGATACAGGGGTTTTTTTAGCGAAAAACGCGGCTGAGATAATCCATATCATACAGGCATCACGACTTTTGAATCCTAATTTTTTTTTTTGTACGTGACGTTACGTGCAAAGCACGCGAGCGCATTATGGGGGCGCCTGGCGTGCAATCTTCGAAATGCGCGCGCAGTACGCTGTGAGTAGCCATTCAGTGCATTTACGTCATCATCACAGCCAGGGGTTTAGTTTAAGGAACGAGCACGCGCCCCTGGAGTCGAGGCTGATATTTCACATACTGCATAAGGGCTTAACCATCTCAGGGAATACTTCAGAAATGGCAAGTATGATACAGAAATGAGTACAAACCTGGAAGTATTTCTGATTTTTAGGGTTTTTTTTTAATAAATCAGGCGGCATTTTTGGTTTTGGCTTGCAAGTGAGTACACATGTGGTAGGGTGGATAAATGGTAGATGGCAAAGCCAAATTTGGCTCGAATCACGCGATGTTCCTTCCTAAATGCGTTGTGGGTGCACATCGTAAATGTAGCAACAGTATGTAGCTCCAAAATGTCTCGATAAATATATTTACTGATTGTGAAAATGCTTTTTCTGGCGTCATCATTCGATCTGATATTCTACCTGGACTACACTGGACCATCAAGAGTGAGTTATGAGACCAAAAAGAGGTAGAAATCCTTCCAAAAGCAATGCATCAGATCTCGAATCTACTGGTAACCATGAAGCTGGATCCATTCAGCATGTGTCTTCACTGGAACAACAAGGACAAAAGGCACAATTGTCATCTTCACATAACACAACACAAAGGGACGACCCAACAAGGTATCTCTTCTAAACCAACAACTAAGACTGTACCAGTTGACGCCAACAGCAACCCCAAACAAAATGCTGAACTTCGGGAACAGATTGCTAAATCTATCATCGACGATCCAGCTACCCTGAAAGCTATCATTGATCCCATCGCTACACTCCTCGCAGACAAGATCATCGACTCTGGTCTCATGATGGGTAAGCTTGCTGATAGTCTAGTTGCAAGTCAGCTTTTTGTAGACTCCATAGCATTGGCTGTGCAAGAAACCATCGCACAAAATGTCTACGAGGCCACTTCAACGGATATCAACAAACACTCAGACCAACTGGAAAAGATGTACAATCAAAATCGGAAAATATCCGATCAAAACGACAAGTTGAAACAGGAGATTGATGATCTTGAGCAATACAGCCGTCGGAACTGTCTACTGATACACGGTATTCCAGAGACCCCCAACGAAAATACCGACAAGATCTCTCTTGAGGTACTCAACAATAAACTCAAGCTAGATCTCCACTTGCATGATCTAGATAGATCTCATCGCCTTGGCAAGCCCCGGAAATAGACGACCCCCTCTGGTGCCCCCAACGGCCACGCCCCGTCATCGTAAAGTTCACGAGCTATAGATCACGCTCGCTGGTATTTGCCAACAAACGCCATCTGAAAGGGTCTCCTGTGCACATCACCGAGAACTTGACAAAAAGGCGACATGAGCTGTATCAAGAGGCCAGACGACGATGTGATGGATTTGAAGCCATCTGGACCAGAGATGGTAAGATCATCTTGCTCTTGAAGAACAAGACAAAGACATCAATCACCACCCTCAAAGAACTGAACAAACTTTGCCCATAGACAAATGGTTTGTAATATCAAACATAACGACCTACTGTTCTCCTTGATTTTCTTGTTGATTACGTTCAAGTAATTGTTTTGTTAAATATATCCTTAAGTTTCAGTGTGTTTACTATTATCTGTTGAGACTGTTTTTTGTTTGTTTTTTGTCTAAACTTCCAGTTTTGCCTCATAATTTCATTTATACATTTTGTTATTTCCTAATTTAATTCTCTTAATTTGTGTGCGTTATTTGTTGTGATGTTTATTGATAACGGTTCATCTAATGACAATGACGGCTTATTTTCTTTTGGTGATTGTAATTGCTCCTATTTTGATACCAACAGCTTCAATAATTTGTAATTCAGTAATTCTTAGTTACCTGATTTTTCAATTGACTACTTCAACGCCAGGAGTCTCTGTAAAAATTTCTTTGGCGTCCAAGATTACCTCTGCTCACTGAATCATTCGTTCTCTGTATACGAAAGATAACTTGGTTTAATGAAACTCCTCCTCCCTATGTTCACCTGAACAATTACCATCTTGTTCACTCTTCACGTAGTTACAAAACAGAAGGAGGAGTTGCCATGTTTATCAGTGATCATCTTAATTTCAACACCAGAGATGATCTCATGATTTCGTGTGTCGACTTTGAATGTGTCTTTATTGAGATCAAACGTGACAGTGGTTGTAATCTTATTGTTGGTAATATTTACAGAGCTCCTGGTACATCAACTGATAATTTCAATAGTTCCTTTGATTGCTGCCTAAACAAAATTGCTTCTGAGAAAAAACTGTGCTATATAATGGGAGACTTCAACTTTGACTTGAACAAGTGTTCTACTCATCGACCAACAGAGTATTTTGCAAATACATGTTATTCATATGGTCTACGTCCATTGATAGACAAACCCACTCGTATTTCTCCACACAGAGCTGCTCTCATAGACAACATTCTTACTAACAACGATACCAACACTTGCACTGCTGGAATACTTTACGCTGATATTTCTGATCATCTTCCCTCTTTTCAGATCACCCCTGACTGTTTCACTCGTTATAACCCCCCTCCCAGCACATATACTACCAGAGACATCAACAGCACCACTCTTTGAGCCTTCAATGCAGATGTTCAGTACAACGACTGGAGTCAAGTCTATGAATGTACTGATGCTGAAAGTGCCTATAGCACCTTCCTTACTAACTTCAACGATCTTTACAATCACCACTTTCCACTTGTTACAAAGAAAAGAGGCAGCACAAGGAACAACCAGCCATGGATGTCTAGGGGCATATTGAAATCGTGCAATTACAAACGGCTTTACCGACGATTTCTGCAAAACCCAACAAAGGCCAATGAACAAAGGTACAAAGCCTTTCGTAATCGTCCTACCAAAGTCATTCGTATGGACAAACAGAATCACTATGCCAGCAGTTTCTCCGCTAAAAGAAACAACATCAAAAGCACTTGGCGTGAGGTCAACAATATCCTTGGCAAGAACAAGAAAGAAGATCTGCCTGACAACTTCATCAATGGCCAGCAGATTATTTCCAACTTACCAGATATTGCCGACTCTTTTAATGACTACTTCTCTAATATTGGTTCCAGACTTGCTAACAAAATCCCTCCTTCAAATGTACACTTCACAGACTATTTGCACACCTCTAACAATTCTTCTCTTTTCCTTACACCAACCGACTCTGATGAAATCTTTCAGATTGTTCAAGATCTTAAAGGTGATACGTGATATGGGTTTGATGCTATCCACCCTTCTGTTGTCAAATCTTCTATTCCTTTTATCTCTCATCAACTAGCTCACATCTTTAATCTCTCTTTTCTAACTGGATCTGTACCTTCTAATCTTAAGATTGCTCAGGTTACCCTGGTTTTCAAAGCTGGCAATCGCCATGATTTTTGTTACTATCGTCCTATTTCTGTTCTTCCCTGTTTTTCAAAAATCTTAGAAAAGCTTGTCTAAAAGCGACTTTTCAAATTCCTTTCCCAATTTCATCTTCTTTATGACCGGCAGTTCGGTTTTCTGATCAGTTACTCTACTGATATGGCTCTGATCCAACTTGTTGATTCTCTGTCCAACTCTCTTTCTGATAAACTATCTTCTATTGGTGTTTTTATCAATCTTTCTAAAGCCTTTGATACTATCAACCACTCTATTCTTCTCTCTAAACATGAACATTACAGCATTAGAGGCATCTGTCATCAGTGGTTTTCTGATTATCTTAACAACCGCAAACAGTTCACCACTATCAAACAATCTTCTTCTTCTCTTAAAATAATTCATCATGGCATGCCTCAAGGTTCTATTCTTGGTCCTCTTCTTTTCCTTATATATGTTAATGATCTTCACCGCTCATCTCACACTTTGTCGTTTATTCTTTTCGCTGATGACACTACTAATCTTTCGTCTCATACAGACTTTGATTCATTGGTCAGTAACCTCAATACCGAGCTTACTAAAGTTTCTTCCTGGTTTCAAGCCAACAAACTCTCTCTTAACTCTAGCAAAACTAAATACATGGTCTTCTCCAGGTCTCAGAATTTTTGTGGTAATGGAACAGTTAAAATCAATGATACTGCCATTAGTCAAGTCCATTCCACAAAATTCTTGGGTGTTACCATCGATGACAAACTTTCCTGGTCCAACCACATTACTACTGTTTCCAAAGTCATCAGCCGTAACACTGGTGTACTTTCTAAGCTCCGCTCCTTTCTCCCATCTACCACTTTATTTTCTCTTTACAATACTCTCATTCTCCCCTATCTGAACTACTGCAATATTGTGTGGGCACGCACAAGCACTAACAAACTTAAATCTCTTATTACCGTACAGAAAAGGGCTATTCGTATGTGCACACTGTCCCATCCTCGTGATCACACAGCACCCTTGTTTGCCAGATTACACACACTAACAATCACCGACACTAATAAATTTCAAACTGGTATAACAATGTACGAATATACTAATAACCTTCTTCCTCTCACTTTCTCCTCAAATTTCACCTCAATTAACGATATTCATCAATACCATACTAGATCACATAATAACTACTACATCCCTCTTGCACGCACATCATATGTAATGAACACTCTTCGTTTTTATGGACCTCGTCTATGGAATGGACTCAGTCAGTCTATGAAATCGCAGTCCTCTGTTGGCCGATTTAAAACCACTTTCAAGGACCATCTTACGGTATCTCCCAGTATATAGCATAGTTTGCTTCGTCTTTTGTTGGTTTTTCTACATTCATACCGTTTGCTTTAATTGTGCTTTCTTTTGCTTGCATCATCCATTTTATAAACTGTGTCGTTGTATCACTAGTATGTTTCGTATGTCCATCTGTAAAGTTTATTAAGTTTATGTCCACATCGTTTGTTTGTCTGTTTTCATTGTTTTGTGTTTTGTCTTTGAATTTAGTCTTCTTTTTTCAGTATTGTTTATATGTATATATATTTTTTTGTTGTGTTTAAGGCATTCCGTTTATAAGCTCCGGCTTCTTGTGTAATGCCTCCACTTAGTAGTTTTTATGTAACAATTGTTTTGTTTACTAAAGTGCTTATTCATGTGGAAATAAATGTTTCTGAAAAACTTATTGTTGGACCTAAACATTCCCTGACAAAAGTCTGCTTATTGCCTTAAAAAATATCCAACTTGATTTAAGACAATTAGGCTAGTTGACAGTAAACATTTCTTGGGAACAAAAAATATTTTATGAAGTTGCAGAGTGGTAACAGCATCAGACTGGAATTTACTGTAGGGAGAATTCAAATATTTAGATTTTTTTTTAAATTGTTATACTGATGCATATTACTACCATCAAGCAAATTACTTGTAGTACAATATTTAGTGGGGGTGTTAAACCCAAAGCAAGCATGATGACGTTAACACTCGAAAAGGCACCCTCTAGAAGCAAGTCAAACAAAGAAGTTTTTACTTTATACGTTTGAAGTCACTTTACAAAATTGTATCAAATTGCCAATAAATATCTGTTCAGCAAACAATAAATTACATTACAAAGTTTCAAAGTGGTTACGTCATCAGGGGAATTTGAACAAGTGATTTTTTAATTCTTTTATCAATTGAAAACATCATTCGGCACCAAACAGCGATGATTGTTTCACAAATATAACATCACAGCTGAGGTTAGATGTAAAATTAAGGCTTTGTGTATGCATTTATTTTACATCCAACTTCAGCTGCATACTAGACAAGTTCATGTGATTCTTATTTTCGATAAAAGAAATATGTTGTTTTTTTTAGCTTAAACTCGTATTTCGTCAATTCTGCTTTTTCACAGTGACTTTTTCATAACTGAAATGAAACTACATACAACAAAATAGTTTCCTGAATTGTAGGTCATATCTCAGTCATCTATTATCTGATTTTGAAAATTAAAACAGCTATAACCTCAGATTCACTTCTTTCAATCGACACACACACACGTACAAAAAAAAGTGGCTTTCAAAACCTTTTTGTAAATGGTGTGTGGTATCTGTACTTAGAAGGCTCCCTGCAAGTACATTTACAGTAATTAATGTTAATTGTTATAAATTGTAAGTCTAGTCCTACCTTCTTTTTCTCATGGATGTCTTAATACTCGCAGTGTGTGGTAAAGTTCCAGTTCCTCCAGTTTTTTGCTGAGAGAAAATAGAAAATGTGCTCTCTCCACACACATTTCCTGCTGTAGATGAGAACGGATGAGTTCTAGCAATAGCAGACTCTAAATTTTGGCAGCGTTTTTGGACAAGGGGAATGCAGTGACGATTCACAATGAATAAGAACTTCATTTTTTACATGTACAATGATGTCCAGTGGAAATGTGTGGTCACCCTTCCGAAATTCTGAGTGCATGAACATCGATGACGATGTTGAGAATCTGCGCATAGAAATTAAGAAAGAAGTTAGAACAAATTAGAAGCCTAGCTGGCGTACAGGTACAATGGGAAAATTATATAGAGATCAGTGGCCTACATCAACAAGGCTTGTAACTTAGCCCCATAAATGTGGCTCAAATACTGGACTCCACATTGATTGTAAGCCACACAGTGGTGATAGCTACATATGAGGAAAAGTTGTGTTTAACTTGTTTAAGGAAATTGAATTGGAGCCTTGTTTTTTTTGCTTCATATTCACTACCGAAGATACAGGGTGCGTCAAAAAAGCGGAACCCAAACCCCCCAAAATATATTTCATATTTAAAACAAGTCAGGTGTGTTTACAAACACAAATGCCCCGCAACCGTGACTGTTTCCATGACATAACACCACTCTAACATCAACTTACATGTACCTTGGTCAAATGGAACGTTCATTGACAGCATTAGTGTCTTCTGTAGGTTTTATATGAATTAATCCCTAATCCCTATGATCTCAGAATAAATACAAGATTTCTATTGTTTTAGCCACTGTGACCTTGACCCTTGACCTTTCGACCCCCAATGCGATAGGCTTCTTAGGATTGCCAAGGACAATCCACAAACCAAATTTGAAATTCATATGTAAAGTATATCTCAAGTTATCACGCTGACAAAATTTCTTTTGTTTTTGCCACTGTGACCTTGACCCTTGACCTTTTGGCCCCAAATGCAAAAGGCTTCTTAGGATTGCCAAGGACAATCCACAAACCAAAATTGAAGTTCATATGTAAAGTATTTCTCAAGTTATCGCGCTGACAAAATTTCTATTGTTTCAGCCACTGTGACCTTGACCCTTGACCTTTTGGCCCCAAATGCAAAAGGCTTCTTAGAATTGCCAAGGACAATCCACAAACCAAATTTGAAGTTCATATGTAAAGTATTTCTCAAGTTATCGCGCTGACAAAATTTCTATTGTTTCAGCCACTGTGACCTTGACCCTTGACCTTTCGGCCCCAAATGCAAAAGGCTTCTTAGGATTACCAAGGACAATCCACAAACCAAATTTGAAGTTCATATGTAAAGTATTTCTCAAGTTATCGCGCTGACAAGATTTGTCCGGACACACACACCCACACACCCACCCACACCCACACCCACACACCCACCCACCCACCCACCCACCCACCCACGGAAGGACAAGGCGGAAACAGTATGCCCCTTCGGCTTCGCCGCGGGGCATAAAAATATGTAGCACCAAAAATAATGACTGAAAAGCCAATTTCATAAACTACTTTTAGAAAATTACTGAAATTGCTCAATTAAATGCAATGACCCTAAAATCTCTTTCGTCCAAATATGCAATTTCAAGAATCGTCGTCACAATTGTCTTCAAACATCACAACCCCAGTTTAAAAGTTAAAAATATTAAACAAAGTCCTTTTGAAGGCCATTCTTGTAAAACTTGTTGATTTTATAAATCATATTGTTTTCCTAAGCTCGGTTGTTAATAAAGATATTGTGTACTACAGTTGTTGACAAGTATTCTTTGTCATTTTCTTTGTTGTTTCAAACAGTGAGAACACACAATAAATTGCTTTGTTTTGGACAAAACAGGTTTTAGGTTCATTGCGTTTAAATGGTGATATTTTTTTAACGGATTGAGCATGCAATTTCAGTATTTTTTCATTTAAAAGTAGTTTATGAAACTGGCTTTCCAGTCATTATTATTTTACATATGCCCCTTCCGATTTGCCGCGGGGCAGAAAAAAAAATAATAAAAAACAGGAAAAAAAACAAGCAGGACGGGTTCTTTTCAGAACTAAACATCTACTGAGCAGCAGTTATCCCCACATGGTGTTACCGCAAACTGAAATGATACAACAACAAACAAAAAACAATTATAAGCAAAAGATAAATAAAGCTTTGCATGGCGGATGACATAAAAGTATCTAGACAAAGTCACGGGCAACACCCTGTGGAAAGAAATCCCTTCTTGAAGAAGTGTGTAGTAACTTCAAGGATGCACTCACAAGGGATTCTGTCTTCTAACTTCAACAGGAGATTTATTCAACACCCGAGACGAATGACATGTATGTACTGAGAAGCGCCATGTTATGAAAACAAGAATCAAGAGAGGGCGCTGTCGATATATGAATACCGCAATGAATGAATATACAAATACCGATACAGCAGGTTATGACATTCCTTCCCCTTAAGAAAGAACGCTGTCTCTAGAAATTTCAAGACGCATGTTTTAAAACCTAATTCAAGAGATGTAAACATGAGACTACAAATACCAATAACCGAGTCCAAAACTAATTTTTATGTTATTTGTTAAGTGTGATTACCAATAACAGGCTCCTGTTAACAACTTAGACCTTAGGCAGACTGAAGGGTCAAGCAGCCAAATGTGAATTAGCCAACCAAATAATCTTTAACATAGGCAGGCGGTTTCCTTTCACGTGTCAGCCTACATGTAGGAGTAGGAACAGCTTGAATGTCCTGAGTGACTGGTTCCGCTGTGACTGGTTTCGGAAGTGGTTGGTTGTCCCTGGGGCCCAATACCGGTGGGATTGGTGGCAGGACATCTACCTCATCCCGTGGTTGCTCAGACAAAGGTGGTTCCGCACTGGTTTTAACATGGCAGTGTTGCTTCCGTATGATCTTGGTGACGTCTCCATACGCGCCCATCCTCCATCTGAATGATGAATGAAACTGGTCCTCTGCACTCCATGATACGTCCCGGATTCCACCTGGCTCCACTACTGTGGCAGTTGACATCCTTGGCAAGCACCAAATCCCCTTCTACAAACAGGCGATCTTTCGCGTGCACATCATGTTGCTCTTTCTGTTTGGCCTGCTTGTAGCTGACTGTCTTTCCTACATCAGGTGTCAGGAAATCCATGTGTGTAGTGAGCTTTCTGCCCATCAGTAGTTGGGATGGAATTTCGTGCGTAGTGGAGTGCGGAGTGTTGCGATAGCGGAAACAAGAACCGAACCAGCTTTGTTTCGATGGTGCCACCTTCCATTTTTCTTAATCCATCCTTTACTGTCTGCACAGCCTGTTCTGCTAAACCATTTGATGCTGGAATGTAGGGGGCTGTTCGGACATGTCTGATTCCATTACGCTGGAGGAACTCTTGAAACTCCGAACTTGTGGAGATCCCCGGATGGCCCTCATGGAGCTGGCATAGAATGGCCTCCCTACCCTGTGTGGGAACAACCACTCTTTGTACCTCGATCTTAATCATCGATGTCTACTTGTACCTCAGGTGGTGTATCTATTTATTTGGAGGCCGTTTTGAGGGTGAAATCTGATGTTTTTGTTGGGCAATGTCGGCTTTTTGGGTCAATGGTACTTCTGGAATCAGAAGGCTGCTCGTCAGCCTTCTGGCATGCTTCTTTTCAGGGATCAGCCGCTTTGGATTTTGGGCAGGCACCTTGATAGACGAAATTCCTTTGTCTGGAATTCCAATTTCTGAAACACAAATCCACACCAAATTTTGTTTGCTTGATCCATAACTCTGAACTTTTTAGCACGATTGACATTTGGATCGTGGGACAATTTTTTTGGTGGAAAATCTGAGTTTTTACTCACCAGCCTCACGTCTTCGATCCAAAAAATGCACGGTTATGTTCAAGTGTGTATTTACGTACGTTGCGCGTGCGCTGATCTTCACGTGACCTCAGCAGGTTAACTCTACATTCGGCTCGGCCATTTGGGATGGAGGGGAGATTGTATGCTTTGCATCACGCAACAGTACATAATACGTACATCATTTTGACGCGATGAATATGCTACGCTGTATGTATGGTTACAAGATGTCAGTTTTGGTGGACTGTTTTTACATTTGACAAAAAAGGAAGAAAAGATCCATCAGTAAACTAAAATACATTCTGAATCACGGACTGAGCAGCCGGCTGTGCAGCTGGCCAGGCACGGCATAAACGATGTCACCGGCACAGTGGCCGACTGTGGAAGGACAGGCAAGCGTTGACCGGCTGGCGCTGGGCAACGGTCATGGTGAGCGGCGGCCGGTGCTGGGGGTACAGCGCCGCTAGCTACAGGCGCAGGCCTGCGGACGTGACACGATACATCATGCTGTGTATCATACAGCGAAAAAAAGCGGCAACATTCTCGATCTCTTTCTTATTTATATAAGCAATTCCAATTTAATTCAAAATAAAAACTAACAAGAAAGAATTTCACAAATATTTAGTTGAATTGTCAAAAAAAAATTGGGGGAGGGGGGGTAATAAGATGATGTAAAACAACACTGCAGACTATTCCTTCCTCCGTGAATGAATGAAGGCTAAGACTATTTCTGAGGGATTCCAAACTTTTAAACAAAACTTAAACAAAACTTTGAAGTATTTCCCAGCAACCGGGCCCAAACGTCCAAGATTATATCGATCATTGATAACCTCACACCTGAAACAGTTTCCAAAGGTAATGCCGATGGACGACCGTGTTGCATTTTTCCCGAGTTGGTTACGGACCGAGTTGGGTTACGGACCGAGTTGACCGGCACCCGTAGTTTACAAGCCATGTCTAGACTCTCCATAGACTTTGTACACAATAAGGTGTTTCACGGTAATATGCGCCCGGGGCAATTTTACATGCGTTGCTGTGTACGCATCGTCATTGGAAAACTTTGGCGCTTTCAATGGCTATCGTTTAGTGTAGGGCCCGGTTCCTATAAGGGAAAAAAATCCACTTTAAAATTATTAGACCGACTATGCCAACCAAACTACATGTAATTGGCGACATTCTCAATAAACAGGTATGCATGGTATGTCATAGATAGAGGGCATGGTTTTGATTTTTTGAGGGAAATTTGGGGGTAAACTAATTAAAAGTGACGATGACAGCACGGCGACAACACGCGACCCAAAAATAAAGATGGCTATCACCGCGCAATGTACCGTGAGCACACACGGCGCGCTGAATCGCAAGGCACAAACCGCGTAGGATAATCGCGATTTCTACCCCAAGAAACTGTTCAAAATAGCAAAACAGGTGTCTTTAGCATGGAAAAAAGTCTGCTTTTGATTGTAAAGGTGATTTTTGAGCAATAAAAAACATTTCTGACTCTAATTTGATCAAAACAAAACAGGGGCCCTTTTCATCATGCGGTCATTTCAAAATGTACCCAGGCTCAGTGTTTCCCCTGCCCAATCAAACGTGAGGTGGCCCACCTCGCTACTTTCAGTGACCACCTCGCTCAATTTTTGCCAATATCACCACCTCGCTGTGAAGATTGGCACAAAAGGAAATACTGATCTAAACCTCTTTATTTTGTGTAATTTATGAGCATATTCTTGACTTTTTTGCATCAAGAACTCACAATTTCAATGTGTAGACTGAATCATTGTGCATTTTTGTGAGCGGTACATCTTTTCAGTTGGCCAGACTGTGTAAATGTTGTTTCAATCATCAATTTGAAGTTTTACCACCTCGCTCAATTCATTAGCCAGGGGAAACACTGCCCAGGCTGCAACATTTTTTTCCTCTTTCCTAGTCCCACTAACTGGGGTGCTAGAACTCCTTTTTTGACACTTGCGAAGTTGGTCTGTCGTACTAGCGTCCCAACAGAAGCATTCTCAATCAATGTTTCAATTTCCAAAGTTCACCATAAAACTCCCCAAAATCATGCAAAATACTTGACAAAAATACCTTTGAAAGCACCTACTGGCTTCTCCACATGTCAAAGATGAAGTAATGTGGCTTCGATGATACTCGCGACTATTTTTTGGGTTGCAAATCTGTGAAATTCAACCACTATAGCACAGACATCATATAACAATCATTCAATAATGTTTTGGCTGTTTTTTTGCAATGCATTGTCTATGCACGTATAGAGTAGGGGACAAGAACATGGCCCGAGTCAAAAAACAAACTCTGCATATAGATCGGGGAATGCAGCAACGACTGTTTCATGATTTGGAAATTGAAACATTGAGAATGCTTCTGCAGTGGGACGCTAGTATGACAGACCAACTTCCCAAATGTCAAAAAAGGAGTTCTAGCGCTCTAGTTAGTGGGACTACCTCTTTCCTTATGCTTCTGTAAATGAAGTAGTGACTCCTTAGCTGGCTACGAGGTGCATAGATTGAGTGGCGGGGTATTCTGTGATTTTGGGTCAACTCGTACCCGAGTTAAATCGTACCCGAGTCAACTCGTACCCAGGTCAACTCGTACTCCCCACTTTTTGGGGGAGTACGAATGGATGGTTAACAAAAACTTCAGATTTTCCTCAAAATGTACCACTACAAGTACACCAAGGCCTAATGCCATTGAAAAACGGCAAAGTTTTGATATTAACTGCGTGACGGCAAAAACACAGTGTACGCACAACCACTTTGACCGGCGAGTGCGCGCACACGCCCGGAAAAAATGATGTCACCGTGCATGGTGCGATCACGTTGACCGGCAAGTGCGTGCACAGGCCTGGCAAAACAAAGTCACCCTGCCCTGCACGGACAACCGACAAAATCCCTCATCTTCCCGTTCGTTTCACAGATTTTCTTTTTGAAAACAGTCAACTATTTTGAGCTGTGGGTACCAGTTCACTTGGGTACGAGTTGACTTGGGTACGACTTGACTCGGGTACGAGTTGACTCGGGTGCGACTTGACTGGGGTGTGAATTTTGGGCGATCATGTAGTGTACGGCCCGGTTCCTAGTATAAGGAAACGAAATCCACTTTAAAATTATTAGACCAACCAAACTAGTTGGCAACATTCTCAATAAACAGGTATGTCATCACTGGTCATAGACAGAGGCCAGGGTTTTGATTATTTTAGGGAAATTTGAGTGTAAAATGACAATGACAGCGCGGCGACAACATGCAACCCGAAAATAAAGATGGCGATCACCGCGCAATGTACCGTGAGCACACACGGCGCGCTGAATCGCAAGGCACAAATGCGCAGGAAAATAGTGATTTCTACCCCAAGAAACTGTTCAAAATTGCAAAAGGGGTATTGCTAGAATTGAGAATAGTCTGCTTTTGATTGTAAAGGTGATTTTTGAGCAATACAAAACATTTTTGACTCTAATTTGATCAAAACAAAACGGGGGCCCTACACTACACGATCGCCGAAGTTTGGGCAATCATGTAGTGTAAGGGCCGGTTCCTATAGTATAAGGGAACAAAATCCACTTTAAAATTATTGGACCTACCAAACTAGTTCAGTAGTTGGCGACATTCTCAATAAACAGGTAGGCCTATGTCATAGATAGAGGGCAGGGTTTTTATTTTTTGAGAGAAATTTGGGGGTAAAATGACAATGACAGCGCGGCGACAACACGCGACACGAAAATAAAGATGGCGATCACCACGAGATGTACCATGAGCACGCACGGCACGCTAATCGCAAGGCACAAACCGCGCAGGAAAATCGTGATTCTACCCATGCTAGTTGATACCCCAAGAATCTGTTCAAAATTGCAAAACGGGTGTCATTATTAGAATTGAGAAAAGTCTGCTTTTGATTGTAAAGGTGATTATTGAGCAATAAAATACTGGACTACCTCCGTATATCACTCACAGAGCCACGTATACGGTCTGTGAGCAGAGCGATCCCATTGCTAGGGGAGCCGAAAATTAATTAAAGATCGAAATTATTTTGTCAGCAGAAAATCAACCCAGCTATAGTTAGACCCTAGTCCCACTAACTGGGGCGCTAGAACTCCCTTTTTGACATTTGGGATGTTGGTCTGTCGTACTAGCATGACCATGATGACTAGCGTCCCACTACGGAAATATTGTCAATGTTACCATTTCAAAGTTCACCACAAAAATCACGCAAAATACTTGACAAAAATACCTTTGAAAGCACCTACTGGCATTTCCACATGTCAAAGACGAAGAAATGGGGCTTACTTTATTTCCAACGTTGTTTCCAATTATACTAGTAAACCCTGGATAGGAAACTTCCTTCCTGCATCCTGCAGCTGATTCGATACCGCAATTGGCTAGAAATGGATTTATATCGTGTACTTGGTGTTGTTATTCACAACGTGCAGTACGTGTTTTCGCGATCATTCGTCCACGCCTTCTCGAAAATATTCATTTCCTTTCCAGTTTGTTAATATTAATATGAAATGTGATACTGCATGTTGTCTCGTTAAGATCGTAACAGTTTAATTAAAATAAAATCATGTTTTCGTAACTCACGCCATGCTCGCGCTGCGACAACCTCGTCCCCAGGGTGTCGAGCAGTACGCGCCCACCACTACCTGCTTTACTATTGGAAACGCGGTTGGAAATAAAGTAAGCACTGGGGACGAGGTTGGCGCTGCGACGAATTGATTCTGTTTTTACCCCAGACACCGCATACAAAAACAAACGCAAATGTAACGCGCAGGCAGGTACCAGACTGGGGTGAGAGAGCAGGTAGTGGTGGGCGCGTACTGCTCGACACCCTGGGGACGAGGTTGGATGTACTGATGATGTTACGCCCCAACTATGGCATCGGTCCAACCATTGATCTCCATTCGCCTCGTGGAATAGAACATTTTATAACACCTCACCCACAGATTCTGTGTCTTGATTGGCCGAGAGCGAGTCACATGCACATGTTACTTTCTAATTTTGCTATCTTTCTGTGCACGGCCAAAAGTACTATGCGCATAGCAACCAAAGTACTATACCATTAGCAACCAAAGTACTATTTCCACGGCGTGGTATTTGTGTGCAAATGCATGCTGGTGCGCGCGTTGCGCGTTGTGCGTAGCGCGTATTATTCCAAAGAGAGCGCGCCGCAGACTTGGGTTCAAACATTTCGTGAAGGGTTAGTTTTTAAGAGAGAAATACATTTTCCACCAATTTTGTATTGAAATTGAAGTTTATTTCAACTGTGTTCAGATTTAAATAATGTAAAATATTAAAATCAAGCAGAATCTGTGGGTGAAGTGTTATAAAACAAATATTGAATGCTTTATCTCGTGGTGAAGTAAAACTAGCCTCCCTCGGTGATCCATGGACCATTCTATTTTCCCTTGGCTTCGCCTCGGGAAAATAGAATGTCCATGGATCACCTCGGGAGGCTAGTTTTACTACACCACTCGAAGCATTCAATATTTGTATACAATCTGTCACCTCATGAAATTATTCTTACCATGGAGATCAATGGGTCCAACTATAGTTGGGATCGTCCGAACTATAGTTGGGACGGTCCCAACTGTAGTTCTGCAGTTAGGGGCAAGTTCGCGCAAGGACTATAGTTAACCATTGGTCGACTAACGCTTGCCGACGATGGTTAACTACGCTAGTCGACTATTTGGAACCAACCTACTGGGGTTGGTTGCTTCGCTGGTAACCATAGCCGCGCGCGTTCATAACGTACAGCAGGGAGCCAGGATCCAGACGTTTTGCAACGACATTTTGACCAGCGTTCGACTAGAGACGTTCGCACTTTGCTATTAGTGCGCAGGCGTAAGGTACGTCACAAATCAACCACTAGTCGACTAATGGTCCTTGCCCGAACTTGGCCTAGGCTGGCCCAACTATAGTTGGGAGTCGAGGGCGGAGGCGCGCCGCTGCGCGCCTAGCTAGCTGCATGCAGCTTAGCCTTTCGTCAAGGCCATCGTGGCTTAACTTGCCGGTGTGGACGGTAATTCTGTCCCCGGTAAAAGTGTCCGGGGGACAGAATTACCTAGGTAAAAGTGTCCCCCCTGTCCCGTTAATTCTGTCCCCCTCCAGGTAATTCTGTCCCCTCCAGTTAATTCTGTCCCCCCTGGTTTTGCACGCATAAGTTGTTATATTGATGTTATTATAATGAATTCAGCGCACAGGGTATACATTTTTAGATTTTTCCACCCTTCATCAATGATTATCAAAATGAAATTAACGTTTAGATGTTAATCAACCGATATATGTTTCTGCAAGAAAGCAGAAAAGGCACGCGTAGTAATACTCAACCTATCGCTAGCGCGCGCACGCCCTCCGTAGGTGCGGTACACTCGCGCGCACGCCCACCATGCAAATCGCTCGCTCCCGAAGTCGTCATCAAAACTGGAGTTGTGCTTTGACGTAAGCACCATTCCCGAATTTAGCAAGGCGCCGCGCAAAAACAGTTAATAACTTTACTAATATACAGTCTGGGTGCTAGACTTGTGACGTTGCACGGGGACACATTTACCAGGGGGGACACATTTAACATCGTGCAGGGGGACAGATTTACCTAGAGGGGGACAGGTTTACCTAGGTAAAAGTGTCCCCCCGGACAGATTTACCGGGTCACGACCCGGTAAATCTGTCCGGGGGGACACATTTACCAGGGGGGACAGAATTACCTGCCACACCGGCATTAGACAAAAGGATGGCAAATTTCCAAACATACCGTTTTTTCGTTTTTCAGTTTTGTAAAACGGTCAAACGGTATTAGGTCACAAAAAACAATGACCTTTTTGTTGTTTTTCTTGATTGTTGAAAGCGATAAACGGTTAGTTGCTTCATTTCAGAGTGTTGTTTTTCAAGAACATGACAATGAAAAACGGTCAATAGTCCTGTCGACCATTTTTTGATTTAAGTTCGGCAATTAAGCAATGCGCCTAGGAATGTTAATGCGTCCTCATGGGATCGAGTCATTGCCTGGGACCCAAATTACCCTCCTCACATTTCGTTCTCACGACATAGTTTTCGAACTGGCTATTGAAAAGCCGCGCCTAACTTCAATTTTCTTCAAATATCTGCAACTTCTTCAAACGTATTACCATCCTGTATCCATTGTAAAAAGTAATGTGCTCCCTTGAAGTTTTCCAGCGCCATTTTTGCTTGCAACTCTTAAGCCCCACCAACTGAATCGCGTGAGAAGGGGTCAGGGTCATGCCAGGAATCACACCACGCATTATGCCGAGGTAACACTTTTTCATGTAAAGCATGGTCCCCCTCCATCCCCCTTGCCCAGCACCACAAAATACACCACGGACTGCTCACTATGACACTGACATATAAAAAAAACAGTCTGTAATTCAATACTGACCGTTTTGCTGTTTTTCAAAGTTATTTGTGTAAAACTGTACTCATTGATCGTTATGCTGTAATGAATTTTATTAAACTTATAAAACAGAGAAACCGTATGTATCTTAATACCGTTTGACCGTTTTACAAAACTGTAAAACGACAAAACGGTCAATGGTTTGTTTACTGTTTTTTATTTGAGGAAATGCAAAACGGTAAAACGAAATAACGGTATGTCCCGGGATTGGGGATTGATAACCCGGGGCCGCGACAACCCGCCGCCGCGAAAGGGTGTTATCACGACTAACCAATATCGCCCACGGACTTGTCAGAACTAACAACGTCTAGGGAAACTCGTATTGGTTGTGTAATGCGCGCGCACCTCTGTGCAACTTCACTGGGCAGCTCTTTTGTTATCTGTAGTATGTGTATAGCACTGAAAATTGACCGTAATTGCCTGCAGAAGTCGCATGCGCATTAGTTTCCCCCATTTTTTTTGGGGGGGGGGGGAGATTTCAGCGGATTCCCTAGACGTTGTTCTGACAATTCCGTGGGCGATATTGGTTGGTCGTGATAGCGCCTTCTTGCGGAGTTTAGAAGTTTAGATGTTTTTTTTTTGCAATGCATGTATGAAGGCAAAGCGCAGACTGGAGCTGACAACCCTCTAAGTGTTTCCAACTATATATTAAGAATCTGAGGATGAAGACTGTATGTACAATAGCATAGTGGTACGAGTCATCGTCCACAGACCGCGGGGTCCGGGGTTCGAAACGGACCGTGGTGCATTGTTTTGGTTTTCAATACACGCGCTCAGTCATTTACTTTAAGAGTCTTAATTTCCCGTCGTCAAATACCAACCGACCTTAGCTCAATCAGTTAAGTCACCGGCTGGGACTGTCTGCGAAGTCCAGGTTATGCATCTACTCATAGGTACGGGGCTCTTTTGCTGTCTCGGCAGCAAGGCATAGGGTGTCGCCTCGTTTCCTCCCTTAACGGTGCTTGGCCCTCCGGGGTTACATGGATGGACAGGGAAGGAGGTGTGGTGGGCCGGGGAATCCGAGACCCAGGAAGAGCCCTATATGGGAGTTGGTAACCAATCGCGACCCCTGAATGCTTGGTCAACACCACATAACTTTTTGTTTTTCTTTATCTCATTATTTTTTTTCATTGTCGAGGATTTAGGCCTATAAGGTACAGTAAAAACGAAAAGGTTTTCTTCAAAAAGAAATTCGCCCTTAACATTTTTCCAGTTGGGCTACTGAAACAGACTCTTAATTTTAACAAGCCTGCATGTTTTTCTTTTAGTATCTCTTATAAACAAGATTGTACACACATGTAAAACATGTATCCTGATACATTTTTGTCAGTGATTAAAATAAACAGAGCATTTTTTTACACTAAACAAATAATAAAATAAGACACAAATTGATGCAGGTTTGCTTTCTGAATTGAATGATTAATTTCTTCTGGTCTTTTCATCTTTGCCATAGCCCAATAATAATCACTGGCCAGCCGGGCTACTTAGTCTTGCCGGTCCCCGATAAAGTCGAACCCTGAATATATGAAACAGCTATATAAACATTTTAGTGGAAACAGAAAATGATCCACGATCACAATGATCATCTCTGCCTGCACGTGTCCCTATTCGCTACTGGGTTGGTGGGAAGCAAATATTGATATAAAGTGTCTTGCCCAAGGACAAATACACTACACTATATCAAGGCTGCTTGTCAGGACCGGGACTCAACTGCATTTCACTCCACTTGGAGTCTTGCTATTGCCTTTTTGCATCCTCTGCTGCACTCCAGCAAGATTAAGGCCCAAAGTGAAGGCCGCAAAAATCTTGACAAAAATAAAGGCTTTTCTACAACTTTGCGGAAAAGCCAAACATTCAAACACTAGGTCTATACTATAGGCGAATTCAGCGAAGGGTTGCCTAACGTGGAGGAAAATATTGACACATTTACTCCGTAAATAAAAATAATTTGACGCAGACAT